ACCCTCAGCAGCTCCAGCACCCTCAGCAGCTCCTGCACCCTCAGCAGCTCCAACACCTCCAGCAGCTCCAGTACCCTCAGCAGCTCCAGCTCCACCAGCAGCTCAAGTACCCTCAGCAGATCCAGCACCTCCAGCAACCCCAGCACCCTCAGCAGCTCCAGCACCTCCAGCAGCTCCAGAACCCTCAGCACCAGCCCCACCTGGTGTAGCACCCCCAGAACGGCACCTCCAGTCCCAGGGTCTCCAATCGCAGTGCCACCAGCAGCAGCACCCTCAGACACGCCACTGTCAGCCCCAGCAGCTCCAGTACTCCCAGTACGAGCACCTCCGGGACCAGCGACACCAGCACCTCCAGCAGGCAAAGGACCAGCACCACTCCTAGCTCCAGTGACGCCAGCAGAAGAACCCCCAGCAGTAGAAGCGCGATGCTGACGGCAACCGTACCAGTCGTGCAGCTGCTGGGAGGTGAGAGGCACACGCGGACGAAGACGGCTACTCCAAGGAGACCGCGTAACAGCAGTCTCAGGACCCTCAGGCGACTCACCCCCAGACTCAGCACCCCCAGGCTCCGCACACGCAGGCTCAACACCCCCAGACGCAGCACCCCCAGACGCAGCACCTCCAGGCTCCTCACGCGCAGGCTCAGCACCTCCAGGCGCCGTACCCTCAGGCCCCTCACGCCCAGCGCCCCCAGACTCAGCATCCCCACGCTGCGCACCCCCAAGCTCCGCACCCCCAAGGACAGCACCACCACCAGCAGGACCTGAGTCACCAGTGACCTCAACAGGCGCAGGGACGGGAGGGTCTACCTGAGAAACACCTGAAGGAGCAGGACCTGGCGCGGGGAGGGGGTCTACCTTGGGAGGACCTGGGGCAAGAAAGAGCGGCGGGAGAGGGCGAGGAGCAGTGCGGTAGGGGAAGAGGCGGTAGAAGGGGATTGACTCGTCGAAGGTGACGTCCTGGGACGCAAAGACACGGCGCGAGGCGGGGTCGTAAAACTGCCAGCCAGGCGCGTCAGGGACAAAGCCAAGGAAGACGCAAGGAATGGCGCGAGGGGAGAGCTTGTCCGCGGTGGTATCGCGAACAAAGGCACGAGCACCCCAGACCCGGAAACTCGACGCATCGCCAACCTTCCCCGTCCACAGAAGTGTGGGCGAGGTCTCCGGCAAGGAGACACGGGGCCAAAGGTTGAGCTGATGCGCGGCGTACCGGACCGCAAACGGCCATAGGAAATGGGGGGCAGCCGCATGGATCATGGAGGTACGAGCGACCTCCATGACTAAGCCAATGCGGCGCTCAGCAACCCCATTCTGCTACGGAGAGGCCGGAAGCGTGAAAGTCTGGCAGATGCTGTGCTCCGCACAGAAGGCGGCCAAGAGGTCCGAGGAGAACTCACCACCTCTGTCAGAGTGCAGACGCAGGACAGGAAAGTCCGACTGGAACCGCTCGCGGAGCTGGAGATGAGTAGCGCGGATCCAGGGGATCTAAACATAAGGGACATCCCCCTTGCGCTGCAAGGGGAAGACCATGGTGTAGCGCGTGTAGTCGTCGACAACCAGCAGGAAGTACCGCTCGTGGCCCTGTCCACGGACGCGGGCTGGGCCCCACACGTCCAGGTGGAGAGTCTGCAATGGAGCCTCTATGGGAGGGAACGAGGAGGAGTGAGGAGCGGCGCGCTGCCGCCCCTCGACGCAAGGAATGCAGGGCGGCGCAGGCGAGGGAGGGAGGGAAGGCAGAGACCTGGGAAGACCAGAAACCAGAAAGCGAGAGCGCATGCTACGAAGGCGAGGCAGTGAGGGGTGGCCCAGGCGGTGGTGCCACAGGAGGGTGTCGTGAGACATCCGACGACACTCACACTGGGTAGCAACCTGAGCAGACGCGTGCAGCTGGGGGGACAAACGGGTGGAGCGTGACTCAGTGGTGAGGGTGTACAGACTGGACCCTGGCGCACGTGTGAACGTGGCCAGGTGGCGGCCGGTCTGGGAGCACGTGCAGATCGCCACACGCTGTCGGCCAGGGGTGAAGGTGTCAACACCCGCATCCTGGAGGACAGCGTTGCTCACCAAGTTCGTAGAGAACGAGGGGAGGTGGAGACCAGACAGCTCACCAGACGGGACCGCCGGACACGGAAGCACAGTGGAAGACCGTGCAAGCGCTGGGCCCCCAGAGGGGTCAGCCAGTGAGACAGGAACAGGTGCAGGAAGGGGAGTGCCTGTGGTACTGTCGCGAAAGAAACAGCGGGAAGCACCAGAGTCAAGTGTAAAGGTGTGCAAGGCCTGTGCAGGCGCAGTACCAAGGGGAGCAGACTCACAAGCACCTAGTGCTGCAGGGGCTATACCAGGGGCTATACCAGGATCCGGCGGCACACACAAGTAGCAGTCACCCTCAGCACTAACAGACAATGCATACATAGCAGCAAGAATAGCCTCATAGTCAAGATCAAAGATTGGTACATCACGCCTAAGCAAGTCTGCCCAGTTGGGGAACTCAGTAGCATCAGGAAACTTGGCGCGCCAGGCGTCGCTAAGTCGAGCGAAGCAGCGCTGCTCAGTGTGAAACCCTGTGCACTGGCGATTAGCGCGGGGACCTGTGCGGATGATATAGGGGCAGCGACCAGGACCCCCAGAAGCCCCACGCCCGGCATACCAGTCAAGAAGCTGCTGGGAAGTGGGGGTCTGGCGCTGACGCTGCTGCTGCTGCTGCTGCGGCTGCTGCTGGCCCTGACCACCACTGCCACCACCGCTCCCTCCTCCCCCACCGCCGCTGCTGCCCCCTCCACCGCCCCCAGTGCCTCCGCCGCCCCCACCACCACCTCCACCACCTCCACCCCCACGACCACTCCCACCACCTCCACCGCCTCCGCCGCCTGCACCACTGCCACCTCCACCGCCGCCCCCACCTCCCCTGCCACCCTTGCCGCCCCTGCCGCTGCGACGCTTCCCACTAGGAGCGGAAGCAGCCCCGACCTCCTCAGCACCAAGGTAGTCGTGAGCAGCAGCTGCGGAGGCGTAGGAGGGGGTGAGAGGGGAGGGGGAGCACCCCTCAAAGAGGGGAGAGCGCGGAGTGCCACGAGCAGCACCTACAGCGAGAATGTTCTTCTCTGCTGCTAGGAGGTGCTTCTCGAAGTCGTCGACAGTGAGAGTAGGGGGGTCGAGCGCTAGGAAGTGGTCCCTGACCGAGCTAAGAGTGTCAGGGAGGCGGGTGACGAGGAAATAGAGAGTGAAGTACATCGGGGGGGGGGGGGGGGGGGGGGGGGGGTTGCGGCGCAGAACTCGGCTGAAAGGGCGGCACGAAAGTGGGTGTCAGTAGCGCGCAGGTGAGAAATGAGGTCCTCAGCAGTGGTGAACGAGGAAAGGTCGGGGAACAGGTAGGGTAGCATGAGCCGACCTATGGCTGCAGTGGCCGGGGAGGAGTAGCGCGCAACTACAGCGTCGTACAGTGTCTTAGCAGTTTTGTGCTGGCCGAAATGCGCGCGCTCAGGAATCGGCAGATGGTTCCTAATAGCTAGGCGTGCTGCAGCATCGCGAGTCTGCCACTGTGAGCGTTCGAGAGCAGGAGCATCGGCAGCAGGGGCAACGGCAGTGCCAGACACGTAATCAAACAGTGAGACACCCTCTTTAGCATCAGTCAGAAGGAACAGTTGCAGGTCGTCGAGCCACACAGCGAACTCTATGGGGCGACCGTCAGGCTCGAACGCAAGAACACTAGGCGTCGTCATATTGGCAGCAGGCAAAGGCAGGAAGGAAGCAGGCAGCTGACAGGGGGCACTAGACAGTAGGCCGCAGGCAAAGACAGAGACAGCAGGCAGTAGACAGCAGGCTCAGACAGAGGCAGTAGGCAGTAGGCAACACAGGCAACGTGCTGGGCAGTAGCAGGCCGCAATCGAGCTCCTAAGGTGGCGCTCTAGACAGTAGCAGGCCGTGCAACCCTAGGGCAGCGGGCTCGGCAGCAGCAAGCCGCACAGGCAGGCACACGAGCAGGGCACGCGCGGCTGCTGGCTGCGTGCGGCTGAGGGCTGCGCGCGGCTGCTGGCTGTGCGCGGCGACGAGCTGCGCGCGGCTCCTGGCTGCGCGTGGCGACAGGCTGCGCGCGGCTCCTGGCTGCGCGTGGCGACGGGCAGCGCGCGCGACTGCGTGCTGCGTGCGACGACGGGCCGCGCGGGCGTAACCTAAGCAGGCAGCGCGCGGGAGGCGTAAGGGGCGCACGGGCAGGGCCGAAACGGGCGTCGCGGGTGGGTCTAAAACGAGGCGCGCGGGCTGCTTAAGAGGCGCGCGCGGGAAAAAAAAGGCCACGCGCGTGCAGCCGAGGCGCGCGCGGGCTCTAGGCAGGGTAGGTACGTTTTTAGTGAGGTGAAATAGGTAACGGTGGGCCCTAATCCTAGGTCCTAAGGACCTATGCTCTAGATGCCATGTTAAAGCTTAGGCAAGGTGAGTTTGGACTATCGAGAGTTTTGGTACAAAAGGAAAGCCTAAGGGGTTGTACCCCACAGTGAGTACCCCACTAAAGCCTACCTAAACTACAACATATAAACATATGTTTGACAGTTGTAAGCTTTCCAAATCTTGCAAACCTACATCAATCTACCGCTTGACTCCATACGACAAAATACTTCTTCCAAGAATGGAATCCAGTTCTTGGTCAGACAATGAAGCAATACTAATGGCCAATAATAGTACCAGATGGCTGTACTCTTTGCCTTCATTTCACATGCACTTGCGGTAATCTTCCATTTCAACCCCCCCCCTCTAATCTTTTGTTCTCAAACTTCTCCAGCACTCTCCTCAGCTCCATGGCCTCTGCTTCCATGTCATCCATCGTGTGGGCTGGCCTGCCAAGTGACCTACTCTCCCTTCGTCATCACTTTTCACCCATCCTCTCTCCCTTCTCTCCCTTCTCAAACTCCTTTAGCACCCGTCTCAGCTCCTTGGCCTCTGCCTCCATGTCATCCATCGTGCGGGCTGGCCTCTTACAGTGCCTTCTCCTCTGCCTTCCTCTGCCTTTCACTCCACCTTCTCCTCTCCTTTCTTCTCAAACTCGTCCAGCACCCGTCTTAACTCCTTGGCCTCTGCCTCCATGTCATCCATTGTGCGGGCTGGTCGGTTCTCCTCCGCATCCATCCGCAGCTTCTTCGCCTCCTTCTCATTCTCCTCAATCTGTTTCTCGTGAACAGGGGGAGAGGGACCGTTACAGGGACAGGGACAGGGACAAGCAGGGATAGGGACAGGAAAGGATAGGATAGGGACAGGAAAGGATAGGACAGGGACAGGAAAGGATAGGACAGGGACAGGAAAGGATAGGACAGGGACAGGAAAGGATAGGACAGGGACAGGAAAGGATAGGACAGGGACAGGAAAGGATAGGACAGGGACAGGAACGGATAGGACAGGGACAGGAAAGGATAGGACAGGGACAGTCATGTCATCCATGGTGCAGGCTGGCCGGTTCTCCTCAGCATCCATCCGCAGCTTCTTCGCCTCCTTCTCATTCTCCTCGATCTGATAGCAGCAGAATTAAGGGATAGGGATTAGGACAGAAAGAGTCCACCTCAACTCAGGAAAATAATCCAATCCCCATCACGTCTCCTCCACCTCCGTTCGCAGCTTTATCACCACCTCCTCATTCTCCTTTATCTGACAGAGCGGTGGATTGAGGTGACTTTTGAGTCGACTCAAAAGTCGCTTTATCACCACCTCCTCATTCTCCTTTATCTGGCAGTGCGGTGGATTGGGGCAAGGGATATGCACAGGGACAGGAGCAGTCATGGACAGTGGAACGTGCTCACTGAACAAAACTTGTCCTTCAACTTGACTCAAATCGCGTTGAAACAGCCAACGCATCGAAACAAAAGCTAAATCTTCGCGTTACTTCCTTTTAAATGGTAGCATTTGAACATGAGCACACCTCGCCGTTGACCTTTTCTGTGGGGTTTCTACGCTTCCCAATGAGCTGAATCGAACGTTTGGGGTATGCTCATGAACGCACCTCGTTGTAGGTCCTACCACTGGGATCAGTTAGTTGGATTGGAACCCATCAACTCAAAGGATGGCATGACATGGGATGGCATGGCATAGCATGGCATGGCATGGCATCTGCGCATCAACACACCTCATTATAGATCTTATCATTGGGTACGAAATCCCCTTCCCTCCGTGGCATGACGTGCACATGCACATGTGCCACTGTCTGCCCTGCTGCTGGCCCGTCCTGAATAAACCAGAGGCACAGAGAGAGGGAGGGGAGAGAGAGAGGAAGATGATACTTTGGATGATGCCTCAAAAAGCACATGCCCGTGCGCCACTGTCTGCCCTGCTGCTGGCCCATCCTGGCATGAGAACAAGGCATGGATGCAGAGGAAAGGGAGACGTGAGAGAGAGAGCGATTGCACACGTGCACATGCAGGTGGGCTGCTACCTCTATTCTTGAGTCGACCCAAAAATCGACTTATCACTCACAGGTTGGCTGCTACCTCTATTCGACTTTTGAGGCGCCTCAAAAGTCATGCAGGTGGGCTGCTACCTCCATTCTTGAGTCGACTCAAAAATCGACTTATCACATGCAGATGGGCTGCTACCTCTATTCGCTGTCTGCAGAATGTCAAAATCAGCATGCGCCTCGCCCATGTACACATACCCACATGCCACCATACCATACATACCCACATACCCGCATATGTGTGCACATGCAGGTGGGCTGCCTGCTACCCTCTGTCCACTGTCTCAGGAACGACAAATAATCATGCGCCTCGCCCATGTACACATACCCACATGCCACCATACCCACATGCCACCATACCCATATGCCACCATACCCACATGCCACCATACCCACATGCCATCATGCCCACATGCCACCATACCCACATGCCACCATACCCACATGCCACCATACCCACATGCCACCATACCCACATGCCACCATACCCACATGCCACCATACCCACATGCCACCATACCCACATGCCACCATACCCACATGCCACCATACCCACATACCCGCATGTGTGCACATGCAGGTGGGCTGCTGCCCTCCACTCGCTGCCCTCTACTCGCTGCCCTCTACTCGCTGCCCTCTACTCGCTGCCCTCTACTCGCTGCCCTCTACTCGCTGCCCTCTACTCGCTGCCCTCTACTCGCTGCCCTCTACTCGCTGCCCTCTACTCGCTGCCCTCTATCCACATGCGATCACCGCACCTGAAATGTGTATGCGGCCAAGGTGCATCCGTGGCATGGCTCAAGCGCTATCAAGGCAAAGCAGCAAGCCAAACCCAACCCACATGCTGTCAAGGCAAACCAGCAAACCAAACCCACATGCTATCAAGGCGCAACCACACCACCGCACCTGAATAGGTATGCGGATGAGGTGCATCCGTGGCATGGCTCAAGCGCCACACGCCCGCCACCCCACCCCACACACTACCACCCCAACCCACCTGGATGGTGTATGTGGCTCTTGAGCCTTGCGCTATCAAGGCAAACCACCAAACCCAACCCCACACACTACCACCCCACCCCACCTGAATGGTGTATGTGGCAGTTGTGGACGAGGTGCAGTTGTGGCGGGCTTCGAGCGCCGCTGGTGCAATCACAGGCAGAGGCAGACATGTGCATGGACACATGCTACACTGATGAAGGCTGAGCGGGTATGATCCCCGTGCGCCGAAGCTGGTTTGTGCTGTAAGCTTCGAGCGCCGCTGGTGCCATCACAGGCGCCGCTATGAGTGAAGATCCTTTTAGTCGTGGCGGGCTTCGAGCGCCGCTGGTGCAATCAAAGGCAGAGGCAGACATGTGCATGGACGCATGCTACACTGGTGCAGCCATGGTGGGATATGGTGGTACACTGGTGCCATCACAGACAGAGGCAGAGGCAGACATGTGCATGGACACATGCTACACTGGTGCAGCCATGGTGGGACATGGTGGTACACTGGTGCCATCACAGACAGAGGCAGAGGCAGACATGTGCATGGACACATGCTACACTGGTGCAGCCATGGTGGGACATGGTGGTACACTGGTGCCATCACAGACAGAGGCAGAGGCAGACATGTGCATGGACACATGCTACACTGGTGCAGCCATGGTGGGACATGGTGGTACACTGGTGCCATCACAGACACAGGCAGAGGCAGACATGTGCATGGACACATGCTAGCTACCACCGCACATGCTACCACCGCACATGCTACCATCCCACCTGGATGGTGTATGTGGACGAGGTGCAGCCATGATGGGATTCGAGCGCCTGCCCGATCCTCTGCGCGAGCAACCACATGTCTGTGATATGCACCCACCTACATGCCATTGCCACACCTGAATGAGTCCCACCGACATGCCATCACCCCACCTGGATGGTGTAAGTGGAGGAGGTGCAGCCGTGGTGGAATTCGAGCGCGCGCCCTATCCTCTGCGCGAGCAACCACGTCTGTGAGTGACCTTTGAGGTGCCTCAAAGCCACTACCATCGCACCTGAATGGTGTAAGTGGAGGAGGTGCAGTCATGGTGGGATTCGAGCGCCTGCCCGATCCTCTGCGCGAGCAGCCACATGTCTGTGATGTGCACCCACCTACATGCCATTGCCACACCTGAATGAATGTCCCACCGACATGCCATGATATGACCTGCACCCACCGACATGCCATCACCCCACCTGGATGGTGTAAGTGGAGGAGGTGCAGCCGTGGTGGGATTCGAGCGCCTGCCCGATCCTCTGCGCGAGCAACCACATGTCTGTGACCTCGTGAGCAGTCATGTCCTTGAATCGTGGCACCACGCGCCGAGGAAGGACAAGCACATGACCTGGGAGGAGCGGGAACAGCAACAAGCAGTGGGGTTAGAGTTTGAGCGCTGTGTGCTGTCGCGTTATTAACGCCTAGCCGTCAGGCTAAGGCGTGAATTACACAGCAGCCAGGTAATTGTGCATGCCTAGTGGGCCCAGTGGGATCCAGCTAGCACCTAGGAGCCATCACGAGCAGCTTGGCTGACTCGCGTCTGGCCTTAGAGCTAGCGTGCGGAGGAAGGAACCAAGGCAGGAGGAGGAGGGGATGTAGTCAAGGGTAGCACTCAGGTTTCTTGCTTTTTGCTTGTATGTTTCTCTTCTTACTGTAATCTTGTTTTCCTAAGCCAAAGGAAGCTAGTAGTAGGGAGAAGCAGGAGCAATCTGACGGAGCTTTTGCGAGGGAGTTAAGACTTGTTCAGGCAGGGTGACCTGATACACGCGGAGGGAAGGAGAGTAAGCTCATTACATATGCCAGGAGGAACAAGGGTCACCTGCCTACATGGTCAGGGGGTGCCACCTGCTGGAAGAAAGGGGACAGAAATGTGAGAAGGGTGGAGGAGAGAAAAGGGAGAGAAGGCTTCAATGAGAAGGGAGGTTCAGCCGGACTTGCATCACGACAGTGCTTGTGGCACCACTCGCCGAGGGAGCACGAGCACATGACCTGCAAGAAAAAGTGTAGCAACAGCAACGGGGACGAGAAGCAGCAGGCATTTTTGTGCCGAGCCGACAGCCACGTGCATGTTAATGACCTCGTGGGGGGTCATGTCCTCGAAACGCGGCACGACGTGTTGACTTTTGAGTCGACTCAAAGTCACCTCGTGGGGGGTCATGTCCTCGAAACGCAGCACGACGTGTTGGCTTTTGAGTCGACTCCAAAGTCACCTCGTGGGGGGTCATGTCCTCAAAACGCGGCACGACGTGAGAATGGCAACAAGCAGTGGGGTTAGAGTTTGAGCGCTGTGTGCAACGTAGCAGCCAGCCACATGTCTGTGACCTCGTGAGCAGTCATGTCTTTGAATCGCGGCACCACACGCCGAGGAAGCACAAGCACGTGACCTGCGAGGAGTGGAAGGGGAAACGAGTAGCAGCAGGTGTGTTTTGAGTGGAATCAGCAGGAGAGCCAGGTGCTCGTCTGCGTGAACTCGTGAGTCGTCATGCCCTGGTAGTGCGGCACACGACAGGGCAGCAGGAGGGCACCAGCACGCGACCTGGATGGCATACCATACGAATTTTTAGAACTTTTAAGACGTCTCAAGTGTAGAAACTTATTTTTATGAGATGTCTCAAAAGACCTGGATAGCATACCATACGAGTTTCCAGACCTGGGATCATTGAAGACCTCGTATGGTATGCTATCCAGGTCACGTGCTGGTGCCCTCCTGGATAGCATACCATACGAGTTTTAAGACCTGGGATCAGAGTTAAGATAGGCAGCATTGAAGTTAGCTGCTGTGCTGCTACAAGCCAGTCAATCCTGTGTCTTTTGCGATGTGTCACAGCATTAACTGAATCTGTGTCCCAGAAACTTCGGAGCGAGTCGATTCGCGAGTTCCTCTTGAGTCGCACGAGTGCCTCTGAGTCGCACGAGTGCCTCTGAGTCGCACGAGTGCCTCTGAGTCGCACGAGTGCCTCTGACTAAATCTCGTCACCAAAACGTCTGCGTTATTGAGTAATGGGGGTGGCGATTTTTGCCATTTTTTGCCGCGCTTTACAGTTCTAGTTGATGAGGGATGACTCCTTGTGCCGTTTTGACATTGCGAAATAGGAACTGAATGGCAGGCGTCGCTTGACAATTCTCAAGGGCAGTCAGCTATCAGAAAAAGCGGCCGCATCCATTTGAGTCGTCACGTCCTCCTCTTATTGTTGTGAGGTCGACTTAGGCGGCGAGAAATATTCTAGCAAGCGACTGCAAGATTCAACGCGCCACATGTCTCACCCTTCACGACGGGTTTCAGATTGACTATAGCGAGGGAAAGATTCGTCTCGGCGAACACCTCTCTCGAGTCCAAATCCCACCGCCCGAACTTCAGCTTCGTCGCTGGCGTGTCAGCTAGCACGTCTGACGTGGCCGGTGGCACGCCTGATGTGGAGGTTGGCAAGCTTGACGTGGACGTCATCGCTCTCGTCCCGCTGGGATATCGCTGTTTGTGGCTATATATCAGCCGAGCGTGAAAAGGAGATCTACGTGGGAGGAGGCGAGCCGCCGTGAGAGGAGCGGCAGCGGGATGACGGGCTGAGCCAATGAGGAGCCGATTGGCGGCTAATCGGAGAGGCAACGAATGAGCCGTGGTGGCAAACTGAGTGGGGAACACGCTAGGCGGGAATAGGAATCTAGGGCTGGCGTGGTTTACGCGCGAATGAAGGGTGCGAGCGATAGATGATCAGCAAGCCAGCTCAATACGCAGCACGAGGAATGCGGGTCGGACCTGGCTGGCGCCAGCTGAATTTGTGGGGATGAAGGTCTCGAGAAGAGCAGCATTCGTTATAGAACGCTGTATCTTTCTCCTACACTTCTCCAGATAGCTCTTATTGCCCAGATGTCAACTTTCCATCATTGACATGAGAATTAGAGTTTGAGCATGGTTCCTAAATTTTTAGAGTAATAAACTTGACAGGTGAAATTATCTAGTAAAGTGACAACCAAGCTGCAGGAAATGAATTTAGTAGAGTGACAGAAATAAGCTGAAAGAATGATTGGTTTTTTCTGTATCTACTAAGTTGTTATCCTCCTTACAGAGCCGATTGCCGATTGGCTATTTCGCATGCTATGGGTGAATCTCACCATCAGACACATGCCGTCCGAGTGAATGTCGAAGCGCGCAAAACCGGACTCTGGAATCTGAATCCAGCTGTCTGTCAATGAGATGAGCGACATAGTCGCTTGAACACAAACTCACGACGACGCTCGCGAACAGAAGGCTGACCACGTGTGTCGCGCCGCCATTTCCCGATCTTCCGTTCCTTCCAGCATCATGCAGTTGAAGCTTTCGCGATCGCCAGGCTTCCCGCCCGAAACGAGTTCGTGAGTGCCACGAGAAACGGCAGATCTGCCGTTAGCGAGTGCAGCTGAAGGACTCGCGATTCTGTCTTTTGTTCCTACGAAATTCTCAGACGGCACGGGACGACCTACCACGGTCAGATCTGTGACTTCCACGGACCTACACGGAACCCGGCGCGCGCACTGCGGCTTTACCCAGCGAAACGACGTTTCAAAACGGTAGAATGGGAGAGCCGATGTTGACCACGAGCAGCAGGCTCGTCGGAGTCACGACTCACGAGCAAACTCTTGAAAAGCAAACAGCTGTTCCAAAACAGACGCATTTGCCGACTGCAGTTCAATTTCAGAGCCAGCTCACACCGTTGTCGCTTCAGGCGACGCCCATCCTTCTCGGAGTGACTTTTGAGTCGACTCAAAAGTCACACCGTTGTCGCCTCAGGCGACGTTACCCGTTGTCGCTTCAAGCGACGTCACCCGTTGTCGCTTCAGGCGACGACTCATAGAACTTCTCGGAGAAGATCATGGGTGAGTCGGAGGCACCCTCGGGCTCAGGCTCGTCGGCGCAATCGTCGGCGCTAACGTCGGCGCAACCGTCGGCGCAAACGTCGGCGCAAACGTCGGCGCAAACGACGGCGGCGTCAGCTCCTAGCGGAAAAGTTCCCGGCTCACCTCTCAGCACCCCTTCCAAATCTCGGTTCCTCGCGGCTCTGGCAGCGGCCATGGGCGGTGGGAAGGCAGGCGGCGCCGGGATTTGCGGAGGAGCTCGCTGGCATGCGACATGCTCGGCGGCGCTGGTGTTGATAACGATGTTGCTTCTAACGAGCTTTTGGACAAGATGTGAGTTTTTCTAAGTCTTTTCTTCCTAACGCATGTTTTCGTGCTTACGAAATGGGTTTCTGGAACAAAGTGATTCGTTGTGAAGTGTCAATTATGTTTGACTTGTTCAGCTTCGATCTCGATAATTCAGTTCTCTCCTCACGACGATTAGCCTCCAATTTCATCCCTCATCTCGTTCCTTCCTCCATAGTCCCCCCTTCTCGGCCACTCTTCTTCTCTCGCCTTTGCTTCCCTCACCCTCCACGCTCGCTCGCTCCTTCTCCCTCCCTCCCTCTCCCTCAGCCCTGCCCGGAAGTCTCCGGCGGAGATCCCTCCTCGCCGCCCCTGCTGCCAGCCCGGGCCCTCTGTGCGACCTGTACCACGGGCAGTGGGTGCCGACGCAGCAGCCGGCGTACTACTCGGGAGAGAAGTGCGGGTGGATTTCCACCAGCTTCGCGTGTGCGCGCAGCAACCGCCCGCTCGACATGCGCCAGTACGAGCGCCTGCGCTGGCAGCCCAACGGGTGTAATGTGACGCGCTTCAGCGCGGATGGCTTTTTCAGCAGGTGAGAGGGAATGGGGACAGAGCTGGGGTGGCTTGAGGGGTTGCTCTTGTGGGTGGCTTGAGGGGTTGCTCTTGTGGGTGGCTTGAGGGGTTGCTCGAGTGGGTGGCTTGAGGGGTTGCTCTTGTGGGTGGCTTGAGGGGTTGCTCGAGTGGGTGGCTTGAGGGGTTGCTCGAGTGGGTGGCTTGAGGGGTTGCTCTTGTGGGTGGCTTGAGGGGTTGCTCTTGTGGGTGGCTTGAGGGGTTGCTCGAGTGGGTGGCTTGAGGGGTTGCTCGAGTGGGTGGCTTGAGCGCAGGCAGCCCAAAGGGTGTAACGCGACGCGCTTCAGCGCAGATGGCTTTTTAGCAGGTGAGGATGTGGATTTCGCAGGAGGTGAGGAGGGATGGAACGGGGGCAGAGCTGGGGTGGTTCGAGGGGTGTTCAAGCGCGCAAGCACGAGCTACAGAGGTGTTTTTTTTCTGAAGGAAGTGAGAGTTGTTTTTTTCTGAAGGAAGGATTGAGTTTTTCGTGTGAGCGACAACTCAGGCCAGCTACTGTTCCTTCCTGCTGCCCACACACTCCCCCTTCCTCTTCCCCCCTCCTACCCCCACCTTCCATTCCTGTCGAATTTATAACAAGCCCCTCAGGCCAGCAGCAGTTGCTTCATGTTCCCCTTTTACTCATCAACCCCCTTCCTGCTTTCTTATCAAATCTAGCCCTCCTCCCCTCTCTCATCCTCCTCCCGTCAGAATGCGCAACAAGAGCATAGCCTTTGTGGGCGACTCGCTGGGCCAGGAACCGTTCCAGTCGCTGCTCTGCATGCTCGCCCCAGAAGGGCCGCCCAAAAACATGTCCGACCCCGCATCCCCCATCCAAGACGCGCGTAAGGATTACGGCCTTCTCCCGACGCCCCAAGACAGCCACCGGCCCGATAGAGCGTACAGATTCGTAGCGTCCAACACTACAGTGATTTTCCGCTGGTCGACGACCTTATGCGAAGTCGAGCCGCTCAATAAGGGGAACGGGTCGCAGGACAAGGCGCTGCACTTAGACCGGCCCGACACTTTCCTAAGAGACTATCTTAAGAAGCTGGATGTGGTGGTGCTCAACACGGGGCATCACTGGGACCGGGTGGAGATGAATCAGAACGCGCTCAAGTTTTATCTCAATGGAACCGTGGCGCCGCTCATAAACCGAAGGCCGATGGTCATGTGGCTTGCGCTGAAGACAGCGGTTCGGTCTCTGAGTGTGTGGATTGATGCTCAGCTGAAGCAGACGGTGGGTTCGGGTGCGACGCTTCCGGGCTTGGCGACAGGTGGGGGTGCGAAGCTGGCGACGGCGATTTTTGGGACGCCTGACACAAAGCCAATGGTGTTTCTGCGATCGATTTCGCCGCGGCATCCCAAGGGGGATAAGAACGGCACAGGCGGGTGTGCCCAACTCAAGGTACGTAATTATACAGTGTAAAGGCTAACTTCTGTAAGATTATTGTATTTATCATTCCATGTGCTCATGCTAACTTCTGCAGCACTCAATATGGTATCTCATACTGTAGGATTGTGCACTTTGTGATATTTTCTGTGCTTTTCTTTTTCCCGTTTTGTATATTTTCCCTGCATGGCAGTACCCGTTTGGGGATGCTGAGGTGGCCAATATGACAACCAGGGATGCTATTAAGGAGGATGCAGTGCTTGGAACATCAGTACACCTTTTGAACATCACGAACTTGTCGGCTTACCGTGGTGATGCACACCCAGCTGGCTGGGATCCTCGATACGCTGCTGCCAAGGGACAGGATTGCCTGCATTGGTGCTTACCGGGCGTTCCTGACACGTGGAATGAGCTGGTTTACACTCATATCGTGGGAAAGGAAGGATAGGAGAAGTAGAACGTGGGTGCCATGCGCAATTGTTTTTTGAGAACCACATGCATTTATGCGTGATTTTGTGCATGATGATACGGTAGCTGTTTGGGATAGAAGAAAGTAAAAAATGTGTATCCATTAAAAAATAGGGTTGGTGATTAATTTTCTTCATTCCTCAAACGCACAACATACGGTCCCTGAAGTCTGTATAAGCAAAGCTGCGCGTTCTGTAACATGAAGACAGGCAAGTAGCAGATTTTGAACTCCATATTGCAACAGAAATTGCAACTATGCGTGTAATATAAACAGCGGACATCGTTGGTGTTTTTTATGTAAAAGTTGTTCTCCCGTTACAAGTTCCACATAAATGCGCTGAATCTGAGCTCATATCGGAAGTACTGCGTTCTGGAAGTTCGCGAATATGATTCGCGCGGCGACAGATTCCACCCTTCTCGCACAGCCAGGTTTTCCATGCTGCTGAACTGTCAGCACCACGGACAGCCGAGAGCGCTAAGCCCAACGCTGGCTTGGGGGGGGCTAACTGTTGGCGAGATGAGCGAGAGATCGTTGTTTTGACAATACAGTCATGAGAACAAGGCGCCGGCGTGTATTCCCATGGCGAAGTTCGTGAACGTGAACAAGCCGGCTCGTGTCGCGCCGGCTGCCATCTCATGTCGCTATAGTCGCCATTTCAGTTCCTGCGCAGCCTGCAGACGGCACTGGCAGTTCTATGTGTGACTTTCAGGGACCTAGACAGAATCCGTCGAGCACAGCACGGTTTTATCTGGCGGAATACGTAAAATGGGTGAACCGATATTCACCACCACTGATAGCAGCCTCGTTGTCACGAGCGAATTCTTAGTTGCCATTTGCAGGTCGAGAACAAACTCATCTGCCTACGGCAGACCAACTGGCAGGTCGAGAACAAATCATACTGGTCATTTCAGGCGGCCGGAAGATGGAGGCTGCCTCGTCGGCGCGACCGCGACCGTCGGCGCTACTACAAGTTTCGGCGGTGTCAGCTCCTATCGAGGTTGCGCACACGCGACGGCCGTCACGTACGTTCACCTGCATACACTGGACGGCCGTCAGGTTCGAGTCGCACACGCGACGGCCGTCAGGCACGGTCGCAAAAATGTCATTCAGGCACGCACCTAGTTGCGCGCCTCGATCATAGTCTCATTCATTCGCGGACGCCTTTTCATTCCCTGCTTTTCATTCTCCTGCGCCTCATTCCCACTGGAAAGCTGGCAGCTTTGAATTCTCTGCTTTTCCATGGGTCATCTTTCAGTTGAACTCAAAATCTTCTCGCTCGAGTGTCGTCGACCATTCCTCATTTCCAAGTAAACACCAAAAATTTATCGCGGCTTATCCTCGTCGGCCATTCTCGCTTGTTCCATGTAATGCATTCTCCCTACTAGGAGGGAATGTTCCCAGCGCCTCACCTCTCAGCACCCCTCCCAACCGATCCCGATCTCGCTCAGTGGCGGCGGCCATGGGCGGTGGGAAGGCAGACGGCGCCGGGATTTGCGGACTCCTCGGAAGAGCTCGGTTGCACGCGGCATGTTCGGCGGCGCAGCTGGTGCTTTTAATGACATTGGCCTTCGTGACGTGGGATTTGTTTCACGCCGGCAATGGGATTCGTTTCTCACAGTGTGAGTTTCTCCGCTTTCATCCGCCTTCTCGTACCGTCCTCCTTACTCCCCACCTTCACGCCCACTCTCTTTCGACCACCTCTGCTTCTGCCTCTGCTTCCGCCTCTGCTTCCGCCTCTGCTCCCGCCTCTGCTTCCGCCTCTGCTTCCGCCTCTGCTTCCGCCTCTGCTCCCGCCTCTGCTTCCGCCTCTGCTTCCGCCTCCCTCCCACGCACGCCCATTTCTACTTCCCCTCCACACATGCGGCTTCCATCCCCCTCAGCCCTCCCATTTCTCCCTCTCCTTGATTCCTATTCCATCCCTCATCTTCATCTCTCTCCTTCCTTGCTCTTCGTCATCCTTCAATCCTCGTCCCTCTCCCTCGTCCCTCTCCCTCGTCCCTCTCCCTCGTCCCTCTTCTTCATCCCCCTCTCATCCGACTCCTTCCTTCCTCTCCCTCATCCATCCCCCCATCCCTCTGCTTTCTCCTTACCTTTCCTTCCTTTCCCCCTGTCCCCCATGCCTTCCTCCTTACATTTTCTTCCCCTCACCTCTCTTCCCCATCCCTCTGCTTCTTCCTTATCTCTATTCCCTCTCCCGCCTCTCTCCCGTCCCTCTTCCCCATCCCTCACCCTCCACCCCTTCCGCTCCTTCATCCCTCTCCTTATCCTCTTCTTTCAACCCTCATACCTCATCCCTCTCTCTCAACTCTCTCTCTCTCTCTCTCTCTCTCTCTCTCTCTCTCTCTCTCTCTCTCTCTCTCTCTCTCTCTCTCTCTCTCTCTCTCTCTCATCCGTCTCCCTCATCTTCAGTCTTCCTCACCCCCCTCCCTTATCCCTCTGCTTCCTACTTATCCTTCCTTCCTCTCCCCCGTCCCTTCCTTCATCCCCCATGCCTCACCCTCCTCATTTCAGGGTGGAGGCGAAGCGAATTCGCAATTCTGTACAGCACATCCGTCTCCTCATCCTCTTACAGTCACAACTCGTCCTCTCATAGTCACAATTCTTCCGCATACAATCACAAAGTCTTCCCGAATAGCCAAGAAGCGGATCGCACTAGCCAAGCCGGACAGGTGCAGTCGACTCCGTCTCCTCTAACAGCTGACGCGGTACTGCTACTAGCTATTGCCGGTTCGAGAAAAGGGCTATCTAGTCTGCATATGTCAGAATCTGAAGGAAGCGAAGGTGGTGATTTAAGCAGCGGGGACGCGAGCGGTACTGACAGCAGTGGTAGTGGGGGTGATAGTGTTGACAGTATTACGGCTAGTATTACTAGTGCCCCCGCCGTCCCTGTGGTCCCCGCCGCCTCCGCTGCCCCCGCCGCCCCGCTGTGCGACCCGTACCACGGGCGGTGGGTGCGCACGCGGCAGCGCGCGCTGTATTCGGGGGAGAAGTGCGGGTGGGTATCGCTCAACTGGGCGTGCGCGCGCAGCAACCGCCCGCGCGAGATGCGCGAGTACGAGCGCCTGCGCTGGCAGCCGCGCGGGTGTAATCCAGAGAGCTTCAGCGCGGAAGGGTTCTTTAAGAGGTGAGGGGGAATGAGGGTAGAGTTGGGGATGGTAGAGTTGGGGATGGTAGAGTTTGTGTGTCTCAAAGGGCAAGTACGAGCGCCTGTGCTGCGTGATGGCATCCATGCGGGTGCAACGCGGAGAGCTGTTCGCGGAAGGGTTCGTTAGGAGGTGAGGGTTTGAGTTTTGCGGGAGGTGAAGGGAAAATGGAATGGGGCAGGGTTGCGGTGTTCATCCGCACAAGCATGAGCATCAGTTTTCTTTTAGGAATTGAGATGGGTTGGTTGGATTGGGGTTAGGTAGAGTTCGGTGTGAAGTATTTCCCTCGGAGTTGTCTGTGACGGCTTGAAAAGCGGATGAGGGCAGTTTTCGAGGTGCGCCACGGACGCAATGGAAGAATGTGTAGCGACTTGACAAACGAGCGGGGGCAACATGATTCGGTTCACCGCACAGCGTTAGGTGAGACGATTTTTGAGGCGCCTCAAAAATCGTCTTGACAAACGAACAGGGGCAACATGAAGCAGTTCACCGCATAGCGTTAGGTGAGAGGGAATGGGAAGGGAATGGAGGTGTGTGTGTGTGAGAGAGAAATTCGTGAGTCGCCCAACTGCTTGGGCCATCTACAGTTTCCATGCACTGCCCCTCCCCCCTTTTCCCCGCCCCAATAATTGCTGGAAATAGTTATTGACATAATAAGGGGTAGAACATACAGCTGTTTCAGAGACCTGGGCGCCCAAGTTTTACACCCTCTGTTATGCTGCTCCCTCTGCTTCACCTGCTCCTTCTGCTTCACCTGCTCCTTCTGCTTCACCTGCTCCTTCTGCTTCACCTGCTCCTTCTGCTTCACCTGCTCCTTCTGCTTCACCTGCTCCTTCTGCTTCACCTGCTCCCTCTGCTTCACCTGCTCCCTCTGCTTCACCTGCTCCCTCTGCTTCACCTGCTCTCTCTGCTTCACCTGCTCTCTCTGCTTCACCTGCTCTCTCTGCTTCACCTGCTCTCTCTGCTTCACCTGCTCTCTCTGCTTCACCTGCTCTCTCTGCATCACCTGCTCTCTCTGCTTCACCTGCTCGCTCTGCTCTGACATGCCAACAAGCCAAGGAGAGAAGAAGGATTTCAAACTCAACTCAAATCCACATTCCTTCCTCTGCTCCCCTCCTCTGCTCTCCACCTCTGCTCCCCTCCTCTGCTCCCCTCCTCTGCTCCCCTCCTCTGCTCCTCTCCTCTGCTACCCTCCTCTGCTCCTCTCCTCTGCTCCCCTCCTCTGCTCCCCCCCTCTGCTCCCTTCCTCTGCTACCCTCCTCTTCTACCCTCTGCTCCGCCCCATGCACTTCCCGCCCCCGTTCGCCCGCCCACGTTCCCTTTCCTGTCAGAATGCGCAACAAGCACATTGCTTTTCAGGGGAACTCGTTAGACCAGGAGCAGTTTCAGTTGCTACTCTGCCTGGAGATCTTGCCTGAGCTGTGTGTTTTTTTTTTCTTTCCTTTCCTCCTTGATTCCCACCCTTGCAGAATGCGCAACAAGCGCCTTGCTTTCATGGGGGACTCTCTAGGCCAGCAGCAATTGCCTCCTGTTCCCCATTCACTCCCCTTCCCCATCCTGAACTCCTTCCCCCTTTCCTTGCAGAATGCGAAACAAGCGCATTGCTTTTGTGGGGGACTCGCTAGGCCAGCAGCAGTTCCAGTCCTTGCTCTGCATGCTCTCCCCACAAGGCCCGCTCAAAAACATGTCTGACCCCTCATCCGCCTTCCAAGACGTGGGCACGGATTACGGTTTTTTTCAGCTGCCCGAGGACCGCCGCCCAACCGGGCTGGCGTACAGATTTCTTGCGTCAAACACTACAGTGATTTTCCGCTGGACGCCTTACTTGTGTAGAATCAAGCCGTTTAAGGGGAACTGGAAGCTGGGCCGTGCGATGCACTTAGACCGACCCGACACTTTCCTAAGAGACTTTCTTAAGGAGCTGGATGTGGTGGTTCTGAGCACGGGACATCATTGGAATGAGGATGAGATGAGGGAGAAAGGTCTGCATTTTTTCCTGAATGGGAGTGAAGCGCCGGCCGTGGAAAGGCGGCCGATGGCTGTGTCGTTGGCGTTGCGGACGGCGATTCGGTCGGTGTCTGTGTGGGTTGATGACCAACTGAAGGGACGTTTGCAGGTGAAGGGAGGGTGGGGAGAGGGAGCAGGGGTGGGAAAGAAGGGAAGTCTGGGTTCGGCTGCGACGCTTCCGGCTGTGGACACTAAGCCGATTGTGTTTCTGCGATCGATTTCGCCGAGGCATTTCATGGAGGGGGAGTGGAACTCGAGAGGACGATGCGACCATCTCAAGGTACGTGACGATAGTGTACAGGCTAACTTTCATACCGTAGATTTGTTTTGCATGCACATGCTAACTTATGTAACACTCCATGTGCTACCTCACATGTGTAATATCTGAGTGTGAACTATTTGCTGTTTTTTTTTTTTCCCCTTTTATTACATGCTTGCATGGCAGCATCCGTTTGGGGATATTGATGTGGCCAATATGACAACAAGGGACGCTGAAAAGGAGGATGGAGTGTTGGGAACATCAGTACACCTTTTGAACATCACGCATCTGTCCGCCTACCGTGGTGATGCTCATCCAGCCAAATGGGACGCACGATTCAATAAGCCCAAGAGACAACAAGACTGCATGCATTGGTGTGCTTACCGGGTGTTCCGGACACGTGGAACGAGTTGCTTTACACACATATTGTTGGGAGAGAACCATTGGAGAAGCAGAACTTTGGTTACTATTTCAGATAATGACTGTAAACGTACAGGAATTTATAAAGGGGATGTGACGGAGGATCAATGTATTTCTCATAAAATGCCATGAATCAGGAATTTTTATGTGTTTTTTTTTAGGGTATGAACTGAGGGCCCGGGATGTTAAAATCCGACCACAGGCCCTGCATGACGCAACATAAGGTAAGATGATTCTATTAATGCAAAATTTCCAAGTTATAGGTTGATTTTATGGATGCAGTATTTCCAACTTATTCTCAGCTCATTCTTCTGTAGAAAATTCGTTTACTCCAAAGCTAAAAACAGCCACAAGCTATCTTCAGTACAGTCACACACCGCTCGAATCTCGACCAACCGCGTGTGGAGGGGTGGTCAAGGAAGGTGCAACAAAGCGTATGATAGGCCAACGCAAGCAACAGATGACCCCAAGGACTGCTCCTTCTCCCATCCGCCTCCCCCATCCCCAAAAGTCCGCCTGTACCCACCCTACCCTTCCGTTTCTCTTTCCACCCATGATGAACCTTCTAACTCTCCCGTCATCCCTTTGAACCGCACAAATTGTCGGTCTTCTAAAACGTGCTATGCTGTTGATGATGCTTCTCCTGCTGCTACCGAAATTAGGGCTGACTAGCTAGAGTTTTGTGAACTGAGCTATGTGACTTGAGTGGCCTGCTAATCCTGTCAGCCTAGTACCGTTGCTTATTTCCCTTACGTCCCGACCGAGCATCTGCCTGTCGTCCCAATTGTGAGGAGGATTCATTACGTAGGTCGCTCTCCACACCCATCACGTTCGGGGAGGGGTTAAGCGTCAAGGCTGAAGAGGATTAATTCTTGTTTTTTTGCCTTGGTTTATGCGTCTGCCTAGTTAGTAAGATAAACAACCGTTAGTTCCTTCTGCAGTGATTTCATACCTTTTACAACTGTTTTAACAGTTAGCAACCATGTTCGGCAAGATTTTCGGGAAGCCGAAGGAGCAGCCGACGGTTCGGGCGTCTCTTGACAAGTTGTCGGAGGTACGCATTACCATTTTATAACTCCACGCGCTCCACTCATCCTGTTCGTGACGCCATGTTTTGAAATTTCAGAAAATATATTCCTTCTCCTTTGTTTGTGGGTGGATGACGTTTAATCACACCTGCATCGGCCGATTCCTGTTTCCCTGTTAAGCCTTCCTGCGGACTCCCCGGCCGTGGGCGTCGTCTTTTGTGCATTGTAGTGCTGATTGGAGGCTGTGGAAGGATATAGAACGTGAATTCATGCATGTATTATGTTGTTCTTGTGTGCTTCTGAACTGCATGCATTCAGACGCGTGAAATGCTGGAGAAGAAACTCAAGGTCCTCGAGAAGAGAGTCGCTTTGGAGCTGCAAAAGGCCCAGGAGTTTTCGAAACAGAAGAACAAGCGAGGTGAGTGGGAATGACGAAGACGACGACGCGAAGAGTGTCTTATGCGCAGTAAAGTGTTTGGAATCAATAATTAAACGATGGTGGAGCTACGGTTGTAACGGGTAGATTCACAAGCGTGGTGAGCTTTGTGGCAGTCGAAACGCACGGATGGCACAAAGGCGAGATGTCGTGTTGTAAGCCTTTTCCTGTTCAAGTTGAAGCTACGTTACTTCGAATCCGACTCAGATTCTATCGTTAATTTGAATCTATCCACCTCTAACTTCCATTCAGTGCCTCCCGAGGTAGCTTTTTCCTCCTCCACCCCCATCCACCGATTCCCGCCCTCCTCCAGCCGCTTTCCAGTGCCTGCTGCTGACGAAGAAGCAGTACGAGATTCAGTTGTATTTTAAAGCCGCTTCTATTGATGTTTTTTGTTTGTTTGTTTGTTTGTTTTTTTTTTTTTCGCTCCTGCCTCAACCCGAATCCCCATCCCCTCCCGGCTCCACTTCAACCGCCATCCAGTGCCTGAAGAAGAAGAAAGCAGCTGTACGGGAATCAGTATAATCTCTGAGGAGCCTCAAGATATTGGTTGATTTACCCCCACCCCCACCGGGTGACTTTTGAGTCGACTCATAAGTCATCAGTATAATCTCAGAGGAGCCTCAAGATATTGGTTGATTTACCTCCACCCCCACCGTCTGTCCTCCCCACTGCAGCCGCGATTCAGTGCCTGATGTAGAAAAGACTGTACGGGAATCTGGTCTATCTCTGAAGCGCAGCAAGAAATTCAGTTATTCTACCTCCAACCCCATGGTCAACCCCACTCCGTCCCTGCGCTGCTGCAGCCGCCATTCAGTGCCTGAAGAAGAAGAAGCTATATGAGAATCAGATAGACGCGCTCAACAACTATATCTTCCGACTTCAAGACCAGGTGCGTGCGGACTGCTGTGCTGGGGCAGTGACGAGACGGATTTGACGAGAGGTTAGGGGAAAGAAGAGATGTTTCTCTAGGCACCATCCAGTGCCTGAAGAAGACGAAGCTGTACGAAAATCAATTAGACGCGCTCAACAACTACATTCCCTGACTGCAAGACCAGGTGCGTGTGGAGTGCTGGGAAGTGAGATAAGGGTGCGAATTGAAACTGAATGGAGGATATGAATTTAAAGAGGGGGAGTGTGACGGTGGTGGAGATGATGAGTGCACTGAAGGAGTCCGCCCAGGCCATCCAAGGGGCTCGTATCATGCTGCTTTTGTGGCACTGAATTCTGTCTGAGTCTTCCCTGAGTGCTCTTGAATGCCCCTGAGTGCTCCTTGAGTGCAGGAGGTGAATCTGGAGGGAGTGTGACGGTGGAGATGATGAGTGCAATGAAGGAGTCCGCCCAGGCCATCGAAAGAGCTCGTCTCATGCTGCTTGTGTGACTCTGAATTCTTCCTTAACTCTTCCTGAATGCTCCCGAATGCTTCTGGATGCCCAATAAATGCAGGAGGTGAATCTGGAGGGAGCGAGTGTGACGGTGGAGATGATGAGTGCAATGAAGGAGTCCGCTCAGGCCATTCAAGGCGTGCAGAAGAAGATGTGAGTTCCAGTGTCCATCCTAGTGCTTTAAATTTAATCAGCCTGGCTCAGAGTAAGCCTCGCCTCATATTCTTGCAATGATCGACGTCTCGCAGTGAGCATTCTTCCAGATTCACTCGTCTAGCAATGAGACTCGTTACAGAATGTGCAATGTGATGTGAAGTGTCCCACAAAAGACCTTGTCTTAGGAGGAAGCAGGTACTATTCTAATGCACAAGTAGATGTCAGTCCTGCATTCAACAAGTCCCAACACCACTGCTGTCCCTCTGACAACCCTTTGTCATTGTTGAGTTGAGACCCCTGCTCTCGTCGCAAGCCGTGGACAGTGGGCATCAATGAGGCATTCTCTGCTCTCTCTTTTATTATTTTCACCCCCATCTCCTCTCTTCTTTCCCCTCTCTCCTTTCCCCTTTCGCCTCTCCCCTCTCTCCTCCCCCCCCCTCTAATCTCGTCTCCACAGGAACATCGACGATGTGGATAAGACACTGGATGAGATCAACGAGCAGTCGGAGAACATGAAGCAGATCCAGGACGCCCTCTCACAACCAGTTGGCATCGCAGCCGATCTTGACGAGGTACAGTACAGTGCTCTCATGATGCATCACTGTTGAAAACCCTGAATAGGACTCCAGGTACTGTACTCCAGGTACTGTACTCCACGTACAGTACTCCAGGTACAGTACTCCAGGTACAGTACTCCAGGTACAGCACTCCAGGTACAGTACTCTGATGATTATGCTACCATGGCAAAGTTATTAATGCATCCCACCACCTCCCTTTCCCGCTGTCTCTAGGTCCTCCTGCATCCTAGCAGGATGGGGTGATGGAGCAACTGCTGCAACCACCTCTGTGTTCATAACCCTTTCGTTCCCCATATCTGGCCTCCCCCGTTTCACGCAGGACGAGCTTATGGCTGAGTTGGAGGAGCTTGAAGCACTCGAGTTGGACGAGCAACTGCTGCAACCAGCTGCTGCTGTGCCGTCACAGCCGCTGCCATCCGTGCCCAAGAAAGCTCCGGCGCAAAAGGCACCCACAGAAGAGGAGGACGAACTCGAGAAGATGCGTGCAGAAATGGCCATGTGATTGGAATGAATGTGATGGCGAAGTGCTCGTGCCAGCGCTACCTGCTTACGTCTTTGCTCAAGAAGGTTCCGGCCCCAAAGGTTTGGTCCGAAGAAAAGGGTAAATTTAAATGGATGCGTAGCAAAATGGCGTGTGGAAGAACAGCATGGGTGGAAACGTTGTTGCTGAATATTTTTTGTCGTTGCCATTTGGTTACAGTTGTAGTTTCGCAGGTCTAGAGCCGTTAGCAGAATTATTTTCTTGTATATTTTGAAGTGTTGTACGTCTCAGTTTGTATATTGAGGAAGTTGCTGATTTCTGTTCTTCAATCTGCTTGTTTGTGGGGGTTCTCCTCCATCCCCAAGACCCTTGCTAGCTGCATTTTCTGCTCTTCAATAATTTGGTTTGGCAGGGAGGGAGCGAAGGCCTAGCAAACCAGAATTCGTAAGAGTACAACATGGCCATCGACTTATCGCACAGGTTGAGCATATGCACATAAAGCGCACGACAGTACTATCCAGTGTGATTGCTGGGTGTGTGTGTATCATAAAGCCGAAACCAGATTCCTAGCTACTTTGTGAACTTGAGGTATTCTATCGGTTGTATTGGACTCTCGTCACCATCTCCCAATGTCCCTCGCAGCCTGCTCCTTCCTGCCATACACACAGCTTGGTCTCACCTTTCCCGCGCGATCAAATTCCGCCGCGCGTTTCACGTCCGCATCCGCTGCCATTCCCCTTGGGATCTCCGCGGGTCGCGCCAGCCGTCGCATTGCCCTTCCCAATCGACCTCGCGACGTCCATTCGCTCACCTTCGCTACAGTCGCACCGCCTTCACTCACATCCTTCACACCCGCGAAGCATTCGTTCGCTTTTGTAACCTCATCGCAGCCTCGTAACTGCGGAAGTTTTGCGAGCCCGTTCTCTGGTACCCTCGGGATTGGTCCGGTGTCAGCCAGAGCGAAAACATTCCCGGGCAGAAACGTATCAAACCAGACAGATTCCACTGGTCGGCGTAGTGCCGTGAGTGCGATGGGCAAGAAGAAAGGAACCAACGCCGCTGAGCAAGTCGGGGTCACAGAGGCCAAGGCAGCACCACCTGTCAAGCTGATCGGTACGTTCAGACAATGTCGGACATTGTCGATGGCTATAAGATTCCTGTTAGGTACGACAATGCACTGTCCAAAAGTCTCATTTCTGTGTATTTTTGCCTAATTCTGGTGTCGATCTTTGCTAACAATGGTGCAGCTTGTATTCCTGATGTGTCACTCACTCCAGTCTTTTTTCTGTTGTGCAACCCGCCTCACATGTGGGATGACCGACTGTGCATCACCATTCACCTGGAAACATCCCACTCTCTTTCTTCCGAGCACGTGCAGAAATCGCAGCCAACTTAACAGGTAACACCGCCACCACATCAGTAATTTGGAAGGACGGCATATGATATATCTGATAGTGATATGCCCGACTCTCTCTTCCTGCATGGCTCATTTTCTGATATATCATATGGAGAGTCGAGACTGATTCCCTTTGGAGCTCTTCTTCTGTTTGTTTCTGGCTCCAGGTGAACAGCCCAATCTCCTATGTTCTTCCCTCCTTCATTGGCTATGGAGATTGTTTCCTTCCCTTGATGTTTTTCACCCTTTTCCCATTTCTAACCAACCGAAGATGGGATGTTCCAAGGCTGCTACCATGGCAAACAGGCGCATCCGCCGGACCTGCAGGCAGTCCTCTCCCGAGCCTGGGAGGCTGGTGTGGAGAAGATAATTGTGAGTGTTGGGGAAGACTATAGTGAGTGGTGGAGAAGATTATATTGAGTGATGGGATCGAACATAGGAGGGAACTGGGAACCTGTCGAAACACATTCTGCTAAGGCCTTTGGCAGCAGCAATAGGACGCTGGTGGCGTTCTCCTGCCGTTGAGTGTCTACAGTCTCTTCTCCTGTTTGCCTCGTTCAGCCTTTTTATGTTCGCTCCTCTTCACCTCTGTGTGTGTGTGTGCGTGCACGCACACATACATGCGTGTGTGTCATGCATGCATGTGTGTGTGTGTGTTTGTGTGCGTGCGCGCGCGTGCATGTGTGCGTGCGTGTGTGTGTGTGTGTGTGTGTGTGTGTGTGTGTGCGTCTGTGTGTGTGTGCGCGCGCGTGCGTGCGTGTGTCTGTGTGCGTGTGTTTGTGCGTGTGTCTGTGGGTGTGTGTGTGTGTGTGTGCATGGACGTGTGTGTGTGTGTGTGTGTGTGTGTGTGTGTGTGTGCATGGATGTGTGTGTGTGTCAGGTCACTGGAGGCAGCTTAGAGGAGAGCAGAGCAGCGCTTGCTCTGGCAGAAACAGATGGTGTGTGAATGGAGTGAGTGAGTGAATGAGCGAGTGAGTGAGGGAGTGAGTGTGTGGGTGAGTGAGAGAGTGAGTGAAGAAGGGTGAGAGTGTGCAAGAAATAACAGTGGGTGAGTTCTATGTGTGGGCAATCAAAACTGTGCTAGCAAATAGACCTCCCTTCTCTCTAAGCCTGCATCTCTCTCCTTTTCCCCTTATCAACTCGTCCTCCTCGTGTTTTCCATATATTTTCCTCATCTGTCTCACCCAATTCTAATTCCTCATTTTTTGTGTCTCCCCTCTCTTCCCTTCCCCCCTGTATCCATATTCCCCCTCCCTTCCCTCCCTCCTCTACAAAGACCGCCTCTACTGCACCATTGGCGTCCACCCTACCCGTTGCTCTGTAAGGAACTGCTTTGCATCTCCTTGCTCCCCCCTATCTCCCTTTCCCTCTTTTCTCCTCTTCTCCCATCCTTTCCAAAGACACCTCTTCTGTACCGTTGGTGTCCCCGTTGCCCTCTCTGTAAGGAGCAGGGGCGGCGCATGCATAAAAACATATCATCCATTTTGCAACCCCACTTGCACCGCTTGCAATACCTAACTTCATTTCCTCCCTGTTTTTTCCCCTCTTGTCCATTCCCGTCCCCTTTCTGCTCCTTCTTCCTTCCTCCCCTTCCCTCCCTGCTCCTCATACCCTTCCATTCTCAGGAATTTGACGCAAGTGGCGATCCGCAGCAGCACCTGCAATCGCTGCTGAAGCTGGCAGAAGAAGGGAAGGCCAAGGGCAAGGTGCGTCTGAGTAAAAGGGGCGGGTCTGTGCATGGATGGCTTTAAGGCTGGCCGAATAAAGGTAGATCAGAAGGAACATTGACGTCGACACGACATGTACAAGGATCATGAGTAAGAAGGATGAGGATCCGCTGGCAGGAAGAGTTGCAAAATCAGCATGGGGTATGTGTGCTGCTGCTGAAGTGCCAAGTGCAATGTGGTTTGAAAATGGCTAAACGGGAGGGTCCGTTCATGGCTGCTTGTGTGTACGGGTTTAAAGGAGGTGCCTCCAGACCAGACGTTTCAAAAATCTCATTATTTTGTCCTTTGCCCCACTTACAGTGCCACCCTACATTCATATCGCTCTGTCTTTTGCCCCCCCTATGAGTTCCTTATGAGCTGCCTAAGAAAATGTACTGTTTTGTCCTTGGCCCCTCCTTGTTTGCAGGTGGTGGCCGTGGGCGAGTGCGGGTTGGACTATGACCGCCTTGTGTTCTGTTCTAACCTCCATGTTGTCCCCCCTCTTATGGAGTCCTCTCAATTCATACTGTTTCGCGCTTTGGCCCCCTTATCGAGTCTTCAGAAGCCATACTGTTCCATCCCTTGCTTGCCCCTCGTGTTGCAGGTGGTGGCGGTGGGCGAGTGCGGGTTGGACTATGACCGCCTTGTGTTCTGCCCCAAGGAGGTGCAGCAGAGGTGAGTTGGGGAGAGGGGAGGGGGAGGGAGATCGCGAGATGCAACACGGGAGTGTGTGCCTCTGTATCTCTTGTGGCCGTGGGCGAGTGCGGGTTGGACCGTTATGATCGCCTTGTGTTCTGCCCCAAGGAGGTGCAGCACAAGTGAGTTCGCAACTCAAATTCCTCCTTCCCATCCCTCCCTCGTCCTGACTCTGTTCCTTCCTGCCCCCTCTTCCTACCTACCCCCTCGTGCTGCCCATGTTCCCTTATTACCCCTTCCATTCCCGCCCCTACCTACCATCCATCCCATCCCTCCCTGTCCCTGCTGCAAAGGTACTTTGAGCTCCAGTTCGACCTCGCCCAAGCCACCCAGCTGCCCATGTTCCTGCACATGCGCGCTGCTGCTGACGATTTCCTGGAGATTGTGAAGAGGAACGAGAGCAGGTGAGGGTGGGATGGATGGGGAAAAAGACGAGGAGAGGAGGGTGTGAGTGCTGTAGGGGATGTTGTGGCTCTGGCAAAGGTTGAAGGTGCTATTGTGGTGCCTTTTGAGTCGACTCAAAAGTCACCTCGTTACAGGGGATGTTGGGGGGGCTCTGGCAAAGGGTCACGGTGCTATCGTGGTCGACTTTTGAGACGTCTAAAAAAAATTAGTGCTGTAGGGGATGTTGGGGGGGCTCTGGCAAAGGGTCAAGGTGCTATTGTGGTGCAGTGCAGTGATCACCTGCAGTGCAGCACCCATCATGGGTCACCAGCCCATATGCAGGTGATCACTGCAGCGATCACCGGTCCTGTGGTCTCCTCGTGCCGCCGAGCCGAGTCTTATAACCACCATATGCACTTGCAAATAGTTTTCATTCCATATGTGAGTATTTTTCTTTACCCCCTGCTTCCTGCTTCTCCATGGATGTGCATGCTCCAGGTTCGTGGGCGGAGTGGTGCATTCGTTCACAGGCACGTGCGGCGAGAGGGACGCCCTTCTAGCAGTGCCCAAGCTGTCCATTGGTGAGAGAGTGGGAGAGCAAGAGGTGGGTCAACTGCAGGCATTTCAATTTCAGAAGAGTTTCAAAGGGGGATTGGTGAATTTCCTTCACAGGCACGTGTGGGGAGAGGGACGCCATTCTTGTAGTGCCCAAGCTGTCCATTGGTGAGAGAGAGCGTGAGAGCAATGAAACCTTGGGGCTCAAGTGCCCTGCGCTGGCTTCGGGGATGGCAGTGCTGCATTCCTGCATGTTCCTTCACAGGCACGTGCGGCGAGAGGGACGCCCTTCTTGCAGTGCCCAAGCTGTCCATCGGTGAGAGAGTGGGAGAGTGGGACAACCTTAAAGCCATGGCGGGGATTCCTGCCACCCGTCTCATGCTTGAAACCGACTCCCCTTACTGCGATGTGCGGCCGACACACGCCGGCCACTGCTTCAGCCTTATCTGCTCTCTCTCTCTACTCTCGTTCCTGTCCCTTGCATCCCCCGCTCCCCATCTCCCCATGCAGGAATCAATGGGTGTTCACTGAAGACAGAGGACAATCTTAAAGCCATGGCGGGAATACCTCCCAATCGTCTCATGCTTGAAACGGACTCTCCTTACTGCGATGTGCGGCCGACACACGCCGGCCACCGATTCGTGGGGAGCAAATGGGCGGCAAAGAAGAAAGAGGCACATTCGGAGGATGCGATGGTGAAGGGGAGAAACGAGCCGTGTGCCATCAGGTGAGTGTGTGGCATGGGGTGTGGGGTGTGGGTTACATGTGCTGTGATGCAAAGAGGAGTGGGGCGGGGCAAGTACACGGGTTTCCGAGAAGAAGGAGGGGCGTTCCGCGGATGCGGTGGTGAAGGGGAGAATTGAGCCTTGTTCCATCAGGCCTATTTTTGAGTCGACTCAAAAATAAGGAGGGGCATTTGGAGGATGCGATGGTGAAAAGCAGAAACGGGCTGTGTGTCATGAGGTGAGTGTGTGGCATGGGGTGGTGGGTGGGTATATGTGGGATGAGGGACGGAAGGTGGCTGAAACTTTTCGGAGGAGGGGCATTCAGAGGATGCGATGGTGAGGGGCTGAAATGAGCCGTGTGCCATCAGGTGAGTGTGTGCTATAAGGCGGGCTTGTGCCATGGGGTGTGGTAGTAGCTTTGAACATGGTGGGTACTGTCGGGAGAGGGAGAAGAAAGAGGCGCACTCAGAGGATGCCATGCTGAAGGGCCGAAACGAGCCGTGTGCCATCAGATGGGCGTGTGGAATGGGGTATGGGGTGATGAGGTATGGGGTGTGGATGACATGTGCTGTGATGCAAGGAGGAGTGGGGCGGGGCAAGTACACGGGTTTCCGAGAAGGAGGGGCATTCCGAGGTTGCGGTGGTGAAGGGCAGAAACGAACCGTGTGCCATCAGGTGGGTGGGCATGTGGGATCAAGTGTGCACATAGTACGCGTTAGGCATGAAGCGTGGCATGTGGGATCAAGTGAGCACATAGTACGCGTTAGGCATGAAGCGTGGCATGTGGGATCAAGTGAGCACATAGTACGCGTTAGGCATGAAGCGTGGCATGTGGGATCAAGTGAGCACATAGTACGCGTTAGGCATGAAGCGTGGCATGTGGGATCAAGTGAGCACATAGTACGCGTTAGGCATGAAGCGTGGCATGTGGGATCAAGTGAGCACATAGTACGCGTTAGGCATGAAGCGTGGCATGTGGGATCAAGTGAGCACATAGTACGCGTTAGGCATGAAGCGTGGATCCGGTACTGGGATGCAAGGAAGTGTGACGGGGCGAAGAAGGAGGGGCATTTGGAGGATGCGGTGGTGAAGGGCAGAAACGAACCGTGTGCCTTCAGGTGGGCATGTGGGATTGGGTATGGGATGTGGTTGCTGGGGCAGCAAGTGGGTGGCGAAGAAGACGGAGGCACATTCGGAGGATGCGATGGTGAAGGGGAGAAACGAGCCGTGTGCCATCAGGTGCGTGTGTGGAATGGGGTGGTGGGTGGGTGTATGTGGGATGAGGGAAGGAAGATGGGGGGGTTTTCTGAAAAGAAGGAGGAGGGGCATTCTTAGGATGCGATGGTGAAGGGCAGAAACGAGCCATGTGCCATCAGGTGAGTGTGCATGTGGGACGGGTGGTTGGTCATGTGGCATTAGTTGTGGCATGGGGCATGGTATGGGGTATGAGGTATGACTAACGGGGCATGGGGTGTGCTTGTGCCATGGGGTATGGTGACCTGTGCTATAATTAATAATCAATGGATGCTTGTTGTGCAGCAGGAGGGTATGGTGAGGCGTCTCAGACGTTTTTTATTGAGTTGGTGAAAATGGAGTTGCATTTGAGAACTCTTTCACCCTGCTTCTCAATCTCCTTCCACATGCAATGCAGGCAAGTACTGGAGGTGGTGTGTGGATACAGGGGAGTGGAGGACATAGAAGAATTCGCTCGCATTGTCCATAATAACACCACCAGGTGCCGATCGTTTTCCCCTCTCATCCCTCCCCCCCTCTCCCCCTCCAACACGACCCCACCTCCTCCCTCCTCGATTTGTGACTTTTGAGAACTCTCAGAAATGCCCTTTTTTTATTCCTCTTCCCATTTCCCTTATCCCTCCCCTTCAAATACCTTTTAGCCTTTCCTTTTCCCACACGCATTTACTTGTGTGCCGTAGCTTTCGGCTTCTTTGATTGATACACTGTACATTGCACGCTGCTGACCCGTCTCAACCTGTAAAGAACATTTGTGTTGAGACGTCTCGAAACAAATCTTATTTCTTCTGTGCCGTATCTTTCTTCTTCTGTAGCCAATACACAGAACGCTCTGGCCATTGTTTTCCTAACGCTGCCACCCCAATCTTTCCCTGTGTTTGCAGCCTTTTTTACCCTCCTAGAAAGTAAAAGGTACAGCTTTCTTGTGGTGCACACTTGCAGCTATCAATAAGAAATGTGAATGTGATACGCACCATGGCCTATAAACCATGCCATCATTATGCTGAGCTTGTTAATAGCTACTACTTTCCTCATACAGATACAGCAATACGAGCATTTGGTTGCATCTGTCAATGAACATATACAGAGCAGAGACACTTGGGATTGTATACAACTGCCACGACACAATACATTCGCATGGTTACGTTCATAACCGTCTCAAAACAAGGTGTTACGCAGTGTGCATCGTGCCACCATCGATCTCAAACATCCCAAACATCAACCGCCGGACCTCCGGCTTACCGTACACGATATAAGCCGCCCCGTGAACAGCCTGAAACACCGCTCCCGAAACCAAGTTCTGAAACTTTTTATTCGCGTAGAAATACTGCTTCGACTCGTCTGAAAGCTCCACGTGATCGTGCAGGCCCGAGGCTCGGAGGTAGCGCCCGCAGGCTCGGTTCCGAAGCAGCGTGGTATGGCGGTCGGCAAGCCAGAGGATCGGGGCGTCGAGGTGTGATTGAAGGAGGTTCTCTGCTAGGACCAGATCCTGGTGGGATAGAAGCACATTGGATAGAAGCACATTGGATAGAAGCACATTGGATAGAAGCACATTGGATATGGGCGAAAAACACACACGGGGGGAAAACAACGCGGTCGGAGAGCCAGAGGATGGGCGCGTCGAGGTGTGACTGTAGGAGGTTCTCTGCTAGGACCAGATCCTGGTGGGATTGAAGCACATTGGATAGAAGCACATTGGATATGGGCGAAAAACACACACGGGGGGAAAACAACGCGGTCAGAGAGCCAGAGGATCGGGGCGTCGAGGTGTGACTGTAGGAGATTCTCTGCTAGGACCAGATCCTGGTGGTATTGAACAGAAGCACGTTGGATATAAGCACCACAGATTCGAAAGAAAATACAGGAAAAAGAATGTACAGAATACAGAAAACGCACTGGCAACTCTGTGCTAATCTAGCTTTTTGGGACGTCTCAAAACTAAACTCTGTGCTAATCTAGCACGCTGTTTAAATGTCTACTGACTGACTGATTGACTGATTGACTGACAGCCCTCACCTCACTCAAATTTTGAAACGTCTCAAAAAAGGAGGACTAAAAAAAAAATGTAATTTGGATCTGCTTCGTCAGTATCAACTGACTGACTGACTGACTGATAGGGTGTTCTTGAGAACTCTTAAAAACACCCTGCAAGTCCTTGGACCTACTTAGCATCAACTGACTGACTGACTGATAGGGTGTTCTTGAGAACTCTAAAAAGCACCCTGCAAGTCCTTGGATCCACTTAGTACAACTGACTGACTGACAGCCCTCACTCAAAACAGAACCCTCACCTGAATCTTCTGCTTCAGGTACTCGCAGCAAATGGCTGACCCGCACCTGCCTGCCATCTCCTCTCAGCCCTCACCTGAATCTTCTGCCCCGGGTACTCCAGCCGATCGGCTTTTACGAGTCGACTTTAAAATCTCCGAGTCAAATTGAAAGATCTCCCACAAACCCTCACCTGAATCTTCTGCCCCAGGTACTCGCAGCAAACCCGCACCTGCCATCTCCTCACTGCCCTCCTCACCTGAATCTTCTGCCCCAGGTACTCCAGCCGATCGTAGCAGAAGCAGGGGTGCTCCCCTGTACAGGGAGGGGTGCAGGAAGCACAGCTGGAGGGGGGTGGACGGGAGGGGAGGGGGGAGTGGGGGGTTGGTTTGGGGGAGGAAGATGGGGGGGAGTGGGGGGTTGGTTTGCTTCTACGCCCATCCCTGCCTCTGCTGGTCGCGGCCATGCCAGGGCTCTCAGTGCCGCCTCAAGGGACCGGTGCATCCAATCTGTGTCATCCATGCCTCATCCTCACCTGCAGTGCCATCACCATATCTTCATTCCTCCTCTGTTTTGCTTCTACGCCCATCCCTGCCTCTGCTGGTCGCGGCCATGCCAGGGCTCTCAGTGCCGCCTCAAGGGACCGGTGCATCCAATCTGTGTCATCCATGCCTCATCCTCACCTGCAGTGCCATCACCATATCTTCATTCCTCCTCTGTTTTGCTTCTACGCCCATCCCTGCCTCTGCTGGTCGCGGCCATGCCAGGGCTCTCAGTGCCGCCTCAAGGGACCGGTGCATCCAATCTGTGTCATCCATGCCTCATCCTCACCTGCAGTGCCATCACCATATCTTCATTCCTCCTCTGTTTTGCTTCTACGCCCATCCCTGCCTCTGCTGGTCGCGGCCATGCCAGGGCTCTCAGTGCCGCCTCAAGGGACCGGTGCATCCAATCTGTGTCATCCATGCCTCATCCTCACCTGCAGTGCCATCACCATATCTTCATTCCTCCTCTGTTTTGCTTCTACGCCCATCCCTGCCTCTGCTGGTCGCGGCCATGCCAGGGCTCTCAGTGCCGCCTCAAGGGACCGGTGCATCCAATCTGTGTCATCCATGCCTCATCCTCACCTGCAGTGCCATCACCATATCTTCATTCCTCCTCTGTTTTGCTTCTACGCCCATCCCTGCCTCTGCTGGTCGCGGCCATGCCAGGGCTCTCAGTGCCGCCTCAAGGGACCGGTGCATCCAATCTGTGTCATCCATGCCTCATCCTCACCTGCAGTGCCATCACCATATCTTCATTCCTCCTCTGTTTTGCTTCTACGCCCATCCCTGCCTCTGCTGGTCGCGGCCATGCCAGGGCTCTCAGTGCCGCCTCAAGGGACCGGTGCATCCAATCTGTGTCATCCATGCCTCATCCTCACCTGCAGTGCCATCACCATATCTTCATTCCTCCTCTGTTTTGCTTCTACGCCCATCCCTGCCTCTGCTGGTCGCGGCCATGCCAGGGCTCTCAGTGCCGCCTCAAGGGACCGGTGCATCCAATCTGTGTCATCCATGCCTCATCCTCACCTGCAGTGCCATCACCATATCTTCATTCCTCCTCTGTTTTGCTTCTACGCCCATCCCTGCCTCTGCTGGTCGCGGCCATGCCAGGGCTCTCAGTGCCGCCTCAAGGGACCGGTGCATCCAATCTGTGTCATCCATGCCTCATCCTCACCTGCAGTGCCATCACCATATCTTCATTCCTCCTCTGTTTTGCTTCTACGCCCATCCCTGCCTCTGCTGGTCGCGGCCATGCCAGGGCTCTCAGTGCCGCCTCAAGGGACCGGTGCATCCAATCTGTGTCATCCATGCCTCATCCTCACCTGCAGTGCCATCACCATATCTTCATTCCTCCTCTGTTTTGCTTCTACGCCCATCCCTGCCTCTGCTGGTCGCGGCCATGCCAGGGCTCTCAGTGCCGCCTCAAGGGACCGGTGCATCCAATCTGTGTCATCCATGCCTCATCCTCACCTGCAGTGCCATCACCATATCTTCATTCCTCCTCTGTTTTGCTTCTACGCCCATCCCTGCCTCTGCTGGTCGCGGCCATGCCAGGGCTCTCAGTGCCGCCTCAAGGGACCGGTGCATCCAATCTGTGTCATCCATGCCTCATCCTCACCTGCAGTGCCATCACCATATCTTCATTCCTCCTCTGTTTTGCTTCTACGCCCATCCCTGCCTCTGCTGGTCGCGGCCATGCCAGGGCTCTCAGTGCCGCCTCAAGGGACCGGTGCATCCAATCTGTGTCATCCATGCCTCATCCTCACCTGCAGTGCCATCACCATATCTTCATTCCTCCTCTGTTTTGCTTCTACGCCCATCCCTGCCTCTGCTGGTCGCGGCCATGCCAGGGCTCTCAGTGCCGCCTCAAGGGACCGGTGCATCCAATCTGTGTCATCCATGCCTCATCCTCACCTGCAGTGCCATCACCATATCTTCATTCCTCCTCTGTTTTGCTTCTACGCCCATCCCTGCCTCTGCTGGTCGCGGCCATGCCAGGGCTCTCAGTGCCGCCTCAAGGGACCGGTGCATCCAATCTGTGTCATCCATGCCTCATCCTCACCTGCAGTGCCATCACCATATCTTCATTCCTCCTCTGTTTTGCTTCTACGCCCATCCCTGCCTCTGCTGGTCGCGGCCATGCCAGGGCTCTCAGTGCCGCCTCAAGGGACCGGTGCATCCAATCTGTGTCATCCATGCCTCATCCTCACCTGCAGTGCCATCACCATATCTTCATTCCTCCTCTGTTTTGCTTCTACGCCCATCCCTGCCTCTGCTGGTCGCGGCCATGCCAGGGCTCTCAGTGCCGCCTCAAGGGACCGGTGCATCCAATCTGTGTCATCCATGCCTCATCCTCACCTGCAGTGCCATCACCATATCTTCATTCCTCCTCTGTTTTGCTTCTACGCCCATCCCTGCCTCTGCTGGTCGCGGCCATGCCAGGGCTCTCAGTGCCGCCTCAAGGGACCGGTGCATCCAATCTGTGTCATCCATGCCTCATCCTCACCTGCAGTGCCATCACCATATCTTCATTCCTCCTCTGTTTTGCTTCTACGCCCATCCCTGCCTCTGCTGGTCGCGGCCATGCCAGGGCTCTCAGTGCCGCCTCAAGGGACCGGTGCATCCAATCTGTGTCATCCATGCCTCATCCTCACCTGCAGTGCCATCACCATATCTTCATTCCTCCTCTGTTTTGCTTCTACGCCCATCCCTGCCTCTGCTGGTCGCGGCCATGCCAGGGCTCTCAGTGCCGCCTCAAGGGACCGGTGCATCCAATCTGTGTCATCCATGCCTCATCCTCACCTGCAGTGCCATCACCATATCTTCATTCCTCCTCTGTTTTGCTTCTACGCCCATCCCTGCCTCTGCTGGTCGCGGCCATGCCAGGGCTCTCAGTGCCGCCTCAAGGGACCGGTGCATCCAATCTGTGTCATCCATGCCTCATCCTCACCTGCAGTGCCATCACCATATCTTCATTCCTCCTCTGTTTTGCTTCTACGCCCATCCCTGCCTCTGCTGGTCGCGGCCATGCCAGGGCTCTCAGTGCCGCCTCAAGGGACCGGTGCATCCAATCTGTGTCATCCATGCCTCATCCTCACCTGCAGTGCCATCACCATATCTTCATTCCTCCTCTGTTTTGCTTCTACGCCCATCCCTGCCTCTGCTGGTCGCGGCCATGCCAGGGCTCTCAGTGCCGCCTCAAGGGACCGGTGCATCCAATCTGTGTCATCCATGCCTCATCCTCACCTGCAGTGCCATCACCATATCTTCATTCCTCCTCTGTTTTGCTTCTACGCCCATCCCTGCCTCTGCTGGTCGCGGCCATGCCAGGGCTCTCAGTGCCGCCTCAAGGGACCGGTGCATCCAATCTGTGTCATCCATGCCTCATCCTCACCTGCAGTGCCATCACCATATCTTCATTCCTCCTCTGTTTTGCTTCTACGCCCATCCCTGCCTCTGCTGGTCGCGGCCATGCCAGGGCTCTCAGTGCCGCCTCAAGGGACCGGTGCATCCAATCTGTGTCATCCATGCCTCATCCTCACCTGCAGTGCCATCACCATATCTTCATTCCTCCTCTGTTTTGCTTCTACGCCCATCCCTGCCTCTGCTGGTCGCGGCCATGCCAGGGCTCTCAGTGCCGCCTCAAGGGACCGGTGCATCCAATCTGTGTCATCCATGCCTCATCCTCACCTGCAGTGCCATCACCATATCTTCATTCCTCCTCTGTTTTGCTTCTACGCCCATCCCTGCCTCTGCTGGTCGCGGCCATGCCAGGGCTCTCAGTGCCGCCTCAAGGGACCGGTGCATCCAATCTGTGTCATCCATGCCTCATCCTCACCTGCAGTGCCATCACCATATCTTCATTCCTCCTCTGTTTTGCTTCTACGCCCATCCCTGCCTCTGCTGGTCGCGGCCATGCCAGGGCTCTCAGTGCCGCCTCAAGGGACCGGTGCATCCAATCTGTGTCATCCATGCCTCATCCTCACCTGCAGTGCCATCACCATATCTTCATTCCTCCTCTGTTTTGCTTCTACGCCCATCCCTGCCTCTGCTGGTCGCGGCCATGCCAGGGCTCTCAGTGCCGCCTCAAGGGACCGGTGCATCCAATCTGTGTCATCCATGCCTCATCCTCACCTGCAGTGCCATCACCATATCTTCATTCCTCCTCTGTTTTGCTTCTACGCCCATCCCTGCCTCTGCTGGTCGCGGCCATGCCAGGGCTCTCAGTGCCGCCTCAAGGGACCGGTGCATCCAATCTGTGTCATCCATGCCTCATCCTCACCTGCAGTGCCATCACCATATCTTCATTCCTCCTCTGTTTTGCTTCTACGCCCATCCCTGCCTCTGCTGGTCGCGGCCATGCCAGGGCTCTCAGTGCCGCCTCAAGGGACCGGTGCATCCAATCTGTGTCATCCATGCCTCATCCTCACCTGCAGTGCCATCACCATATCTTCATTCCTCCTCTGTTTTGCTTCTACGCCCATCCCTGCCTCTGCTGGTCGCGGCCATGCCAGGGCTCTCAGTGCCGCCTCAAGGGACCGGTGCATCCAATCTGTGTCATCCATGCCTCATCCTCACCTGCAGTGCCATCACCATATCTTCATTCCTCCTCTGTTTTGCTTCTACGCCCATCCCTGCCTCTGCTGGTCGCGGCCATGCCAGGGCTCTCAGTGCCGCCTCAAGGGACCGGTGCATCCAATCTGTGTCATCCATGCCTCATCCTCACCTGCAGTGCCATCACCATATCTTCATTCCTCCTCTGTTTTGCTTCTACGCCCATCCCTGCCTCTGCTGGTCGCGGCCATGCCAGGGCTCTCAGTGCCGCCTCAAGGGACCGGTGCATCCAATCTGTGTCATCCATGCCTCATCCTCACCTGCAGTGCCATCACCATATCTTCATTCCTCCTCTGTTTTGCTTCTACGCCCATCCCTGCCTCTGCTGGTCGCGGCCATGCCAGGGCTCTCAGTGCCGCCTCAAGGGACCGGTGCATCCAATCTGTGTCATCCATGCCTCATCCTCACCTGCAGTGCCATCACCATATCTTCATTCCTCCTCTGTTTTGCTTCTACGCCCATCCCTGCCTCTGCTGGTCGCGGCCATGCCAGGGCTCTCAGTGCCGCCTCAAGGGACCGGTGCATCCAATCTGTGTCATCCATGCCTCATCCTCACCTGCAGTGCCATCACCATATCTTCATTCCTCCTCTGTTTTGCTTCTACGCCCATCCCTGCCTCTGCTGGTCGCGGCCATGCCAGGGCTCTCAGTGCCGCCTCAAGGGACCGGTGCATCCAATCTGTGTCATCCATGCCTCATCCTCACCTGCAGTGCCATCACCATATCTTCATTCCTCCTCTGTTTTGCTTCTACGCCCATCCCTGCCTCTGCTGGTCGCGGCCATGCCAGGGCTCTCAGTGCCGCCTCAAGGGACCGGTGCATCCAATCTGTGTCATCCATGCCTCATCCTCACCTGCAGTGCCATCACCATATCTTCATTCCTCCTCTGTTTTGCTTCTACGCCCATCCCTGCCTCTGCTGGTCGCGGCCATGCCAGGGCTCTCAGTGCCGCCTCAAGGGACCGGTGCATCCAATCTGTGTCATCCATGCCTCATCCTCACCTGCAGTGCCATCACCATATCTTCATTCCTCCTCTGTTTTGCTTCTACGCCCATCCCTGCCTCTGCTGGTCGCGGCCATGCCAGGGCTCTCAGTGCCGCCTCAAGGGACCGGTGCATCCAATCTGTGTCATCCATGCCTCATCCTCACCTGCAGTGCCATCACCATATCTTCATTCCTCCTCTGTTTTGCTTCTACGCCCATCCCTGCCTCTGCTGGTCGCGGCCATGCCAGGGCTCTCAGTGCCGCCTCAAGGGACCGGTGCATCCAATCTGTGTCATCCATGCCTCATCCTCACCTGCAGTGCCATCACCATATCTTCATTCCTCCTCTGTTTTGCTTCTACGCCCATCCCTGCCTCTGCTGGTCGCGGCCATGCCAGGGCTCTCAGTGCCGCCTCAAGGGACCGGTGCATCCAATCTGTGTCATCCATGCCTCATCCTCACCTGCAGTGCCATCACCATATCTTCATTCCTCCTCTGTTTTGCTTCTACGCCCATCCCTGCCTCTGCTGGTCGCGGCCATGCCAGGGCTCTCAGTGCCGCCTCAAGGGACCGGTGCATCCAATCTGTGTCATCCATGCCTCATCCTCACCTGCAGTGCCATCACCATATCTTCATTCCTCCTCTGTTTTGCTTCTACGCCCATCCCTGCCTCTGCTGGTCGCGGCCATGCCAGGGCTCTCAGTGCCGCCTCAAGGGACCGGTGCATCCAATCTGTGTCATCCATGCCTCATCCTCACCTGCAGTGCCATCACCATATCTTCATTCCTCCTCTGTTTTGCTTCTACGCCCATCCCTGCCTCTGCTGGTCGCGGCCATGCCAGGGCTCTCAGTGCCGCCTCAAGGGACCGGTGCATCCAATCTGTGTCATCCATGCCTCATCCTCACCTGCAGTGCCATCACCATATCTTCATTCCTCCTCTGTTTTGCTTCTACGCCCATCCCTGCCTCTGCTGGTCGCGGCCATGCCAGGGCTCTCAGTGCCGCCTCAAGGGACCGGTGCATCCAATCTGTGTCATCCATGCCTCATCCTCACCTGCAGTGCCATCACCATATCTTCATTCCTCCTCTGTTTTGCTTCTACGCCCATCCCTGCCTCTGCTGGTCGCGGCCATGCCAGGGCTCTCAGTGCCGCCTCAAGGGACCGGTGCATCCAATCTGTGTCATCCATGCCTCATCCTCACCTGCAGTGCCATCACCATATCTTCATTCCTCCTCTGTTTTGCTTCTACGCCCATCCCTGCCTCTGCTGGTCGCGGCCATGCCAGGGCTCTCAGTGCCGCCTCAAGGGACCGGTGCATCCAATCTGTGTCATCCATGCCTCATCCTCACCTGCAGTGCCATCACCATATCTTCATTCCTCCTCTGTTTTGCTTCTACGCCCATCCCTGCCTCTGCTGGTCGCGGCCATGCCAGGGCTCTCAGTGCCGCCTCAAGGGACCGGTGCATCCAATCTGTGTCATCCATGCCTCATCCTCACCTGCAGTGCCATCACCATATCTTCATTCCTCCTCTGTTTTGCTTCTACGCCCATCCCTGCCTCTGCTGGTCGCGGCCATGCCAGGGCTCTCAGTGCCGCCTCAAGGGACCGGTGCATCCAATCTGTGTCATCCATGCCTCATCCTCACCTGCAGTGCCATCACCATATCTTCATTCCTCCTCTGTTTTGCTTCTACGCCCATCCCTGCCTCTGCTGGTCGCGGCCATGCCAGGGCTCTCAGTGCCGCCTCAAGGGACCGGTGCATCCAATCTGTGTCATCCATGCCTCATCCTCACCTGCAGTGCCATCACCATATCTTCATTCCTCCTCTGTTTTGCTTCTACGCCCATCCCTGCCTCTGCTGGTCGCGGCCATGCCAGGGCTCTCAGTGCCGCCTCAAGGGACCGGTGCATCCAATCTGTGTCATCCATGCCTCATCCTCACCTGCAGTGCCATCACCATATCTTCATTCCTCCTCTGTTTTGCTTCTACGCCCATCCCTGCCTCTGCTGGTCGCGGCCATGCCAGGGCTCTCAGTGCCGCCTCAAGGGACCGGTGCATCCAATCTGTGTCATCCATGCCTCATCCTCACCTGCAGTGCCATCACCATATCTTCATTCCTCCTCTGTTTTGCTTCTACGCCCATCCCTGCCTCTGCTGGTCGCGGCCATGCCAGGGCTCTCAGTGCCGCCTCAAGGGACCGGTGCATCCAATCTGTGTCATCCATGCCTCATCCTCACCTGCAGTGCCATCACCATATCTTCATTCCTCCTCTGTTTTGCTTCTACGCCCATCCCTGCCTCTGCTGGTCGCGGCCATGCCAGGGCTCTCAGTGCCGCCTCAAGGGACCGGTGCATCCAATCTGTGTCATCCATGCCTCATCCTCACCTGCAGTGCCATCACCATATCTTCATTCCTCCTCTGTTTTGCTTCTACGCCCATCCCTGCCTCTGCTGGTCGCGGCCATGCCAGGGCTCTCAGTGCCGCCTCAAGGGACCGGTGCATCCAATCTGTGTCATCCATGCCTCATCCTCACCTGCAGTGCCATCACCATATCTTCATTCCTCCTCTGTTTTGCTTCTACGCCCATCCCTGCCTCTGCTGGTCGCGGCCATGCCAGGGCTCTCAGTGCCGCCTCAAGGGACCGGTGCATCCAATCTGTGTCATCCATGCCTCATCCTCACCTGCAGTGCCATCACCATATCTTCATTCCTCCTCTGTTTTGCTTCTACGCCCATCCCTGCCTCTGCTGGTCGCGGCCATGCCAGGGCTCTCAGTGCCGCCTCAAGGGACCGGTGCATCCAATCTGTGTCATCCATGCCTCATCCTCACCTGCAGTGCCATCACCATATCTTCATTCCTCCTCTGTTTTGCTTCTACGCCCATCCCTGCCTCTGCTGGTCGCGGCCATGCCAGGGCTCTCAGTGCCGCCTCAAGGGACCGGTGCATCCAATCTGTGTCATCCATGCCTCATCCTCACCTGCAGTGCCATCACCATATCTTCATTCCTCCTCTGTTTTGCTTCTACGCCCATCCCTGCCTCTGCTGGTCGCGGCCATGCCAGGGCTCTCAGTGCCGCCTCAAGGGACCGGTGCATCCAATCTGTGTCATCCATGCCTCATCCTCACCTGCAGTGCCATCACCATATCTTCATTCCTCCTCTGTTTTGCTTCTACGCCCATCCCTGCCTCTGCTGGTCGCGGCCATGCCAGGGCTCTCAGTGCCGCCTCAAGGGACCGGTGCATCCAATCTGTGTCATCCATGCCTCATCCTCACCTGCAGTGCCATCACCATATCTTCATTCCTCCTCTGTTTTGCTTCTACGCCCATCCCTGCCTCTGCTGGTCGCGGCCATGCCAGGGCTCTCAGTGCCGCCTCAAGGGACCGGTGCATCCAATCTGTGTCATCCATGCCTCATCCTCACCTGCAGTGCCATCACCATATCTTCATTCCTCCTCTGTTTTGCTTCTACGCCCATCCCTGCCTCTGCTGGTCGCGGCCATGCCAGGGCTCTCAGTGCCGCCTCAAGGGACCGGTGCATCCAATCTGTGTCATCCATGCCTCATCCTCACCTGCAGTGCCATCACCATATCTTCATTCCTCCTCTGTTTTGCTTCTACGCCCATCCCTGCCTCTGCTGGTCGCGGCCATGCCAGGGCTCTCAGTGCCGCCTCAAGGGACCGGTGCATCCAATCTGTGTCATCCATGCCTCATCCTCACCTGCAGTGCCATCACCATATCTTCATTCCTCCTCTGTTTTGCTTCTACGCCCATCCCTGCCTCTGCTGGTCGCGGCCATGCCAGGGCTCTCAGTGCCGCCTCAAGGGACCGGTGCATCCAATCTGTGTCATCCATGCCTCATCCTCACCTGCAGTGCCATCACCATATCTTCATTCCTCCTCTGTTTTGCTTCTACGCCCATCCCTGCCTCTGCTGGTCGCGGCCATGCCAGGGCTCTCAGTGCCGCCTCAAGGGACCGGTGCATCCAATCTGTGTCATCCATGCCTCATCCTCACCTGCAGTGCCATCACCATATCTTCATTCCTCCTCTGTTTTGCTTCTACGCCCATCCCTGCCTCTGCTGGTCGCGGCCATGCCAGGGCTCTCAGTGCCGCCTCAAGGGACCGGTGCATCCAATCTGTGTCATCCATGCCTCATCCTCACCTGCAGTGCCATCACCATATCTTCATTCCTCCTCTGTTTTGCTTCTACGCCCATCCCTGCCTCTGCTGGTCGCGGCCATGCCAGGGCTCTCAGTGCCGCCTCAAGGGACCGGTGCATCCAATCTGTGTCATCCATGCCTCATCCTCACCTGCAGTGCCATCACCATATCTTCATTCCTCCTCTGTTTTGCTTCTACGCCCATCCCTGCCTCTGCTGGTCGCGGCCATGCCAGGGCTCTCAGTGCCGCCTCAAGGGACCGGTGCATCCAATCTGTGTCATCCATGCCTCATCCTCACCTGCAGTGCCATCACCATATCTTCATTCCTCCTCTGTTTTGCTTCTACGCCCATCCCTGCCTCTGCTGGTCGCGGCCATGCCAGGGCTCTCAGTGCCGCCTCAAGGGACCGGTGCATCCAATCTGTGTCATCCATGCCTCATCCTCACCTGCAGTGCCATCACCATATCTTCATTCCTCCTCTGTTTTGCTTCTACGCCCATCCCTGCCTCTGCTGGTCGCGGCCATGCCAGGGCTCTCAGTGCCGCCTCAAGGGACCGGTGCATCCAATCTGTGTCATCCATGCCTCATCCTCACCTGCAGTGCCATCACCATATCTTCATTCCTCCTCTGTTTTGCTTCTACGCCCATCCCTGCCTCTGCTGGTCGCGGCCATGCCAGGGCTCTCAGTGCCGCCTCAAGGGACCGGTGCATCCAATCTGTGTCATCCATGCCTCATCCTCACCTGCAGTGCCATCACCATATCTTCATTCCTCCTCTGTTTTGCTTCTACGCCCATCCCTGCCTCTGCTGGTCGCGGCCATGCCAGGGCTCTCAGTGCCGCCTCAAGGGACCGGTGCATCCAATCTGTGTCATCCATGCCTCATCCTCACCTGCAGTGCCATCACCATATCTTCATTCCTCCTCTGTTTTGCTTCTACGCCCATCCCTGCCTCTGCTGGTCGCGGCCATGCCAGGGCTCTCAGTGCCGCCTCAAGGGACCGGTGCATCCAATCTGTGTCATCCATGCCTCATCCTCACCTGCAGTGCCATCACCATATCTTCATTCCTCCTCTGTTTTGCTTCTACGCCCATCCCTGCCTCTGCTGGTCGCGGCCATGCCAGGGCTCTCAGTGCCGCCTCAAGGGACCGGTGCATCCAATCTGTGTCATCCATGCCTCATCCTCACCTGCAGTGCCATCACCATATCTTCATTCCTCCTCTGTTTTGCTTCTACGCCCATCCCTGCCTCTGCTGGTCGCGGCCATGCCAGGGCTCTCAGTGCCGCCTCAAGGGACCGGTGCATCCAATCTGTGTCATCCATGCCTCATCCTCACCTGCAGTGCCATCACCATATCTTCATTCCTCCTCTGTTTTGCTTCTACGCCCATCCCTGCCTCTGCTGGTCGCGGCCATGCCAGGGCTCTCAGTGCCGCCTCAAGGGACCGGTGCATCCAATCTGTGTCATCCATGCCTCATCCTCACCTGCAGTGCCATCACCATATCTTCATTCCTCCTCTGTTTTGCTTCTACGCCCATCCCTGCCTCTGCTGGTCGCGGCCATGCCAGGGCTCTCAGTGCCGCCTCAAGGGACCGGTGCATCCAATCTGTGTCATCCATGCCTCATCCTCACCTGCAGTGCCATCACCATATCTTCATTCCTCCTCTGTTTTGCTTCTACGCCCATCCCTGCCTCTGCTGGTCGCGGCCATGCCAGGGCTCTCAGTGCCGCCTCAAGGGACCGGTGCATCCAATCTGTGTCATCCATGCCTCATCCTCACCTGCAGTGCCATCACCATATCTTCATTCCTCCTCTGTTTTGCTTCTACGCCCATCCCTGCCTCTGCTGGTCGCGGCCATGCCAGGGCTCTCAGTGCCGCCTCAAGGGACCGGTGCATCCAATCTGTGTCATCCATGCCTCATCCTCACCTGCAGTGCCATCACCATATCTTCATTCCTCCTCTGTTTTGCTTCTACGCCCATCCCTGCCTCTGCTGGTCGCGGCCATGCCAGGGCTCTCAGTGCCGCCTCAAGGGACCGGTGCATCCAATCTGTGTCATCCATGCCTCATCCTCACCTGCAGTGCCATCACCATATCTTCATTCCTCCTCTGTTTTGCTTCTACGCCCATCCCTGCCTCTGCTGGTCGCGGCCATGCCAGGGCTCTCAGTGCCGCCTCAAGGGACCGGTGCATCCAATCTGTGTCATCCATGCCTCATCCTCACCTGCAGTGCCATCACCATATCTTCATTCCTCCTCTGTTTTGCTTCTACGCCCATCCCTGCCTCTGCTGGTCGCGGCCATGCCAGGGCTCTCAGTGCCGCCTCAAGGGACCGGTGCATCCAATCTGTGTCATCCATGCCTCATCCTCACCTGCAGTGCCATCACCATATCTTCATTCCTCCTCTGTTTTGCTTCTACGCCCATCCCTGCCTCTGCTGGTCGCGGCCATGCCAGGGCTCTCAGTGCCGCCTCAAGGGACCGGTGCATCCAATCTGTGTCATCCATGCCTCATCCTCACCTGCAGTGCCATCACCATATCTTCATTCCTCCTCTGTTTTGCTTCTACGCCCATCCCTGCCTCTGCTGGTCGCGGCCATGCCAGGGCTCTCAGTGCCGCCTCAAGGGACCGGTGCATCCAATCTGTGTCATCCATGCCTCATCCTCACCTGCAGTGCCATCACCATATCTTCATTCCTCCTCTGTTTTGCTTCTACGCCCATCCCTGCCTCTGCTGGTCGCGGCCATGCCAGGGCTCTCAGTGCCGCCTCAAGGGACCGGTGCATCCAATCTGTGTCATCCATGCCTCATCCTCACCTGCAGTGCCATCACCATATCTTCATTCCTCCTCTGTTTTGCTTCTACGCCCATCCCTGCCTCTGCTGGTCGCGGCCATGCCAGGGCTCTCAGTGCCGCCTCAAGGGACCGGTGCATCCAATCTGTGTCATCCATGCCTCATCCTCACCTGCAGTGCCATCACCATATCTTCATTCCTCCTCTGTTTTGCTTCTACGCCCATCCCTGCCTCTGCTGGTCGCGGCCATGCCAGGGCTCTCAGTGCCGCCTCAAGGGACCGGTGCATCCAATCTGTGTCATCCATGCCTCATCCTCACCTGCAGTGCCATCACCATATCTTCATTCCTCCTCTGTTTTGCTTCTACGCCCATCCCTGCCTCTGCTGGTCGCGGCCATGCCAGGGCTCTCAGTGCCGCCTCAAGGGACCGGTGCATCCAATCTGTGTCATCCATGCCTCATCCTCACCTGCAGTGCCATCACCATATCTTCATTCCTCCTCTGTTTTGCTTCTACGCCCATCCCTGCCTCTGCTGGTCGCGGCCATGCCAGGGCTCTCAGTGCCGCCTCAAGGGACCGGTGCATCCAATCTGTGTCATCCATGCCTCATCCTCACCTGCAGTGCCATCACCATATCTTCATTCCTCCTCTGTTTTGCTTCTACGCCCATCCCTGCCTCTGCTGGTCGCGGCCATGCCAGGGCTCTCAGTGCCGCCTCAAGGGACCGGTGCATCCAATCTGTGTCATCCATGCCTCATCCTCACCTGCAGTGCCATCACCATATCTTCATTCCTCCTCTGTTTTGCTTCTACGCCCATCCCTGCCTCTGCTGGTCGCGGCCATGCCAGGGCTCTCAGTGCCGCCTCAAGGGACCGGTGCATCCAATCTGTGTCATCCATGCCTCATCCTCACCTGCAGTGCCATCACCATATCTTCATTCCTCCTCTGTTTTGCTTCTACGCCCATCCCTGCCTCTGCTGGTCGCGGCCATGCCAGGGCTCTCAGTGCCGCCTCAAGGGACCGGTGCATCCAATCTGTGTCATCCATGCCTCATCCTCACCTGCAGTGCCATCACCATATCTTCATTCCTCCTCTGTTTTGCTTCTACGCCCATCCCTGCCTCTGCTGGTCGCGGCCATGCCAGGGCTCTCAGTGCCGCCTCAAGGGACCGGTGCATCCAATCTGTGTCATCCATGCCTCATCCTCACCTGCAGTGCCATCACCATATCTTCATTCCTCCTCTGTTTTGCTTCTACGCCCATCCCTGCCTCTGCTGGTCGCGGCCATGCCAGGGCTCTCAGTGCCGCCTCAAGGGACCGGTGCATCCAATCTGTGTCATCCATGCCTCATCCTCACCTGCAGTGCCATCACCATATCTTCATTCCTCCTCTGTTTTGCTTCTACGCCCATCCCTGCCTCTGCTGGTCGCGGCCATGCCAGGGCTCTCAGTGCCGCCTCAAGGGACCGGTGCATCCAATCTGTGTCATCCATGCCTCATCCTCACCTGCAGTGCCATCACCATATCTTCATTCCTCCTCTGTTTTGCTTCTACGCCCATCCCTGCCTCTGCTGGTCGCGGCCATGCCAGGGCTCTCAGTGCCGCCTCAAGGGACCGGTGCATCCAATCTGTGTCATCCATGCCTCATCCTCACCTGCAGTGCCATCACCATATCTTCATTCCTCCTCTGTTTTGCTTCTACGCCCATCCCTGCCTCTGCTGGTCGCGGCCATGCCAGGGCTCTCAGTGCCGCCTCAAGGGACCGGTGCATCCAATCTGTGTCATCCATGCCTCATCCTCACCTGCAGTGCCATCACCATATCTTCATTCCTCCTCTGTTTTGCTTCTACGCCCATCCCTGCCTCTGCTGGTCGCGGCCATGCCAGGGCTCTCAGTGCCGCCTCAAGGGACCGGTGCATCCAATCTGTGTCATCCATGCCTCATCCTCACCTGCAGTGCCATCACCATATCTTCATTCCTCCTCTGTTTTGCTTCTACGCCCATCCCTGCCTCTGCTGGTCGCGGCCATGCCAGGGCTCTCAGTGCCGCCTCAAGGGACCGGTGCATCCAATCTGTGTCATCCATGCCTCATCCTCACCTGCAGTGCCATCACCATATCTTCATTCCTCCTCTGTTTTGCTTCTACGCCCATCCCTGCCTCTGCTGGTCGCGGCCATGCCAGGGCTCTCAGTGCCGCCTCAAGGGACCGGTGCATCCAATCTGTGTCATCCATGCCTCATCCTCACCTGCAGTGCCATCACCATATCTTCATTCCTCCTCTGTTTTGCTTCTACGCCCATCCCTGCCTCTGCTGGTCGCGGCCATGCCAGGGCTCTCAGTGCCGCCTCAAGGGACCGGTGCATCCAATCTGTGTCATCCATGCCTCATCCTCACCTGCAGTGCCATCACCATATCTTCATTCCTCCTCTGTTTTGCTTCTACGCCCATCCCTGCCTCTGCTGGTCGCGGCCATGCCAGGGCTCTCAGTGCCGCCTCAAGGGACCGGTGCATCCAATCTGTGTCATCCATGCCTCATCCTCACCTGCAGTGCCATCACCATATCTTCATTCCTCCTCTGTTTTGCTTCTACGCCCATCCCTGCCTCTGCTGGTCGCGGCCATGCCAGGGCTCTCAGTGCCGCCTCAAGGGACCGGTGCATCCAATCTGTGTCATCCATGCCTCATCCTCACCTGCAGTGCCATCACCATATCTTCATTCCTCCTCTGTTTTGCTTCTACGCCCATCCCTGCCTCTGCTGGTCGCGGCCATGCCAGGGCTCTCAGTGCCGCCTCAAGGGACCGGTGCATCCAATCTGTGTCATCCATGCCTCATCCTCACCTGCAGTGCCATCACCATATCTTCATTCCTCCTCTGTTTTGCTTCTACGCCCATCCCTGCCTCTGCTGGTCGCGGCCATGCCAGGGCTCTCAGTGCCGCCTCAAGGGACCGGTGCATCCAATCTGTGTCATCCATGCCTCATCCTCACCTGCAGTGCCATCACCATATCTTCATTCCTCCTCTGTTTTGCTTCTACGCCCATCCCTGCCTCTGCTGGTCGCGGCCATGCCAGGGCTCTCAGTGCCGCCTCAAGGGACCGGTGCATCCAATCTGTGTCATCCATGCCTCATCCTCACCTGCAGTGCCATCACCATATCTTCATTCCTCCTCTGTTTTGCTTCTACGCCCATCCCTGCCTCTGCTGGTCGCGGCCATGCCAGGGCTCTCAGTGCCGCCTCAAGGGACCGGTGCATCCAATCTGTGTCATCCATGCCTCATCCTCACCTGCAGTGCCATCACCATATCTTCATTCCTCCTCTGTTTTGCTTCTACGCCCATCCCTGCCTCTGCTGGTCGCGGCCATGCCAGGGCTCTCAGTGCCGCCTCAAGGGACCGGTGCATCCAATCTGTGTCATCCATGCCTCATCCTCACCTGCAGTGCCATCACCATATCTTCATTCCTCCTCTGTTTTGCTTCTACGCCCATCCCTGCCTCTGCTGGTCGCGGCCATGCCAGGGCTCTCAGTGCCGCCTCAAGGGACCGGTGCATCCAATCTGTGTCATCCATGCCTCATCCTCACCTGCAGTGCCATCACCATATCTTCATTCCTCCTCTGTTTTGCTTCTACGCCCATCCCTGCCTCTGCTGGTCGCGGCCATGCCAGGGCTCTCAGTGCCGCCTCAAGGGACCGGTGCATCCAATCTGTGTCATCCATGCCTCATCCTCACCTGCAGTGCCATCACCATATCTTCATTCCTCCTCTGTTTTGCTTCTACGCCCATCCCTGCCTCTGCTGGTCGCGGCCATGCCAGGGCTCTCAGTGCCGCCTCAAGGGACCGGTGCATCCAATCTGTGTCATCCATGCCTCATCCTCACCTGCAGTGCCATCACCATATCTTCATTCCTCCTCTGTTTTGCTTCTACGCCCATCCCTGCCTCTGCTGGTCGCGGCCATGCCAGGGCTCTCAGTGCCGCCTCAAGGGACCGGTGCATCCAATCTGTGTCATCCATGCCTCATCCTCACCTGCAGTGCCATCACCATATCTTCATTCCTCCTCTGTTTTGCTTCTACGCCCATCCCTGCCTCTGCTGGTCGCGGCCATGCCAGGGCTCTCAGTGCCGCCTCAAGGGACCGGTGCATCCAATCTGTGTCATCCATGCCTCATCCTCACCTGCAGTGCCATCACCATATCTTCATTCCTCCTCTGTTTTGCTTCTACGCCCATCCCTGCCTCTGCTGGTCGCGGCCATGCCAGGGCTCTCAGTGCCGCCTCAAGGGACCGGTGCATCCAATCTGTGTCATCCATGCCTCATCCTCACCTGCAGTGCCATCACCATATCTTCATTCCTCCTCTGTTTTGCTTCTACGCCCATCCCTGCCTCTGCTGGTCGCGGCCATGCCAGGGCTCTCAGTGCCGCCTCAAGGGACCGGTGCATCCAATCTGTGTCATCCATGCCTCATCCTCACCTGCAGTGCCATCACCATATCTTCATTCCTCCTCTGTTTTGCTTCTACGCCCATCCCTGCCTCTGCTGGTCGCGGCCATGCCAGGGCTCTCAGTGCCGCCTCAAGGGACCGGTGCATCCAATCTGTGTCATCCATGCCTCATCCTCACCTGCAGTGCCATCACCATATCTTCATTCCTCCTCTGTTTTGCTTCTACGCCCATCCCTGCCTCTGCTGGTCGCGGCCATGCCAGGGCTCTCAGTGCCGCCTCAAGGGACCGGTGCATCCAATCTGTGTCATCCATGCCTCATCCTCACCTGCAGTGCCATCACCATATCTTCATTCCTCCTCTGTTTTGCTTCTACGCCCATCCCTGCCTCTGCTGGTCGCGGCCATGCCAGGGCTCTCAGTGCCGCCTCAAGGGACCGGTGCATCCAATCTGTGTCATCCATGCCTCATCCTCACCTGCAGTGCCATCACCATATCTTCATTCCTCCTCTGTTTTGCTTCTACGCCCATCCCTGCCTCTGCTGGTCGCGGCCATGCCAGGGCTCTCAGTGCCGCCTCAAGGGACCGGTGCATCCAATCTGTGTCATCCATGCCTCATCCTCACCTGCAGTGCCATCACCATATCTTCATTCCTCCTCTGTTTTGCTTCTACGCCCATCCCTGCCTCTGCTGGTCGCGGCCATGCCAGGGCTCTCAGTGCCGCCTCAAGGGACCGGTGCATCCAATCTGTGTCATCCATGCCTCATCCTCACCTGCAGTGCCATCACCATATCTTCATTCCTCCTCTGTTTTGCTTCTACGCCCATCCCTGCCTCTGCTGGTCGCGGCCATGCCAGGGCTCTCAGTGCCGCCTCAAGGGACCGGTGCATCCAATCTGTGTCATCCATGCCTCATCCTCACCTGCAGTGCCATCACCATATCTTCATTCCTCCTCTGTTTTGCTTCTACGCCCATCCCTGCCTCTGCTGGTCGCGGCCATGCCAGGGCTCTCAGTGCCGCCTCAAGGGACCGGTGCATCCAATCTGTGTCATCCATGCCTCATCCTCACCTGCAGTGCCATCACCATATCTTCATTCCTCCTCTGTTTTGCTTCTACGCCCATCCCTGCCTCTGCTGGTCGCGGCCATGCCAGGGCTCTCAGTGCCGCCTCAAGGGACCGGTGCATCCAATCTGTGTCATCCATGCCTCATCCTCACCTGCAGTGCCATCACCATATCTTCATTCCTCCTCTGTTTTGCTTCTACGCCCATCCCTGCCTCTGCTGGTCGCGGCCATGCCAGGGCTCTCAGTGCCGCCTCAAGGGACCGGTGCATCCAATCTGTGTCATCCATGCCTCATCCTCACCTGCAGTGCCATCACCATATCTTCATTCCTCCTCTGTTTTGCTTCTACGCCCATCCCTGCCTCTGCTGGTCGCGGCCATGCCAGGGCTCTCAGTGCCGCCTCAAGGGACCGGTGCATCCAATCTGTGTCATCCATGCCTCATCCTCACCTGCAGTGCCATCACCATATCTTCATTCCTCCTCTGTTTTGCTTCTACGCCCATCCCTGCCTCTGCTGGTCGCGGCCATGCCAGGGCTCTCAGTGCCGCCTCAAGGGACCGGTGCATCCAATCTGTGTCATCCATGCCTCATCCTCACCTGCAGTGCCATCACCATATCTTCATTCCTCCTCTGTTTTGCTTCTACGCCCATCCCTGCCTCTGCTGGTCGCGGCCATGCCAGGGCTCTCAGTGCCGCCTCAAGGGACCGGTGCATCCAATCTGTGTCATCCATGCCTCATCCTCACCTGCAGTGCCATCACCATATCTTCATTCCTCCTCTGTTTTGCTTCTACGCCCATCCCTGCCTCTGCTGGTCGCGGCCATGCCAGGGCTCTCAGTGCCGCCTCAAGGGACCGGTGCATCCAATCTGTGTCATCCATGCCTCATCCTCACCTGCAGTGCCATCACCATATCTTCATTCCTCCTCTGTTTTGCTTCTACGCCCATCCCTGCCTCTGCTGGTCGCGGCCATGCCAGGGCTCTCAGTGCCGCCTCAAGGGACCGGTGCATCCAATCTGTGTCATCCATGCCTCATCCTCACCTGCAGTGCCATCACCATATCTTCATTCCTCCTCTGTTTTGCTTCTACGCCCATCCCTGCCTCTGCTGGTCGCGGCCATGCCAGGGCTCTCAGTGCCGCCTCAAGGGACCGGTGCATCCAATCTGTGTCATCCATGCCTCATCCTCACCTGCAGTGCCATCACCATATCTTCATTCCTCCTCTGTTTTGCTTCTACGCCCATCCCTGCCTCTGCTGGTCGCGGCCATGCCAGGGCTCTCAGTGCCGCCTCAAGGGACCGGTGCATCCAATCTGTGTCATCCATGCCTCATCCTCACCTGCAGTGCCATCACCATATCTTCATTCCTCCTCTGTTTTGCTTCTACGCCCATCCCTGCCTCTGCTGGTCGCGGCCATGCCAGGGCTCTCAGTGCCGCCTCAAGGGACCGGTGCATCCAATCTGTGTCATCCATGCCTCATCCTCACCTGCAGTGCCATCACCATATCTTCATTCCTCCTCTGTTTTGCTTCTACGCCCATCCCTGCCTCTGCTGGTCGCGGCCATGCCAGGGCTCTCAGTGCCGCCTCAAGGGACCGGTGCATCCAATCTGTGTCATCCATGCCTCATCCTCACCTGCAGTGCCATCACCATATCTTCATTCCTCCTCTGTTTTGCTTCTACGCCCATCCCTGCCTCTGCTGGTCGCGGCCATGCCAGGGCTCTCAGTGCCGCCTCAAGGGACCGGTGCATCCAATCTGTGTCATCCATGCCTCATCCTCACCTGCAGTGCCATCACCATATCTTCATTCCTCCTCTGTTTTGCTTCTACGCCCATCCCTGCCTCTGCTGGTCGCGGCCATGCCAGGGCTCTCAGTGCCGCCTCAAGGGACCGGTGCATCCAATCTGTGTCATCCATGCCTCATCCTCACCTGCAGTCCCATCACCATATCTTCATTCCTCCTCTGTTTTGCTTCTACGCCCATCCCTGCCTCTGCTGGTCGCGGCCATGCCAGGGCTCTCAGTGCCGCCTCAAGGGACCGGTGCATCCAATCTGTGTCATCCATGCCTCATCCTCACCTGCAGTGCCATCACCATATCTTCATTCCTCCTCTGTTTTGCTTCTACGCCCATCCCTGCCTCTGCTGGTCGCGGCCATGCCAGGGCTCTCAGTGCCGCCTCAAGGGACCGGTGCATCCAATCTGTGTCATCCATGCCTCATCCTCACCTGCAGTGCCATCACCATATCTTCATTCCTCCTCTGTTTTGCTTCTACGCCCATCCCTGCCTCTGCTGGTCGCGGCCATGCCAGGGCTCTCAGTGCCGCCTCAAGGGACCGGTGCATCCAATCTGTGTCATCCATGCCTCATCCTCACCTGCAGTGCCATCACCATATCTTCATTCCTCCTCTGTTTTGCTTCTACGCCCATCCCTGCCTCTGCTGGTCGCGGCCATGCCAGGGCTCTCAGTGCCGCCTCAAGGGACCGGTGCATCCAATCTGTGTCATCCATGCCTCATCCTCACCTGCAGTGCCATCACCATATCTTCATTCCTCCTCTGTTTTGCTTCTACGCCCATCCCTGCCCATAAAAGCCGCGGAATCGCGACATTCCGGGCGGCACACACGCGTGGAAGAGAGGAGGGTTGGGAAAGAGGGAATCCGGGGGGGACTGAAAGGGAAGGTGGGGAGAGCGGGGAGGGTGGGGAGGAGAGAGGGGGAAGGAAGAGAAAGGGAGAAGGTGAGAAGTTAACTACCACGGCACCTAGAATATGGAGAATCACACAAAGGGTAGTTAAGCAACTCAAGGGTCCCACCCAGGCGGCACCCACACACCCACTCACCCACTCACCCACCCACCCACTCTCACCCAACCCAACCACCCACCCACGTGACCCAACTATCCACCCCTTCGCTCACCTACCCACCCACTCACTCTCCTCGCCCCTCCCCCCCTCACACACACACCTGGTAGCACGCCACATCACGCCACGTCAGCGGGTCGCCGTCCAGGTCAGCATGCATGAAATCCTCGTCACGCACGCGCTCGATCTTGGGTTGCATCTCGGGATGGTCGGGGTCTAAACCGAACACCTCGAACAGCAGCCTGTATACCTCCGGCATGCCTCGAGTGAGATAGGCCGAGGCAACGAGGGAAGTAAACACACTCCTGCAGTGGGGACACAGCGTGGGAGGGGAGGGAGAATGAATGTGAATGGTAGAGGTGGAGCAGGAACGATCTTGGGGCGCATCTTGAGATGGTCGGGGTCCAAACCGAACACCTCAAACAGCAGCCTGTACACCTCCGGCATGCCGGGTGTGAGATAGGCCGAGGCGATTAGGGAGGTGAAGACACTCCTGGGGGGTGGGTGGGCAGAGGTGAATGGTACGGCACAGAACGTCAGTGGGCGCATCTCAGGGTGTTTGGGATGGTTGAGTTGAGGCCCCGCCTGAACACCTCAAACAGCAACCTGTATACACCTCCGGCATGCCGCGTGTGAGATAGGCTGAAGCAATCAAGGAGGTGAAAACGCTTCTGCAGGAGGGCCATGCGGTGGGTGGGAGAATGGTGGAGGTGGGAGCATGAACCATCTTGGGGAGCGTGTACCACGAGTGGTAGGTTTCAAAAGCAGAAACGATTCAAACTTGGCGGCGCGTATGTATACAGTGTATTTTTTTAGACGTCTCTCACTTGGCGGCGGCGTCTCAAAAGTCTACAAAATACACTGTACACACGTGACGACAGATCACTCAATTGGCGGCGTGTATACAGTGTACGAGCTGGTTTTTGAGACTTCTAAAAAATCGAGACGTCTCAAAACTATAGTGTGTACACGTGACAGATCACTCACTTGGCTTGGCAGCCAGTCGCCTGAGGTTGGTGGGGGCGCGCATGAGCAGCACGCCCAAGAACACCAGCCGGACCAACCTTCTGAGTCGACTCCAAAGGTTGACTTTTTGACTTTTGAGTCGACTCCAAAGGTTGACTTTTTTACTTTTGAGTCGACTCAAAAGGTTGGTGGGGGCGCGCATGAGCAGCACGCCCGGGAACACCAGCCGGACCAACCCGGCCAGGGTGAGCAGCAGTGGACCAAACCCGAGCCCTGATTCACCGGGACTACATCGGAGGAAAGCCGTTCCATTCAACGGGCGTGAGAGCTCACTCACTTGGGGGCTCACGTGAGTGAGCAACAAGCTGACTCACTTGGCGGCCATTTGACGCAGGTTGGTGGGGGCGCGCATGAGCAGAGCGCCGGGGAACACCAGGCGATCCAGCCCCGCCTGGGTGAGCAGCAGCGAACCAACCTGAACCCTAATGAACCCAGCACGTGCCTTAAAGCCCAGAGTGACAAGTCCACTCACTTGGCGGCGAGTTGCCTCAGGTTGGTGGGGGCGCGCATGAGCAGAGCGCCGGGGAACACCAGGCGGTCCAGCCCCGCCTGGGTGAGCAGCAGCGGGAAGCGGCGCTTGTTGCCCAGCTCCCTGGCTCTCTCCCTTAGGGATGCCACTGGTTCCCGGGGGTAGCACTGAAGGGGGAGAGAGAAGCATGAGGAGGGAGAGAGCAGCAGTGAGTGCGCAGAGCAGCAGCGGGAAGCGGCGCTTGTTGCCCAACTCTCTGGCTCTCTCCCTTAGCGATGCTACCGGTTCCCTGGGGTAGCACTGAGAGGGTAAGGGGAATGCAGGGAACACGGAAGGAGCAGCAGTGGGAAGCGGCGCTTGTTGCCTAGCCCCCTCGCCCTCTCCCTTAGTGATGCCACTGGTTCCCGGGGGTAGCACTGGCTGCACAATCTCACCTGCACCACTGCCACCACCACCCTTCCCTCACCTGCAGGCTGCAGCAGCATCTCAGCCAGAGCCAGCTCCAGCACGAACCCACCCCATCACGTGTGATGAGGCGATTTTTGAGTCGACTCAAAAGCCAGCTCCAGCACGAACCCACCCCATACTTCCTCTGGTGTCTGTGATTCATGCCATTCTCTTCTCGCGCCTGAGGTGTATTTTGAGGCGCCTCAAAACACACCATACTTCCTCTGGTGTCTGTGATTCATGCCATTCTCTTCTCGCATCGCACCTGCACCACCACCCCCCTTCCCACACAGCATATCATCTTCCTGACCCATACCATACCCTTCCCTCACCTGCAGGCTGCAGCAGCATCTCAGCCAGAGCCAGCTCCAGCACGAACCCACCCCATCACACGTGGCAGCAACACTCCTGTACCCAACAAGCATACACTCTCACCTGTAGCGCCATGCTCGCACCTGCACCATCACCACCCTGCCCTCACCTGCAGCAGCATCTCAGCCAGAGCCAACTCCAGCACGAACCCGCCCATGCCGCCTGTAGCACCACCTGTCACACCAAGCACCATCTCACCTGCACCATCACCACCCTTCTCTCACCTGCAGCAGCATCTCAGCAAGAGCCAGCTCCAGCACGAACCCACCCTCGATGTGCATTGGGGCAGTACGCTTCCCGCCCGTAACCTGCAGTACCAGCACAGCACCACCATCGCCATCCTTCCCTCACCTGCAGCAGCATCTCAGCAAGAGCCAGCTCCAGCACAAAACCGCCAAGAAACGCCAGTCGCGACCCCGCCACCTTGAGAAACCGTGACTTGTCCGGCTGGTCCCTGAAAGATGTGGTGCGGTGGGATGAGGTGTGAAGAGGTATGATCAGGTGTGATGAGGTGTGGTGAGGTGTGGGGGAAGAGTGAGGAACAAACACGGTCAGCATAATCCAGCCCAGAAACTCCAGCCGTGACCCTCCCATCTTGAGGTGACTTTTGAGTGGTGGTGGGGCGTGGGGGACTCAAAAGTCGTTGTGGTGGGGTGGGGTGTGGGGGAAGAGAGAAACACGGTCAGCATAAACCAGCCCAGAAACGCCAGCCGTGTGACTTGCCGGATTGGGTCTTGGGGAAAAGGAGGGGTAAACCAAGTGCGCACTTTTGTAGGACGATTTATTTTTCCCTAAAACATTGACATCTACCATCACATGTGCCTGTAGGGACAGGTGCACGGCCAATTTATAATACACTCACAGTACACGTGGCACCCACCTGTGCCTGTGCGCCAGGTGGCACTCACCTGTGCATATCCAGTGTTGTTATGACACGTGGCACCCACCTGTGCATGTACGAGAGGTAAAGAAGCTCTTCTAGCTTGCTGGCAGGATTGAACGAATCCTCATCCGCCACGTGGATGTCCTCCTCTCCTCCCACCTCCCCAGCTCCAGCGTCCTTGCCAACCAAAAACCCCAAACCTCTGCTGCTGATGCTATCTGAAACACCAGGTGTTCTTTGACTCCTTTCACCCGTGCTGGAGCCTGCTGCTGAATCTCTTGCTGCTCCTGTGGCTGCTCCTCCTGCTGCCGTGACTGCTCCTCCTGCCCTTCCTGCTACAGGATCTCTTCTCACAGCACTGCCATCCCCCTTACTATCAGCACCGCTTTTGACCGCGAGCTCGCCTCTCCTTTCGTCTCTCCATTCCTCCTCACTTCCCCACTCCTCCTCCCCTTCACTTTCCCCCTCCTCCTCCCCCTCCCCTTCCTCATATTCATCATCATCCCCATATTCCCATTCCCCCTCTTCCCCTTCCCCTTCCTCTTCCCCCTCCTCCCCATCCCTAAACCCTGAACCCTCCCCCGCTGTCTCCCACCAATCCCCCCCTTCTGCCATCAAAAGCCCCAAACCCTCCTTAATCTCATCCCCATTCGCCCAGATCCACTCCCGATCCTCCCGCGCTAAGGGCAACGGGGACAGACACGCACTAAGAAGCGGCCAGCCCGCCGCATTTCCCGCCGCGAGTTGCGGGCTCTGCAGCAGGCGTGATGTCAGCTCGTCCTGGCTCAGCTGCCGCCCGCCGCGCCGCCCGCGGCGGTACAGGTTTGTCCGGTGGATGCCGCCGGGGCGCTTCTGCAGCCGGCGCATGTGCGCGGGGGAAACCTTCCGCCGAACCACGCGCGGGGCGGCTTTGCTGCGCCCGGCGGCGGAAATGAGGAGTCGGCGGGGTCGCGGAGCCAAGGGCTGGCGGAGGCCGGGGGACGCATGGCGCGGGGGGAACAGGCTCTTGGCGGAAAGATGCGGGGAAAAGGGGGTAAAAAAGCGGGAATAGGCGGAGGAGAGGGGAGCGGAGGAGGCGCAAGATGTTCTAAGCGGGTACGAAGTTGGTCGCGATTGTGACAGAATCGAGCAGCCTAGCGTCGAGGGAGGAGTTCGTGACTGTATCGAAGGGTGTGACGGTGACAGTACTGAAGAATGTGAAAACGCGGAATGTCGGATTTTGGAGCGCGGATCCCGCGCATTGCGGCGCCTGAGGAGTGCAATGCGAAACAGGAGATTACCGCCATTATTGTCCGGGTTTCGTTCGCATGAGACAAGCACGAACGAGGTAATTACTGGCCTGGGACTAGTAGGTCTTAGTAGGTCCAAGCATCATTTGCTGGAAGTGCAGAACCACATAACCACTCCTTGTTCCAAGCATCAGTCCTCGTTCCACAACTGCAAAGAGGTGTATTTGAAGATAGGACCATCGGATCAGCATATTCCTGTAACACCACAAAAAAGGATTTGAGAAAGGAGAAGGCGACGTTTCAAATCGGGTCTGTTCCAACCGGGGAAGTTTTGCCAGCTGACTACGCCAAACGGACATTTCGAGGAATGTTTCCGTCCGTACCATCTTTCGTTCGTGTTCTGCCACGCTAGGACCCTTGTTTACCAAAAGAAACTTTCAGCCCCTAATCCGTTTCTATACCGAGTGCGAGCAGCGGCGGACCAATACTCACCAGCCACGTCAGCACTCATGCGTAGGTCACTAGGAACATCGCATGCGAACGCGCCGCGAGGCGGCGATAGCAGCAATAGCAGCTTCGTGCGATTGTACATAGACTCGCTCAGCCTGCCGACTCGAGGATTCCTCCTAACGGTCGCGATCTTAGTAACCGCGCTGGTCCTCCTAGTCGCGCGCCGCGACTCCTCGCCGTCCGCCGCCTTCTCCTCCTCCTCTTCCTCCGCTGACCGCGGCGTGAATCCCGGCGGCGACCCCGCGGCGATGGCGGCGCGTCCCGCGGAGGTCCTAGTGGAGGAGAAAGAAACGGTGGTGAATCTCCCGCCGGAAATCACGGAGGAGGAGGGGCGGCAGCGCGTGACGCTGCGGTTCCTGGAAGGTTCCAGGAAGCCCGGGACGGGAGGAGGAGGAGGAGGAGCGGAGGGTGCGGGTGGGGGAGCCTCGGGAATGACGGTGGTGCTGCTGCATGGCCGGTCATTTGAGGCCAAGACATGGAAAGACATTGGTAAGGCCGCATGGAATGTAGAAGTGCCTATTTCCCTTCCTCCCATAGAAATTACCCCTCGGGAATGACGGTGGTTGCTGCATGGGAGATCATTTGAAGCCAAGACGTGGAATGACATTGGTAAGGCATGTGGCTGTTGTCCTTTCCACCATAGAAAGATCACCTCGGGAATGACGGTGGTGCTTCTGCATGGGCGGTCGTTCGAAGCCAAGACGTGGGAAGACATCGGTAAGGCCGCATGCCGATTTCCCTTCCTCCATGAAAAGACGGGGGTGCAACCACTCCGCCTCCTCCCACACCCCCCCTCACCGACATACCTTCCCCCTCTTCCCGCCTCGCCTCGTTCGTGTTTGATCCATGGAGGCACCATTGACCGTGTGTCCTCTCCTTGCCTGTCTGAGATTAGTTTTGAGAATTCTGTTTTGAGAATTCTGTTTTGAGAATTCTGTTTTGAGAATTCTGTTTTGAGAATTCTGTTTTGAGAATTCTGTTTTGAGAATTCTGTTTTGAGAATTCTGTTTTGAGAATTCTGTTTTGAGAATTCTGTTTTGAGAATTCTGTTTTGAGAATTCTGTTTTGAGAATTCTGTTTTGAGAATTCTGTTTTGAGAATTCTGTTTTGAGAATTCTGTTTTGAGAATTCTGTTTTGAGAATTCTGTTTGAGAATTCTGTTTGAGAATTCTGTTTTGAGAATTCTGTTTTGAGAATTCTGTTTTGAGAATTCTGTTTTGAGAATTCTGTTTTGAGAATTCTGTTTTGAGAATTCTGTTTTGAGAATTCTGTTTTGAGAATTCTGTTTTGAGAATTCTGTTTTGAGAATTCTGTTTTGAGAATTCTGTTTTGAGAATTCTGTTTTGAGAATTCTGTTTTGAGAATTCTGTTTTGAGAATTCTGTTTTGAGAATTCTGTTTTGAGAATTCTGTTTTGAGAATTCTGTTTTGAGAATTCTGTTTTGAGAATTCTGTTTTGAGAATTCTGTTTTGAGAATTCTGTTTTGAGAATTCTGTTTGAGAATTCTGTTTTGAGAATTCTGTTTTGAGAATTCTGTTTTGAGAATTCTGTTTTGAGAATTCTGTTTTGAGAATTCTGTTTTGAGAATTCTGTTTTGAGAATTCTGTTTTGAGAATTCTGTTTTGAGAATTCTGTTTTGAGAATTCTGTTTTGAGAATTCTGTTTTGAGAATTCTGTTTTGAGAATTCTGTTTTGAGAATTCTGTTTTGAGAATTCTGTTTTGAGAATTCTGTTTTGAGAATTCTGTTTTGAGAATTCTGTTTTGAGAATTCTGTTTTGAGAATTCTGTTTTGAGAATTCTGTTTTGAGAATTCTGTTTTGAGAATTCTGTTTTGAGAATTCTGTTTTGAGAATTCTGTTTTGAGAATTCTGTTTTGAGAATTCTGTTTTGAGAATTCTGTTTTGAGAATTCTGTTTTGAGAATTCTGTTTTGAGAATTCTGTTTTGAGAATTCTGTTTTGAGAATTCTGTTTTGAGAATTCTGTTTTGAGAATTCTGTTTTGAGAATTCTGTTTTGAGAATTCTGTTTTGAGAATTCTGTTTTGAGAATTCTGTTTTGAGAATTCTGTTTTGAGAATTCTGTTTTGAGAATTCTGTTTTGAGAATTCTGTTTTGAGAATTCTGTTTTGAGAATTCTGTTTTGAGAATTCTGTTTTGAGAATTCTGTTTTGAGAATTCTGTTTTGAGAATTCTGTTTTGAGAATTCTGTTTTGAGAATTCTGTTTTGAGAATTCTGTTTTGAGAATTCTGTTTTGAGAATTCTGTTTTGAGAATTCTGTTTTGAGAATTCTGTTTTGAGAATTCTGTTTTGAGAATTCTGTTTTGAGAATTCTGTTTTGAGAATTCTGTTTTGAGAATTCTGTTTTGAGAATTCTGTTTTGAGAATTCTGTTTTGAGAATTCTGTTTTGAGAATTCTGTTTTGAGAATTCTGTTTTGAGAATTCTGTTTTGAGAATTCTGTTTTGAGAATTCTGTTTTGAGAATTCTGTTTTGAGAATTCTGTTTTGAGAATTCTGTTTTGAGAATTCTGTTTTGAGAATTCTGTTTTGAGAATTCTGTTTTGAGAATTCTGTTTTGAGAATTCTGTTTTGAGAATTCTGTTTTGAGAATTCTGTTTTGAGAATTCTGTTTTGAGAATTCTGTTTTGAGAATTCTGTTTTGAGAATTCTGTTTTGAGAATTCTGTTTTGAGAATTCTGTTTTGAGAATTCTGTTTTGAGAATTCTGTTTTGAGAATTCTGTTTTGAGAATTCTGTTTTGAGAATTCTGTTTTGAGAATTCTGTTTTGAGAATTCTGTTTTGAGAATTCTGTTTTGAGAATTCTGTTTTGAGAATTCTGTTTTGAGAATTCTGTTTTGAGAATTCTGTTTTGAGAATTCTGTTTTGAGAATTCTGTTTTGAGAATTCTGTTTTGAGAATTCTGTTTTGAGAATTCTGTTTTGAGAATTCTGTTTTGAGAATTCTGTTTTGAGAATTCTGTTTTGAGAATTCTGTTTTGAGAATTCTGTTTTGAGAATTCTGTTTTGAGAATTCTGTTTTGAGAATTCTGTTTTGAGAATTCTGTTTTGAGAATTCTGTTTTGAGAATTCTGTTTTGAGAATTCTGTTTTGAGAATTCTGTTTTGAGAATTCTGTTTTGAGAATTCTGTTTTGAGAATTCTGTTTTGAGAATTCTGTTTTGAGAATTCTGTTTTGAGAATTCTGTTTTGAGAATTCTGTTTTGAGAATTCTGTTTTGAGAATTCTGTTTTGAGAATTCTGTTTGAATTGTTTGAGAATTCTGTTTTGAGAATTCTGTTTTGAGAATTTTGAGACTTCTGTTTTGAGAATTCTGTTTTGAGAATTCTGTTTTGAGAATTCTGTTTTGAGAATTCTGTTTTGAGAATTCTGTTTTGAGAATTCTGTTTGAGAATTCTGTTTTGAGAATTCTGTTTTGAGAATTCTGTTTTGAGAATTGCGTTTTGAGAATTCTGTTTTGAGAATTCTGTTCTTGAGAATTCTGTTTTGAGAATTCTGTTTTGAGAATTCTGTTTTGAGAATTCTGTTTTGAGAATTCTGTTTGAGAATTCGTTTTGAGAATTCTGTTTTGAGAATTCTGTTTTGAGAATTCTGTTTTGAGAATTCTGATTTTGAGGAATCGTTTTGAGAATTCTGTTTTGAGAATTCTGTTTTGAGAATTCTGTTTTGAGAATTCTGTTTTGAGAATTCTGTTTTGAGAATTCTGTTTTGAGAATTCTGCCATAATTCTCAAAACTAATCTCAAACAACATTGACCATGTGTCCTCTCCTTGCCTGTCCTCCGGCCTCTCATTTCCCCTGTGCCTCGTTCGTGTCTGAACCACACAGGCACCATCGAGCATCTGGCAGCAGCAGGGCACAGAGTCATTGCCGTTGACTTGCCAGGTCCGTTGATTGGCGTTGACTTAAAGCTGACTGGGTTTAACTATCTCAAATGTTGGCTCGAGTTGACTGGCGTTGTGTGGCGTTGACTTAACGTTTGACTCGTTCTATGCATTCAGGTTCTGGCCCATGTTCCCCCCTTCCCACTATCCCACATGCTCACATGCCCCCGTTTTCCCATTTTTCCATGCATCCATCACATGCCATGCCCCACATGCCCCTGCATGCCCCACATGACCCCACGCGCCCATGCCAATCCCCACCTCCCGTTTCACCACCTCACGCCAGGTGGCAAGGGTCGCACCAAGGACACGCTCTCCACGCGAGCAGCGCACAAGGGCTTCATTGCTGTGGTGAGCGCATGTGTGGTTGGAGGTTATTATTAGTGCGTTGCTGGGGGACGGCGTATGCATGTGGCGTGTGCTGGTAATACCAAGGGTCGCACTAAGGACACTCTCTCTACGCGAGCAGCACATGAGCGCTTCATTGCTGTGGTGAGTGAGTAGTTGGATGTAAGATGTGTGTGTAGATTTGTGCAGGTGTGCTTCCCCCCCTCTCGCCACCACACAGGGAAGAGGGGAGGGGAGGGGGACGAGGAGGGTGGAGCTGGAAGAGTAGAGGGAAAGGAAACAAGGTTGAGGAAACAAGGTTGAGGAGTGGAAGAGGTGGAAGAAGAAAAAAAGTGGGAAGAGGAGAGATAATAGAAACAGTGGAGACAGACTGGGAAAAAAGAAGAAATTTGAATACAAGAGTAGAACAGGTTGGTTCCTAAAACAGAATGGAGATAAACTTGATCATAACAAGAGCGAGCTCGTGCCAGGTACGCATCCTTTCGGTAGTGAGATCACCTGCGGGGTTTATGCAGGCGCGAGAGTTCCCGGGGAAGATAGGGGGCACTTCGAAAACTATGAGGTGGAGGGTGGCTTGGCGGGGCAAGCGTCCGAACTTGCACACCAGCTGGGCCGTGACTTTCCGTTAACTCTCAAGTACATCACACGCAATCAATTTATGCCCGCTGTTGACTAGGTGGGTGTGAAAATCGAAAAAAAACTGAGAATTGAACGGGAAATCTGTTGACTAGGCTTTCCGATGTTCATACCCACCTAATCAACAGCGGACATATATTGATTGCGTGTGATGTACCTGAGAGTTAACGGGAAGTCACGGCCCAGCAGGAGATGTGCAAGTTCGGACGCTTGCCCTGCCAAGCCCCCCTCCACCTCGTAGTTTCTGAAGTGCCCCTACCTTCCCCGGGATCTCTCGCGCCTACATAAACCCCGCAGGTGATCTCACTTCCGAAAGGTTGCGCACATGGCACGAGCTCGCTCTTGTTATGACCACGTTTCCCCCCACTTTGTTTCAGGAACCAACCTGTTCTACCCTTGTATTCAAACTTCTCAATGCTTTCCTCCCGGTCGGCCTTCACTGTTCGTTTTATCTCTCCTCTTCCTACTTTTTTCTTCTTCCACTTCTTCCACTCCTCCTCAACCTTGTTGCCCCTCTCTCTACTCCACCTGCTCCTCGCTCTCCTCAACCCCCTCCTCTCCCCCGTCGTCCCCCTCACCCCTCCCCACATATATGATGTGTGTAGGTGTGTGCAGGTGTTTGCAGGTGAGTGAAGGTGTGCACAGGTGTGGAGGACACCCTCTTTACCTGAGCAATGCATGAAGGCTCAGCACACGGAGGGTCCCTGTTGAAGAAACTATGTGCTCTTTCTTTAGTTGTTTTTTAGAATTCTCAAAAACAACCCGGAGGGTCTATGTTGAGGAAAACGTGCACTTCCTTTAGTTGACTCCAAATCACCTCTAACAATGTGCATAAGTGGTTAAATCAGTACGCACTGACGCCACTTTTGTATGGGCTCTGATCTTAAATGTATGCAGCTCGCTCCCTCCAGCCCATATTCAACCCATGATGCCAACCCAACCTTTGTGTGTTCCACTCCAGCTCTGGCAGCATTTTGAGCTGTCCCTGTCTCGCCGTCTCTCAGCGGCCGCTACAGTCTGCCACTTGTAGCGCAGCAGAGCTCAGTCCATTTCACCCCTCCTGTCTACCCCCCTTTCCTTTTTTGCCCTGGTTGTCGTCCAACCCAACCCTTCTATTCCAGCTCTGGCAGCACTTTGAGCTCACTAATCACTCGGTCCTCGTTTCGCCGTCCCTCAGCGGCCGCTACAGCCCGCTGATTGCAGCAGGCCTCACCCTGTGTTTTCCACCCTCTGCTAAACCTTGCTTTCTATTCCAGCTATGGCAGCATTTTGAGCTCACCAATCGAACAGTCCTTGTTTCGTTGTCCCTCAGCGGCCGCTACAGCCTGCCGTTTGTAGCGCAGTAGAGCTCATCCCTTTCCCAACCCCCCTATTTTCCCTCTGTTGTTGTCCAACCCACCCCTCCGTGCCATTCCAGCTGTGGCAGCACTTTGAGCTCACTAATCGCTCGGTCCTCGTGTCGCCGTCTCTCAGCGGCCGCTACAGCCTGCCGTTTGTAGCGCAGCAGAGCTCGGCACATCCACAACCCCCCTCTCCTCCCACCCCCCTTCTTTTGCCCTCGTTGTTGCCCAACTCACCAGCTGTGGCAGCACTTTGAGCTCACCAACCGCTCCGTTCTCGTATCGCCATCTCTCAGCGGCCGCTACAGCCTGCCGTTTGTAGCGCAGCAGAGCCAGCTGAAGCCCGGGCGGCAGGCCACGGGCGGGCGGCAGCTGGGCGGCTACGTGCCGGTGGCGCCTGTGATGGTGGATTCGTACAGCGACAAGATAGCCGGCAGCCAGGTGGGTGTGTGGGGGGGGGGGAAGGGGGAAGGGGGTGGGGGAGGGATATGCTATCCGACAGCCCGGTAGCCTGTGGTGTGTGTATGCAGCTATGTGCCGGTGGCGCCTGTGATGGTGGACTCGTATAGTGAAAAGGTAGCAGGCAGCCAGGTGTGCGTGTGAGATGAGCTGATGTTCTACCTTTCAGCCAAGCATGTATGCTTGTTGACAGGCTCCAATTTGGATAACCAGGTGTGTTCAGGCGGCTGGCGCCTGTGATGGTGGGTGGACTCGTACAGCGACAAGATAGCAGGCAGCCAGGTGTGCGTGTGCGTATAATGGGCTGCTGAGTTACCCTTCATGCGGGCGGCAGCTGGGCGGCTATGTGCCGGTGGCGCCTGTGATGGTGGGTGGACTCGTACAGCGACAAGATAGCAGGCAGCCAGGTGTGCGTGTGCGTGTGAATTGCAATATGACGGGGTATGTGACCAAAGTGACTCCATTCGGGATGACTTCATGCTCTCTCACTAGGCATTCCCATCAAGGTTAGGCTAGTAGTCTACTAGCCTAAGCTCAGCCTAAGCTCAGCCTAGAGGAGATTAGGAGGAGATAAGGACGAGATACCTGTTGGATCCAGGTCGAAACTGCTTTTCTATGCTCTCTCACTAGACATTCCCATCAAGGTTCCATGTGTTGTCTTTTGAGGCGCCTCAAAAGCCATGTGTTGTTGCCATATGATTTTCCTCCTCATTCGCCTCCCTTCCCTACTCTTCCCATCGCCCACTCATCTCCACCCCTCCCTCCTTCCTGCCAATCCAACGTCTCCCTGTCCCTTTTTCCTCTCTCTTCCCATTAAGTTATTGACACTGGTCAATACCACTTACCTGTTCTCCATTTTTCTGAAGGTTACCAGTCGAAACCTGATAGATGCCAAATGGCGCCCTCTGTACCCTCCTTGGTTTGCTGTCAACGAGGTGCCAGCACTATTGGTGAATGGTGGTGATGAACGGTGGGGAATGGTGCAGAGTGGCGCAACGTTCACTGGAAATTCCCCCTTCGTCTCGGCCGTGGGTTGCGATACCCCCAGATGCAAGCACTGGTGGCGAATGTGGTGCAGAGTGGTGCAGGGTGGTACGAAGCCCTGTGGTTCCCCTATTCTTGTCTCGTTTTCGTTTACCTTCCTCTTCTCCCAGGTGCCAGCACTGGTGGTGAATGGGGAGAGGGATCACCCCGACAGGGCTCAGCACCTTGCAAGCCTCTTTGCTACCCCCAGGTGCCAGCGTTGGTGGTGAATGGTGCAGAGTGGTACAACGCCCACAGGGTCCCTACCTCTTTTCTCTCTATTTATTCGCTTCTCCCAGGTGCCAGCACTGGTGGTGAATGGGGAGAGGGATCACCCCGACAGGGCTCAGCACCTTGCAAGCCTCTTTGTCAACCACAAACTGGTACGGCTGGACTTGTCTTGTAGTGGTTAATTCTAGGAAACTTCTGAACATTTTAAAGCAGTGGGCCATGCATGCAGGCTACACGAAACAGACTACTTGCAGTATCTAAACAAATAACAAGTGTTTGATGCGTATTGTTGCCTTTGCCTTTTGCCTGCTCTCCTCTCCTCACAGGTGATATTCAAAGGAGTGGGCCTTGCATGCAGGCTACGTGGAGAAGCCAGCATACAGTACCCAAAGAAATTCAAAGAGTCTGATGTGTGTTGCCGCCTTTTCCCTTTCCCATTCCTTTTCCTTTTCTTCTCACCGGTGATACTCAAAGGAGCGGGGCACGCATGCTATATGAGCAGCCTGATTACTTTAACAGCCTTGTGGGGCAATTTGTGCAACAACTGACCATGTCATTATAATCTGTCTCCAATGTGTGTATTCTCCCCTGCTATTTTCTCAGGTGATCTTCAAAGGAGCAGGCCACGCATGCTACATGGAGCAACCTGATTACTTTAATAGCCTTGTGGGACAATTCGTGCAACAATTGACCGTCCCAACTGAATTTCAGTAGTTTTTGCCTGAGATCCGAATCAGCTTGCTAACAGCGCCTAGTGCCAGCGCATAGATTTTTTTGGCATTTTCGAAGAGGGTGGGAGAAGGGGGGGGGGGAGGTGGGGGGAAGGGAGGGGTGGAAGGAAGGGAAAGGGTGGGTTGGGAGGGGGAGGGTGGGTTGGGAGGGGGAGGGTGGGTTGGGATGGGAGGGGGAGGGTTGGGTTGGGGGGGAAAGGGGAGGAATAGGGGGTAGGGGGAAGTGGAAGGGAAACAAGGAGCTTATACGAAGTCCTGTTGTGAAGCACTTATAGTCGATTTAAGAGTTTAACAGTACAATCCAGTATTCGAAAGTAACTAGGTGGGCCTTATTATCGAAGTAACAGTACAATCACCCCTTATGTGGGGAGGAATACCTGTATTGAGGTGTTACTTGATGGTTGTATTCAGTGATTTCCGACCGTCAGAATATGTAGCCCCGCCAGCAGTCCCTGTCTATCGTAGCAATTTATAACGAGAATTCCTTCCCATTCGAGAAAGGGAGGCCGTCTGATTAGGTTCGCGCCGCTGACAGCGCAACGGATCTCTCTCAACAAAGATTGGCTTGGCAGCCACTCGTGCCGCTGCGATTGGTCCCATAGCAATCGGGAGCACGAACCCGCTGTCAAACTCCACCAGACCATGCCTTCCCGAACGAAGGTGGCGTTGCCGAAGTTTGATGCTGTGCTGCCCAGGGACTGGTATATACGAGACGGGGGCACCAACATTCTTGACGATGACCAGCAGTCCCCAGTTCGTGACGTGAGGCTGCTGGCTTGGAAACGTGATACATGACAACCAGTGTGGTTCGTTTTCGACGTTTTTCGTTCGGGGGCCTGGTCCGGACCAAGCCTCGTTCGCATCTTTGCACTCGTGAGTGTACCGCCCGCATGTCCTGCCCTCCCCTCCCGTCCACTCCACTCCAGACCAGAACCTGTTGCCAAGCTACATCTGTTGGTTACCTGAAGATTTCTTGCAGCCTCAGTTTGATGGTGATGCCGCCAGTGCCGCTCTATGATATTTCGTGACGCTTTGCTTGAAACCTGCTGGGATGAGCTCCTTTGTATAGATTATTCCTGTAGTTGCCACGGGATTTACGCAGGCAGCGACGAGTTTGCTAAAGTATTTAATTCGAGTCCTAGAAGTGAATGGACTCGAACACCGGGGGTCCTGAAGATCGAGATTGCGTTTCTTTTAGAGGCAGAAGCTTGAATAGTGTGTCTCCGGGATCTCCAGACGCTTACCAGAAGCCAGGAAATCCGGTTCGACGTTCATTTCCTAACTCGCTGTTTCGCCTCGCAGAAGAAGATCGAAACGAGACGAGTTCCGCCATGGATCGTTGCAAATGTGGTGCTGTGGTGGGCCTGGACGGCAAAGGAAAGCAGCAACCTCGAGGATTCGCCAAGTGTCTACGCCTGTTAATGTTCGTCGGGATATTAGCTGTTGTCGGAATCTTCGTGTATCGTACGGTGTCAGCTTATCCTGGTTACCATTTCTCGTCTTCAGTCGCTCCGATGGAAGATGTATTTAAGTCGAGCGATTGCAGCGACACGGACGCTTACGAGCAACGGATGCTCCAAGACTCAGAGAAGGCATACATGGTAAGCCCTAATCAAAATCTAAGCTAATTGTTATTAGCTTATTCAAACCATTATTCGAATTTGTTTGATTCGCTTTATTCATAATGATGCAAGGTCAACAATTTCATAATTGAATCCGTTCCAACGTCGATTCATCGCCATTGCGGCATGGGGATTGTCGTCGCAGGAAGCCACGGCGGTGCTGGCGGAGGCGTTCGGCGGGGCGACGCAGCCGCGGGACGTGGACGCGAAGCGCATGTGGGACTTCATCTTCGTCCCCACGTACCCGTGCCCGCGCGAACGACGCATCGGCCGCGCTGGCGACGGCGGGAAGGTGAGTTGCTACTGTCACATTGGTTTAAATTGAGCTATTACTGTCACATGGGTTTGATGTTGAGCCGTTACTGTCACATTGGTCTTAAGGCAAGCCGCTGTCACATTTGTTTCAAGACGAGCCGTTACTGTGGCCTCAAGGTGAGCCATTACTGGCACCTTCAGTTAAAAAAGAACCGATTATTATTGCATTTGAGGGTATCCTTTATCCGCTCCATGGTGGTTCAGACGGTAGCGACGGACGAACTTTACATTGTTATGCGAATTCACTGACAAGAATAAGCTTCTCAGCACGAGAGACAATTTTTATTCAGGCTCGGTGTCTCAACCCTCCTTCCCCTAGTTCTTCAAACCCCTGCCTTTCCCCGTCTTCTCCCGCACATCCCTCCTGGCTCTGTCTCTGTCTCTCGTGTGTCAGCCTGTCCTGTCCGAATGTCGATTTGTCTCGCGCTCACTAATGATCTCTTTTTATTCCTTCTCCCTTCGTGTCACCCAGTCCCTCTGCCAGCACTCGTCCCTCCTCGCCAATTCCGCTTCCACTGCGGCCTCCCTTCCCTCCCTTGCGGCCTTGCTTACTTCCCCTACAGCCCCCCTACTTTATGGAGTTCTGTCATGAACTCGCTCGTTCCTTTCGAACGTGCTACTCCCCCACTCACACCCCTTCTCCCCCACTCTCTCAACTCTTGTTTCACGTTTCAAGTCTTGTCCCTAACCTCGCCCCTCGTTTCTCTCCTTCCCTCTATCCCTTCCTCTGCCCGCTGTATGCCTGCGCAGTGGACTTGCATCCTGAAGGCGTTCTTTGCCAAGCCCAAGATCACGGTCTTCAGGTGAGCAGAGCTAAGAGTATCGTTGCCTCTTCTCTTAAATTTCCCCATGTATGAACTGTGCGTGCCTCCCCATTGTGCACGCTGCATTGGCAGTCACGGGGCCAAATGTTGTCTAAAGATTGATCAGGTTTTTTCTGACCCTCCCACCCTTTGTAATTCTCCCCTTTCCCAATGGCCCCCTTGTGTTCACAGCATTGGCAGCCATGGAGACCCCAGCTTCGAGAATGCCGTGCAGAAAGTCATTCACGCCAAGCCCTACACCTTCGACCCATTCCTGAACGCGACCACGCTCGCCGAGATGCAATCCCAGCCGTTCATGCGCTTCCGCAATGCTGGCCTTGTGGGTTCGCGGACCAAGGCAAACGCGACGCGGCAGTTCCCGGGGGTGAATTTTGTGACCCTCGAGGAGGGCATGCAGCAGGCGGGGAGGGATTATATTGATATATTCAAGATTGACTGCGAGGGTTGCGAGTACCCTGTGCTGGATGATCTTATGGAGCGGTATACTGCCAGGCGGAACCCTCCCATTGGCCAGCTGCTCATCGAGTTCCACGGGTGCGTTTTTTTTTTTTTTTTTTTTTTTTGCACTAAACCCCTCAGTCGATCGGGTCCGGTTTGGCCTGCTCTGAGCCTCCAGACAAGGAACCAATCTTTAGGGCCTTCAGTTTGGTTTTCCTTTCAATCGCCCTATCACGCACCCCTCCATGTTTCTCTGCTCTCTACCAGTGCAACCACAGCACTTGGTGGGGAATGTTCTTATGAATTTATGAGGCGTCTGAAAAAGTCGTCTCAGTGCAAGCACATCGTTTGTAGTCCATAAGTAATCACACGGCATTCAGAACTCACTGTAAACTCCAGCTTGCTTCATGCTTTTGAGTAGGCTCAAGCGCCTGCCCTCCTTTATGATTCCATCCCCCCCTCATTCTCTCACCCCCTCCCCCTTCCACATTCCCTTGCACTGCGCTTGCCCTCTGTCCTCCCCCCCCCCCCCTCCTCCTTTCCCCGTCCGTGCGTCCCCCTGCAGGGCAAGCACTCAACCCGTAATGGAGAAGTATTTTTACGGAATTCAGAACATGGGATTCCGCCTGTTTCATGTGGAAAGAAACGCGTATTTTCCGCAGTTTTGTGCAGAGTTCTCCTTTATCCACGAGAGCTTGCTGCCGGTAGAAAAGGACGATGGAATCACTTACTAGTATAAGAATGTAGTCAGGTGTTGGGCACTGGATTAATTTGTTCCAACTGCTCGAGGCCAATGTTATTCATATAGAGGCATGTTGATGTATAAAACACCATGTCCAATCAGATTGTGGAGTCCTAAACATTTGTAAGAAGCATATTACTGTACATTACTTAACCTTTGTTCTCCACAAGGCCTGCAATTCAACCAGTTTTGTAATCAGTTGATAAGCAAATTATTCAACCTGGCCACCTCTACTTTTACGTGTTCGTGGTAGTCTGTATAAAATGCATCGTACTCTCCATAATCTACAGCTGCGTCTGGCCTCTCAAGGTAACTCGGGTGATACGCTATACGGCGGTAACCAGTTCTGGAAATGCGATCAAAGTCACCAGCATCGCCAGTGGATCCCTTGCGAAGGTAGAGGCGAGCAACCTGGTATTGCACATCGAATTGGGAAGGGAGAGTGGGGAAGGGGGGGGGATGGGGGAGTGGGGAGGGGGAAAGGGGAAAGGAGAGTGATGGAGGGGAAGGGAGAGTGTGGTGGAGGGGAAGGGGTGGCGTGATGGAGGGGAAGGAAGGCATCCCCGCTTTCATGCATCTGAACACCCCTCCTTGCTACCACCATAGAGGACTAACAATCTCCCCATATACTTCTCACCTGGTAACCAGACAGCCACACGCGTGTCGCCAGCTGCCAGTCCGACACAATCGCCGCCTCGCCCTCCCAGTCATCAGCCTCATCCAGCCCACCCAGTCGCCTCAACACAACCCACTCCTTGGTACCCCAATAAACCCGAAAAATCACAAATTCCTCACCTGGTAACCAGACAGCCACACGCGTGTAGCAAGCTGCCAGTCCGACACAATCGCCACCTCACCCTCCCGGTCGTCAGCCTCATCCAGCCCACCCAGTCGCCTCAACACATTCCGTCGCACCACCAGGGGTAACCCCGTGACCAGCCCAGTGAAATGCATCCCCACTCCCGTCTCTGGGTCTCTCGTCTTCCTGCTCTCCACCTCATCCTCCTCTCGAGCCAAATCCGCCCAGAATTTGGCAATTTTGCCGGTTGTAGGGGCGGCGAGATTTGTCATGTTATCCGTCCGATAGCCGACCATTCCGAGCCTGGGCCACGCGAAGAATGTGGAGAGCAAATCCTGCAGCCAATCACAGCTCTCGGGAGGCAAGTAGTCGTCCTGTAGCAGCACTAGCAGGTCGCCTCGTGCCATCCATGCCAGATCATTATACCCCCGATTATCGTCCACCGAATGGGGTAATACCGGCACGACAAAAATCCCCGGATCGGTTTTGTTCCACATTTCCATCCACTGCCCGAGGGTTTTTTCCGGCTCGAAAACATTTACAAGCAACTCTGCCAGAGCTCCTGGTATTTTTCCCGTGCCCAGCATCCCGTTTGTACACCCATATAAACGCTCCACCAACGGTTTTACCCACTCCGGAGCCCCGTAATACCGAAGCAAGAAGGTGAAATGCGCCCGAACCTCCGGGTACTGGTCCGGAAACAGGTCCGGATCCTTCTGCCAGACGTACGGTGGAGCTTCCAGGCCCGGCCGATCCTCGTACCCAGGATCAAGCCTCTCCCAGTCCACGCATTGAGGCTCGGCACCAGCTGCGGCAGCTACAGTGTGAAACCGAGCCAGAAACTCGTCTTGTTGTGCCGTCCAGTTACTGTGCGGTAACCGCAGGCCGCAATCCCCTAGAAGCCTATCCTGAATTTGCCGGAGAGTGGATGATGCTGACGTGGCACGTGCCAGACTGGCGTCCCGATCGGATTGCGCGTCACCGACAAATGCTGACGCGGACGGATGGTCGGGCCCCTCTCGGTCGAACCAGAAGGAGTAGAGTTGGTACCACATTAGAAAGGCTTCAAGCCGTGTCTTATTGGCTGAAAGAAGGAATGGGCAGGCAACAACACAACACACAAAAACGAAAGGGGAGAGAGGGAGGCGAACAGCAGTTCGAATTTGCGTGCATGTTGAGGAAGGGATGATACTAATACTGATGCGCTCGGATAGTCGGGCCCCTTCTGGTCGAACCAGAAGGAGTATACCTGGTACCACATGAAAAAAGGCTTTAAGCCGTTTCTTGTTGGCTTTTAGGAGGAGTGGGAGAGGGGTAGGGGTGGGGGAGGGGGATGGGGGATTGATTCAATTGCTGGTATCACATGGGAAAGGCTTCTAGGCGCTTCTGTTATTGATCCTCCCAGGTCCCTCAGCAGTGGCCGGTACCCATCCAGCTCCCTCAGTCGCCCCAGCATGAACTGCCCCACTGTCCCTGGGCTGTTACTCGGTTGTCCCTGGGTTGCCCCTGGATGTACCCCACTCAAGCCCAGATACAACTCACGGTTCTTAGCATCCATTGCCGCAGCAGTGGCGTTGGCCTGGGCGGCTGTGATCCTCAGGTCATTCAGCAGCGGCCGATACCCGTCCAACTCCTTGAGTCGCCCCAGCATGAACTGCCTCACTGCTACCTCCCTGTCGTATTGTTGATACACCTGCAGGGCTGGTGGGGGGAAGGGGGTGGAGCGAGGGAGGGAAAGTCTATTTATCCCCAGGTCCCTCAGCAGCCGGCGGTACCCATCCAGCTCCCTCAGTCGCCCCAGCATGAACTGGCTCACTGCCACCTCCCTGTCGTATTGTTGGTAGATCTGCAGGGCTGGTGAGAGAGGGACAGAGTGGTGGGGGAGTGAAGAGGGGAGAAGGAGAAAAGCGAGGGAGTAGGGGCATTGGGCTGTGCAGCGTCCATTCCCTCAGCAGCCGTCCAGCTCCGGTACCCGTCCAGCTCCTTCAGGTGCCCCAGCATGAACTGCCTCACCGCCACCTCCCTGTCGTATTGTTGATACACCTGCAGGGCTGGACGGTGGAGGGACGGAATGGGGGAGTGCGGAGGGGAGAAGGGGAGAGTGGGGTATTTATACAGATCTCTGCATGAACTGCCTCACTCACTGCCACCTCCCTGTCGTGCTGTTGGTACACCTCCCCATTGCTGCAGAGCTGGTTTCGGTGAGGGATGGGCGGAGGGGGGCAGAGCGGAGGGGGGATTGGGGAGGGGGGAAGGGATGAGGGTGGGGAGAGAGGAAGCAGTGGCAGATCCGCAGTGACAGAGAGAACAGTCAGTGCACAGCGTCTTTTGAGGCGCCTCAAAAGTTGACAGAGGGAACAGTCAGTGCACAGCGTCTTCTACTATTGAGTTTTGAGTCGACTCAAAACTAGATGATAAGTCGAGTTTTGAGTCTACTTAAAACTAAATCAGCAGTGACAGAGGGAACAGTCAGTGCACAGTGTCTTCTACTTTTGAGTTTTGAGTCGACTCAAGAGAGAAAAGATGATCCACAGCGCCGTCCACTTGACCGCAAGGCACCCATTCAGATCCCTCAGAATTCCTGGAGTTGCTTCTGAGAATTCTGAAATCCTGTAACTCATTCCTCTCACTCACCTGCATGGAACCACTTTTCCAAACCCTGCGCTCGACTCGAGTATAACACACTTCACCAGCGACTTTTGAGACGTCTCAAAAGTCCTCTCACCCACCTGCATGGAACCACTTTTCGGTAACCCTGCGCTCGAGTATAACACACTCCACCAGCGACCACCTGTGTGTGAATTATCACTCCTGCTACCCACCTACATGGAACCACTTTTCGGTAACCCTGCGCTCGAGTGTAACACACTCCACCAGCGACCCCTTCCCTCCCTATATTTCACCCCCCTGTCAGAATATCCGTGTGTGAATTACCACTCCTGCTACCCACCTGCGTGAAACCTCTTCTCCAGCCCCTGAGCTCGAGTATACATCTCCAAACACTCCACCAGCGGCCCCTTCTCTTCCTCCCTCCTCTCCCCCTCCACCCCCTCCTTCCGGTCCCTCCTCTCCCCTCCATTCTCCTCCCCGTTCGCCCCTTCTCTCCCCTTATCCCGCTCCCCCCCTTTCCCCTCTGCAAGCTTCCTCAGGTCAACAGTGGTAGCCTGCATGCTTCTTAGAGCTGCAGATGCCGCCTCTACGCTGGGTGCTCTCAGAATCGCCTCTGCTGTTGCTTGATCGATCACTGTTGCCCGAGCCTCTGCTCGATCCCTCTCCTCGCTCAGTTGCTGCAAACGGGGCAGACGAGGGAGAAACAGAGCAAGAGAGCAAACAGAAAAGGTCCTGAATCCTGACGCTGCCTCTATGCTGGGTGTTCTAAGAATCGCCTCTGCTGTTGATTGATCTACCAGTGTTGCCTAAGCCTCTGCTCGATCCCTCTCCCCTCCTCGCTCAGTTGTTGGAGTGGACATGAACGGTAAGAGAGCAGGAACAGCAAAGGTCCTGATGGCTCGGAGGGTCCAGTTGCAGTTGCGTATTTGTAAGTTTTGTGATTTGCCAAACCTACCTGTATGCCTCGGAATGTACCAAGCCTATCTGTACCGAGCCTACTTGTATGGCTCGGTCGAGCACGGTGTTGAGGTGAGCTGCATCCCGCTCCAACCGCCTGTCCATGTCTTTAAGCCAAGCAGCCGCCTCCCGGTTGTGCTCCTGCAGCAGACGGAGCAGGGGGGAACTGGAAAGGAAAAGGGAAAAAGGGGGGCTCAAGAGGGGCGGGGCCAACAGGAACAAAAAGAGGGCGGATTTTACAACCCGCTCTAACCGCCTGTCCATGCCCTTGAGCCAAGCTGCCGTCTCGTGGTGGTGCTGCTGCAGCAGACGCAGCAGGGGGGAAATGGAAAGGAAAAGGGAAAAAGGGGGCTCAAGAGGGGGGGGGACGAACAGGAACGAAAAGAGGAGGCCGATTTTATGACCCCTCTCTTACTACCTGTCCATGCCCTTGAGCCAAGCTGCAGTCTCGTGGTGGTGCTGCTGCAGCAGACCCAGCAGGGGGGAACCACAAACAAAAAGGTGGGGCTGCTGGGAGGAAGGGGGGGAGTAAGGTGAAGAAGACGGGGAGGTAGGGAAGAAGAAGAGGGGGGGAGGGGGAGGGGGGGAGGACTGGAAAGCAAGGGGGAGATTCTACGTCCCCTCTCCAACCAGCCAGACCATGCCCTTGAGCCAACCTGCCGTCTGGTGGTGGTGCTGCTGCAGCAGACGCAGCAGGGAGGAACTGGAAAGAGAAGAGGGACGGGGTTTGGAAAGAGCAAGGGGAGATCACACGTTTTCTCTCCAACCTGCTGGAGCATGCCCTCGAGCTAATCCCACTCCGACTCCTCACCTCTCATCCAAATCAGGATAGAGCGAATTATCATTTGCCACGTCAGCATCGTCCCGTCCCCTGCCCGACTCTGCCCGTGACGAAAATTTCTGGCCCTCAAGCTCGCTGCCAAGGGCGATGGAAAGGTCGTCGCGTGCTGACGTGTATGAAGGTGATTGGCCAATGGGGGTGGAGGGTGAGGATGAAAAGGCGGAGGAGGGGAAAAAGGAGGAGTGGATGGGAGAGAGGAGGAAGTGGAGTAAGGCGATGAGGAGAGCAGCAGAGATTCCAACGGCTATTCTGACAGATGTGCAGCTTGGTAGTATCCTTGGCGAGACGGCAATCATTAGCCTGGTTGAGTCCGGTTGATGTGGGATTTTGCTCGGTAGAAATCTTGTCAGGGTGAGAGATACATGGCTGATCATCACATCGAACCAGCTAATCATATGATCGAACCATGGGTCGCTACCGCCACTACCTCTCCCTCCTCTGCCCCTGCTGCTGCTGCTGCTGCTGCGGCTGCTGTCACCATTGTTGCTGCTCATACTGCTGTTGCTGTTGCTGTTGCTGTTGCTGTTGCTGTTGCTGTTGCTGTTGCTGCTGATGTTGCTAACGCCGCTGCTGCTGCTGACATCCCCAGCGGCTGCTCGAGAGGCCCGGGATGGCTCCTCCTCTTTCCGCGTCATCTAGCTCAGATTTTGATTTCTAAAAAATCACTCGACATTGAGTTATGAGACGTCTCAAAAGTTGCGTGCGAAAGGAGGGCGTGTTGTGGCCTTTTGAGACGGCTCATAAGGGGGACAAAAGGAAGGCGTGTTCAGGAACTCTTACACACGATTATGACTCGCTTGAAGCAAAAGTGGGTTTCGGTTGCGCGGCAATGGAGTGTGTGAGGCGTGTGAACGTCGCAAGCTATCGCTTACTATGGTCCTACTCGCCGTTCGCAATCCCTCCTAGCAAGACACACTTATGATAGCCACATTCGCGCAACGGTATATTGTGGAGAGAAAATGTCGTAAAGATGAAAGACGGCGGGACGCGCGACACGGTGAAGCAGAATCTCCTCAGGGCCAGCTAGAATAGTACTGAGGTGCTTCTGAGTTACAATTGGAACATGACGTACATGCATCCGACATGCAATCATGTACGGTTCGTTGAACTGGTTTGGGACAACTATAAGGAGAACACGAATTTGAAACCTTAGAAAAACATACGTTTCTGCGTCTGCTTTTATCGGAGCTCTTCTGGTCTTGTTTACTGCTGACGTGCTCCAGGTACAGTACGTATGGACCCTGGATTCGGCAATTTCGAAGAGCACAACCCGGAGTGCTCTCCCTTTCGACATTCACGAGAAAGGTTACGTAAACCGTTTCACAGTTTCGGTTGCTTTAACTAACAGTACACGCCCTCGTTGTGTAGCCGTTGCATCCGAAAATCTCAAGGCTCGAATTCTTCCCTTTCACAAATGCAGCAACCATGGCATATGGCCTCATGTAGGTCCGCCTTCACCACCCTGGCCATTTTTCATGGCCGAATCCCTTTCGCCACGTGAATCTCTCAGCCTGTTGCACTTTTTTGTTGCATTTTTCGCTGGGATCATCAGCGAGCGACAATGTCGTAGCAGGAATGATTCGAATCGGAATGATCGCTAATAACTACTGTATCTGGAAAAGCGACGCGAACCATTCCGTGAACTCGCAAGGTTAAATCGTGTAGGTGTTTGCTGTTGATATAGGAAGACCTCTGCATCGCGTTTCGGAAAGACTAGATCCGTCGTCACTTCTTGTTTCTGGAAAACATATCGACCATTCACAGCCATGCTGCCGAATCGCGCGATCATCGCGTCGCAGTTTTGGAACCATGAGTGCGGCTCGGCGCAGTCGCTCGAAGCGGTGGTTCCCGCTGTCCCTAACGAGCCGCCTTCGACCGGCATTCACCTGGGTAGCGGAATCGCGCGATCACAGCAACTGCTGCTGCTGCAGAAACTCCTGCCAAGTACCGCTTCTTCCCCTCTAATATTTCTTAGAATTAGCCATTCTTGAGCCTACTATTCAATCAACTGCTGCTCCTGCAGAAACTTCTGCCAAGTACCCCTCCTTTCCCCCCACTAGAACTACTTGAACCCAGCGATTCTCCCTCTTAGCCTTACTCGAACTTATCATTCGTTTTGGTAGTCCCTGCCTCCCATTCCCGCATGTTGCTCTCACCTCTCAGGGATTTTTGCCTCGAAACCGACAACCTCTCAGGTTGCTTCGCTAGTGACAATCTCCTGGCTTCTATTTTGACTCTCTTCCCGTCCACCCGTCCTTCACTCTGCTCTCTTCACGACGGCAGTCCCTTTCACGCCATCCTATGCTGCTGACGTGGACGATCAAGGTGGATGGGTGGTTGACCGAGTGCTCTCTGGCGTGGGTGGCAGGGACTGGTACAGACCCCAACCCCAACCCCAACCCCGTACTTTTCCATATTATGCCGCATCTTACCATACCTTACCACATTCTACCAGATCTTACCGAATCTTACCACCTCTTACTGCACTTTACCACATCTTACTTTTCTGCAATCAGGTGGGCGACAGTCATGGGGCGGCTGAGAGTCCAGCGCATGTGGCGAAAGCATTTTCAGCAGCAGACCAACACAACCCTGACTGATACAGCAGCTGCAGCAGCAGCCTTGACTGGTACCACCACAGGCAGCAGCGGCAGCAGCAGAGCTAAGGGCTGTTCCGGCTCCTCTTCAGGATGGTTCCAGGATCCTTCCATGTACGCGCTCTCGGCTCGTACGCGCATTGCACTGGGGAAGCAGACTTGGCTAAGCGGCAGTGCTGAGCTAAGCACGCTTGCAGGCCTGGCGTCCGCACTTCAGAACAAGATGATGGGACGGCAGAGGGCAGGGAGTGAGGAGGGGGATGGGGAGGGTGTAGGAGAGGCTTCGGGTTTCAGGGGCTTTGTCTCGCTACGCCATAAGGTACGTACGTACACGTGGCTTTTGTAGTGGGTTGACTTTTGAGTCGACTCAAAAGTCAACTCGGTTTCAGAGGTTTTGTCTCGCTACGCCATAAGGTACGTACGTACACGTGGCTTTTGTAGTGGGTAAGGTGACGTTTCTGAGTCCTCTTATAAATCGGCTCGTTACACGCAGTTTCTACATTCAAAGGCTTTGTCACGCTGCGCCATAAGGTACAAGGGGCTCTTGTAGTGTGTAAGATGTGTCTTGAATCGACTCTGGACACTTTGTCTACTTTTGAGTCGACTCATAAATAGTGTGGACCGTCCTGGAAGCTTCTGAATCTTATTAGTATGTATGTAGAGCCGTCTTGATCCTTCATCTTTTGCATCCGTTTATTCTTCCTGCGCGCTCCCACTTCCATGTTTGTAGATGAAGGGTCACGATTTGATAGCGAGAGCAGGGTGGGGCGAGCAGTGCGTGAACCGCACTGGTCGCTACTGGACCCTCGTCAGTCGACTCAAACACCTCGTTCTGCCTTCTCCCTTTTCCACATCTTCCCACATCCGTTCACACATCGTCAGATGAAGGGTCACGATTTGATCGCGCGAGCAGGGTGGGGAGAGCAGTGTGTGGACCGCGCTGGCCGCTACTGGACGCTCTTCAGTCTGCTCAAACACCATCTTTCTGTCTTTCCCCCTTCCCACATCTGCTCACACATCCTCAGATGAAGGGTCACGATTTGATCGCGCGAGCGGGGTGGGGAGAGCAGTGTGTGGACCGCGCTGGCCGCTACTGGACGCTGCCCCGTGCGCTCTCCCTTGACTTCGCCTCCCTCGTCACCAGAGAAGGGCTGCGCTACCGCTTCGGCCTGCAGCACGTTGGAGGGACGCCAGAGGTAATACTAGAAGGGCTGCTGGTTGGTTTGCCAAAGCTACTGGACGCTCCCGCGTGCGCTCTCCCTTGACTTTGCCTCACTCGTCTCAAGGGAAGGGCTGCACTATCAACGACTTCGGCCTGCAACACGTTGGAGGGAGGCTGGAGGTAAGACTTTCCCATTCTGCATTCCTTGCTCCCAGTTTCTCCTCCCCCTTCCCTCCTCCCTCCTTCCTCCTTCATCCTTCCTCCTCCTTCCTCCTCCCTCCTCCTTCCTCCTCCCACCTTCATCCTTCCTCCTCCTTCCTCCTCCCTCCTCCTTCCTCCTCCCACCTTCATCCTTCCTCCTCCTTCCTCCTCCCTCCTCCTTCCTCCTCCCACCTTCCTCCTTCCTCCTCCTTCCTCTGTTCTTACCTCTCCTGACTCTTGCTGCACGCACAGGATTGTGCAGGGCGGGGACATGGGGAGGTGACGGTTGTTCAATGGGGAGCAAGGGCGGGGCACAGGCAGGCATGTTTCTGGGGGGGAAGGTAACGACCGATGTGAGAAGAGTTTGTTCTTGGCCGCCCCAAAATTATAGCACTGATGCGGAAGAGGCGGCGACAGAAAGAAGCATTAAAAAGCACCTGCTTTGATTTCTCTCTCTCTCTCCCCCATCTCTCCCTCTCCCACCTGTCTCCCCCATCTCTCCCTCTCCCACCCGTCTCTCCCTGCTCCAACATCTTTCCCTCTCCTAGGAGAGTGCAAGGCCAGGCCACGGGGCGGTGTTGGTGGTTCCCTGGGGGGCGAGAGCGGGAACGCGGGCACAGGCAGGCATGTCACTGGAGGGGAAGGTGACTGTGCTTGCTCTCTCTCTCCCCCAACTATCCCTCTACCATGCACCCGTGCCAGGAGAGTGGAAGGCCAGGTGCACGGCCAGGCCACGGGGCGGTGTTGGTGGTTCCCTGGGGAGCAAAGGCAGGCACGCGGGCACAGGCAGGCATGTCACTGGAGGGGAAGGTCACTGTGTGGAAGGACCGATGCGAGAAGAGGCGGCGACAAAAGGAAGCTGCCAAAGATGCCTCCTCCTTTCCCTCCTCGTCCTCGTCCTCCTCCTCCTCATCATTAGAATCTAATGCGGCGTTTCCATCCTCATCCTCCACTTCCTCCTCCTCCTCATCATCCTCCTCTTCAGGTTCTGTGACCTCCCATTCTCTTTCTCCGCCTCCTCCTACCCCTTCCTACAACTGGCTGGCAGCTCGGCCGCGCATCACCCTCTCTGCCGTGCTGGGTGAGTTCCGATGCTGTTGAATTATCCTCTCTACTCCTCTCTACTCCTCTCTACTCCTCTCTACTTCCTCTTCTCCCTCGTCGTCTCCTCCCCCTACCCCTTCCTACAACTGGCTGGCAGCTCGGCCGCGCATCACCCTCTCTGCTGTGCTGGGTGAGTTCCGATGCTGTTGAATTATCCTCTCTACTCCTCTCTACTCCTCTCTACTCCTCTCTACTCCTCTCTACTTCCTCTTCTCCCTCGTCATCTCCTCCCCCTACCCCCTCCTACAACTGGCTGGCAGCTCGTCCGCGCATCACCCTCTCTGCCGTATTGGGTGAGTCTCACCGTCCCTGCTGAATAATCCTCTCAATACCTTCGGCTCCTCTTGAATTGTCCTCTCAATCTGCTCTTCTTGAGTATTCTGTGTTATTTCTCCCCCTCAAGCTTTAGATGGCACCTTATTTCCCTTCTTCTGTTCCCAATATTTCGAACGCTTGATCCGTTTTGTCTTGCCTTCATTCCTAATAAGATCCACACATGCGCACATACACCCCTCCCACGCACGCACACACATACTCCCATCCAACCCCACACAGACACACACATGCATGCCCCCCCACCCATCCCCCTCCTCTCACTCCCCTGCAAGGGGTCTGCCTTCCACCTAGGTCTCAACCAGCGGAAGCAGCAACAGCAACAAAATGGTTTTTGAGTCGACTCATAAACATCCATACCCCCCGACCCACTCTCCTCCTCCCCTTTCAGGGGGTCTGGCTTCCACCGAGGTCTCAACCAGCAGCAGCAGCAGTAGCCTTTTGAGGCGCCTCAAAAGACTTTTGAGGCGACTTTTGAGGCGCCTCAAGAGTCACCTCATAATCATCCATACCCCCCCACCCACTCTCCTCCTCCCTTTTCAGGGGGTCTGGCTTCCACCGAGGTCTCAACCAGCAGCAGTAGCAGCAGCAACACCAGCAACACCACCACAACGCAAAGCCAGGCATCTAGCTCAGGGGTGAACGGAGCAGGGACGATCGGGACGGAAGAGGAGAGGAGAGACACAAAGGGGTCCTTCCATCTCTCCTCTCTCCGTCCCTCCTCGCTTCAGCTCTCCTCTCTCTCTACGGATCTCTTTGCGTCCGTGGCGGTAACCGCACAGCTCGGCATGTTTGAGCGCGCACTCTTCGATCACACTCTCCTCAACGCCACGCTCACCTGCGGCTCGCTCTCTGCTGCCGGCTACAACCTCTCCCAACCCGCGTCCGCCACGTCAGCGCCGGCGCCGGATGCCACGTCAGCGGTGACGTCAGGTGCCACGTCAGCAGGCTGGCGGAGAGAGGAGCGGGGTGCGCCGACGCTCTCTCTGTCGTTCCAACAACAGGTGTGTGTGGCTGAACTGAGTGTGACATGTTATGTCAAGTACTGATGAAAATCGTTGCTCTTTCCTAGGGCCCCGCTCCTGTCCTTGACTTCTCGTCTGCCCTTCCCTCCACTCCCTCCCATCCTGTCCCCCCCCACTCGTTTCCCTTTTTCTGCAGATTTTTGGCCCAGTGAGGGGTCGCTGGGACGCATGCATGGGTGTGGATGCCAAGAACCCCCTCGCTGCTCCCACCTTGCTCAATTCAACCTACGCTCTCGATTGCTCCCTCCTCCCCCCCATGTGCAGATCTTCGGCCCAGTGAGGGGTCGCTGGGATGCCTGCATGGGTGTGGATGGATGCCAAGAACCCTCTCGCTGCCCACCTTGTTCCACTCAGCCCACGCCCTCCATTGCTCCCTCCACCTCATCAACTACCTCCTTTCACCCTCCACTCGCCCTCTCCTTTTCTGCAGATATTTGGCCCAGTGAGGGGTCGCTGGGATGCATGCCTGGGTGTGGATGCCAAGGCCCCCCTCACTGCTCCGGGCTTGCTTCATTCAGCCAACACACTCAGTTCCTTCCCCCCCATGTGCAGATATTTGGCCCAGTGAGGGGTCGCTGGGATGCATGCCTGGGTGTGGATGCCAAGGCCCCCCTCACTGCCCACCTTGCTCGACTCATCCTACGCCCTCGACTGCTCCCTCCACAGTCCACTTAACCAACTACCCCCCGTTCGCTTCCCCCTCCCCCCCCTGTCCTCTCCTCTGCCCCTCTCCTCCCTGTCACCCCTGTCACCCCTCTCCCCCCTCCCGTTTCCCCCCACTTGCAGGTTTTCGGCCCAGTGAGGGGTCGCTGGGATGCATGCATGGGTGTGGATGCCAAGGCTCCCCTCACTGCCCACCTTGCTCGACTCATCCTACGCCCTCGACTGCTCCCTCCACAGTCCACTTAACCAACTACCCCCCGTTCGCTTCCCCCTCCCCCCCCCTGTCCTCTCCTCTGCCCCTCTCCTCCCTGTCACCCCTGTCACCCCTCTCCCCCCTCCCGTTTCCCCCCACTTGCAGGTTTTCGGCCCAGTGAGGGGTCGCTGGGATGCATGCATGGGTGTGGATGCCAAGGCTCCCCTCACTGCTCCCTGTTTGCTCCACTCCACCTACCCCCCCTCTCGCCGTTCCCCTTTCCGGCCCATCCGCTCTCCCCTTCTCTTGTGCAGATCTTTGGCCCAGTGAGGGGTCGCTGGGATGCATGCCTGGGTGTGGATGCCAAGGCCCCCCTCGCTGTTCCAACTTCCAACCTTGCTCAATTCAACTTACGCCCTCAATTGCTTCCCTCCCCCACACCCCACGTGCAGATCTTTGGCCCAGTGAGGGGTCGCTGGGATGCATGCATGGGTGTGGATTCTAAGGCCCCTCTCGCTGCCCACCTTGTTCCACTCAGCCCACGCCCTCCATTGCTCCCTCCACCTCATCAACTACCTCCTTTCACCCTCCACTCGCCCTCTCCTTTTCTGCAGATCTTTGGCCCAGTGAGGGGTCGCTGGGATGCCTGCATGGGTGTGGATTCTAAGGCCCCTCTCGCTGCTCCCACCTTGCTAGACTCAACCTACGCCCTCGATTGCTCCCTGGAGAGGCTTGGAGCTGCCAGGCTCGTCGTCTGGTATTCCCCAACCAGACGGGAAGGCATGGCGGAGGTTCGGTTGCTTGACCGGTAATTGATGCTATGACCTACGAACCTCGGTGGGTATGGTACGTTTATTCGTTACTGCTGCACTACACTACACTGCTGCTGCTGAGGTTCTCAAGCAGTGCAAGTAGCTAGTGAAGCTTGCTGCAGGTTTTTCCCAACACAAATCTTCGTATGGATGGTACTTAGATTGCTATTCTCATTCGTCTAACCTACAAGTTTGTGCCTGATTCTATAGATGACAGTTACGGTAGGTAGGACCTGAGTGTAGGATTGCTTCTAAGTTGCTTGCTTGAGAGACTTGCAAATGGTTTATCCATTCCGAGTGTATGAATGAAGAATAATGTAATGTCCTGAATCACTTACAGTATTTCCATCTCACTCTCCCGCCCTAATTCTAAGCCCTTTCAAAGAAGCATCTAGATCATTGATCTTCTATCACACTACCACTGTCACTGGCTCATTTGACAACCATCATGATACATACAACCTTGGAACATACGGTTCCCCCCTAGTCCAGGAAATAAGCCTGGACTAAAAAGGAATCTCCCTGCAACGTGTACTGTACTACTGTAGCACAGGAGACTCCAAAAATTATGACTTCTATGAATTGCGACCCTGTAAGGTCAAGATTGTTAATATATAGTTATATATATTTATGTACCTGCCTGTAGCTGTAGCTTTAGTGTAGTTATAAACTTGTTGTGTTGGTGGTGCACCCAATTCCTTTCTCCTTGCCTATATCTTTGTATGCCCTCCATTATTCAAACCCTCCTTTTTGGCCAACTTCCCCCTCCATGATTCTCCTTAGCAAACCTCTCCTAAACCTAAGTCCAGCCTAATCTCCTAATCTTAACAAAGATATCTAACAGGTTTCCACCTGCATCACAAGTCACGCGCCTTCAACCGCTGCACATACCCCCAGTTTCAATCCACTTCACATCTTCAGATTTCCTCATCGTCGTCCCAATTCGTCTTGCATGGCTCTCAAACCTGCATCACGCGCTCAGAATCCGTCTTCCCAGATCGACCTCAGTGCCACAGGCCAGGCAGTCAGAGGGCGAGTCTGTCAGTGAGTCAGTCAATGGACATGAGCTGGCGGAAGGACTGGCTGTTCATCTCCACGTCTGTCAGCCCAGCATGGCCGTTCAGGATGTCTCTGCGACTCAACCCGTGCATCTGCGACTCGCGCATCATCGCCACAAACTCGTTGTAGTCTATCGTGCCGTCCTGCAATGGGCATACAATTGAGAGGGCAGTGGGTGCAACGGAGGTGGTGGAGGTGAGAGAGGAGAAAGGAGAGATAGAGAATGTGCTATGACTGCGCCTGCCCCTTGAACACCATTGCCAACACCATTGCCAACACCATTGCCGACACCATTGCCGACACCATTGCTGCACACTCGTTGTGGTCTACTGTGACATTTTGTGAGGCGCCTAAAAGGTTCACTGCACCACCCTGCAAGAGCAGAAACGGGGGGAAGAAAGATACGGAAAATATAGTTCTCAACAGGAGTACAAAATCACAATCACTGCACCCTGAGCACTGAAGCATATCCACCCAAGTGCAGTTTTGTTTTTTTTTAGGGGGGGGGGGGGGGGGTGGTTCCATGGGTTCAAGGGTTCCATCCCGCCCCCACACCCATCACCCCATTCTAGCAAGCTCACATTGTTCTCGTCCACCTCGCGCATCATGGCCTCAATCTCCTTGCGGCTCATCTTGAGCTCCTCACACGCCTTCTGTAGCTCGTCCATGTTTTTTTTTTTTTTTTTTACATTTTCTTACTCCCAACACCATGGCCAGCCCAGACCCATCCCAAAACCACCCTTCCCATCCTCCTCAACTCACATTGTTCTCGTCCACCTCGCGCATCATGGCCTCAATCTCCTTGCGGCTCATCTTGAGCTCCTCACACGCCTTTTGTAGCTCGTCCAGGGTGATGCTGCCGCTGCCGTCGCGGTCAAAGAACGCAAAGGCGCGCAGCAGGTGCTCCTGCTGGTCCAGCTTGCTCAGATGCATCGTGGCCGCCAGAAACTCTCCGTATTCTATCTCCCCACTCTGGTCTATGTCCGTCTGCTCACAACCCCGGGGGAGGGGACAGGCGGGATGGGCGGAAGAGTGGAGGGAGTGGGGGGAGCGGGGAGGGGGAGGAGAGGAGAGGAGAGGGGGGGATGGGGCAAAGGGAGAGCGTATGGGGGTTTTGTTTGGAGAGAGGAGGGGTGTGTGCGTGTGAGTGTGTATACGTGCAGATGTGCGTCGCGGTCGAAGAATTCAAAGGCGCGTAGCAGGTGCTCCTGCTGGTCCAGCTTGCTCAGATGCATCGTGGCTGCCAGAAACTCCCCGTACTCGATCTCCCCACTCTGATCTATGTCCGTCTGCAAGTGGGGGGAAAGGAAGGTGGGGGAAAGGAAGGTGGGGGAAGAGCAGAGGGAGGACAGGGGGTAACCGGGGGAGAGGGGGGGGAGCGAGAGAGCGGGGGAGAGAGAAGGGGGGTGGAAAAAGGGAGAGCGTGTGGGGGCTTGATTTGAGAGAGAAAGGGGGGATTTTGTCCTCACTCTGGTCTATGTGCGTGTGGTGCACATTTGCGTCTGACTGATTCGCGCTGCTGCTCGTCCAGGGTGATGCTGCCGCTGCTGTTGCATCAAGTTCCCATGCAGGCGCTCGCGCTCCCCATGCTGTGCTTTTGAGGTGCCACAACAACAGTATGCTGCATGCATGGGTCACCTAACCTCCCTGCCTCACCTATCCCACCTCTTCCATGAGCTTGTTGATCTCTGTCTCGCTCAGCTGTGCCCCGAACTTTCTGAGCTCTGTGCGAAGCTCCTCCACTCCACTGTGATGGTGCCGCTGCCTTTGAGGCGGCGCGGCAGCAATCATACACAATGGTGCCTCCGATCCGATACGTGTTGCCTTGAGATGAGAGAAAGCACAGCAAATCACCCACCTCTTCCATGAGCTTGTTGATCTCTAGATCGCTCAACTGTGCCCCGAATTTCCTCAGTCCCGCTCGAAGCTCCTCCACTGTGATGGTGCCGCTGCGGTCCGTATCCATGACCTGAAACATCTCTCTTAGCCCGCGAATTTCTTCCTCTCGTAAGGATTCTGCAATGACCTGCATAGGATGTATGTGGGGCAGGTGGGGGATTGACACACAAACGCATGATGGTGCCGCTGCGGTCCGTGTCCATCACCTGGAACATCTCCCTCAACCCGCGAATCTCCTCCTCTCTCAGAGACTCTGCAAAGACCTGCATGGTCAAAGACCAGGGTCCAGGACAAGACAGCAGGCAGGCAGCAGCAGAGAGGGATGAGAGCACAGCCCCGCCACTCCACTGTGATGGTGCCGCTGCGGTCCGTGTCCATCACCTGGAACATCTCTCTCAGACCTCGGATCTCCTCCTCCCTCAGGGACTCTGCAATCACCTGCAGCAGAGGATGGTGAGGAAGAAGTGAGTGGGGGACAGGGGGAATACAGGCGCTCAGTCGGTCCGTGTCCATCACTTGAAACATCTCCCTCAAACCACGAGCTTCCTCCTCCCTCAGGGATTCGGCAATGACCTGCAGGGTGCAGGACATGGCAGCAGCAAGCAGCAGCAGAGAGGGATGACAGCCCAGCCCAGCCCCCACCACTCCACTGTGACGGTGCCGCTGCAGTCCGTGTCAATCACCTGGAACATCTCCCTCAACCCGCGAATCTCCTCCTCCCTCAGGGATTCAGCAATGACCTGCACAGGATGGAGCGGAGGAAGGGTGGCGGCGGGAGGGAGGGGGGCCCAGAAACGCTCGGTCGGTCTGCGTGGCCTGAAACATCTCCTCAGCACGCAAGTCTCCTCTGTTGTCAGGGACTCTGCAATCACCTGCAGGAGGGAACGACGAAGGATATTTCGGTGGAAGAGGTGGGGGAAGGAGGGGGGGAAGGAGGGGGGGAAGGAGGGGGGGAAGGAGGGGGGGCTAACACAAACACATAATGGCATGGAATGGCCCAAACCATTCTCCCTCAGCCTGCAGATCCTCTCCACCCTCGGGGATACTGCAATGACCCTGAGGAAGCACAAGGGCACGTATCACGACTATAAGATTTTCTTTCTTTCTTTCTTTCTTTCTTTCTTTCTTTCTTTCTTTCTTTCTTTCTTTCTTTCTTTCTTTCTTTCGTTCTTTCGTTCTTTCGTTCTTTCGTTCTTTCGTTCTTTCGTTCTTTCGTTCTTTCGTTCTTTCTTTCTTCCTTCCTTCCTTCCTTCCTTCCTTCCTTCCTTCCTTCCTTCCTTCCTTCCTTCCTTCCTTCCTTCCTTCCTTTCTTTCTTTCTTTCTTTCTTTCTTTCTTTCTTTCTTTCTTTCTTTCTTTCTTTCTTTCTTTCTTTCCATCTTCATACCTTCATGGCCATTCTCTTCATCTTGACCATGGATGTGAACTGCTTCAGCCGTGTCAGCACCCTAGCCATGCCATGCCATGCGATGGATGTGAGAATACCACCATCGCTCATTTTAACCTGAAAAGGCACCTGACCTTGACTTCCAGAGATGCCTATACAACACCGTAACGTGGTAACCATACCTTCATGGCCATCCGCTTCATCTTGACCATGGATGTGAACTGCTTCAGCCGCGTCAGCACCACCGGAGGCAGAGGCTCGACGTATGACATGCCCTCTGACAGCCACGGATGGCCTGTGAGGTGAGTGAGAAAGTAGGACAAAGATGGAGGGGAGGTGGGGGAGCAGAGGGAGGGGAAGGCAGCGGACAATCAGTCAGCATAGCATCAAGGGCAGAGGCTCCACGAATGAAATGCCTTCTGACAGCCACGGATGGTCTGATGTGAGGTGGGAGGGTAAGACACATGCGAGGTGGCGAGGAGGAGAAGGTGGGGGAGGGAGGGGAGGGGAAGGGCATGGTGCAGTCATCACAGGCTGGAGGAGGCAGAGACTGAAAGTACAGAAACTATGGCTGTCAGGGGACACAAACCGGTGCAAGGTGGGGAAGATGGGAGAGAGAAAGATGGGATCCGTGTGTGAGAGAAAGAGAGAGACAGAAGAGGGCAGTGCAGTGCAGTGCACTCACAGAGCACTTGGTGGGCGGTGGGGCGCTTGGAGGGGTCGGGGTTGAGCATGGACTTGACGAGCTCTTTGGCATGGTCCGAGATGGACGGCCACGGCGCAATGGCAAACGTGGGGTTGCCTCGCAACACCGCCTTGAATATCTCCTTTGTGGAATGGCTCCCTGCGTGGCCGTGGTGGGAATGTTTGCAACAAATAAATCAAAAATAGAAGAGCGTAGATGATGACGCCTGCGCTCCACACGTCCACCTCCGGGCCGTACTTGGGCGGCCGCTTTTTGAGGGACCTCAAAGAGATATAACAAAAGGCAGCAGCAGCAGCAGCAGCAGCAGCAGCAGCAGCAGCAGCAGCAGCAGCAGCAGCAGCAGCAGAGCAGCAGCAGCAGCAGCAGCAGTAGCAGCAGCAGCAGCAGCAGCAGCAGCGGGCACGTACGGTGGTAGAAGGGTGGGAAGCCGCAGAGCAGCGCGTAGATGATGACGCCTGCACTCCACACGTCCACCTCTGGGCCATACTTGGGCGGCCGCTTGGCCATTAGAAACGCCCCTGGCCGCCACTTGATGACCTCCGGCGCCATGTACATGGGGCTGCCACAGTGCCGCGACATGCCCTCGCCTGGAAGAAGGGATTGGGGGGGAGGTGGGGGAAGAGGCGTCAGGTAATAGGCATCCATCCATTGGCCGCCACTTGATGACCTCTCCACAGTGGCGCGACATGCCCTCGCCTGAGTGGAGGGCGTGGGGAAGAGGGGGGAAGGGGAATCGGGGGTCAGCTGGGGTGAGGAGAGCCAGGGTGAAGAGAGCTGGGGGGGAAGGAAAACCGGAGGATGTTGAGGAGAGGCGAGCAGCGAGTGAGTGAGGGGGAAGTGGGGGAACGCGAACAAGGGATTGTTTGGAGGGGGGAAGGAGACGGGGGGGGGTTTGAAGGGGACAAACGCTGGATTGTTGTGGGGAGACGAGCGAGGAGCTGTTGGGGGTGGGGGGGGAGGGGGGTGGAAGATGGGGGGTTGGGGGGACGAACGGGGGGTTGTTGTGGGGAGGCAAAAGGGAGAATTGGTGGCTTAAGCGAACACCCACCCACACACCTTTATAGAAGCAAGAGAGGCCGAAATCCGTGGCTTTGAGCTCAGCCGTGGCCTCGTCCCTGCTGGAAAGCAGGAAGTTCTCGGGCTTGAGGTCTCGATGCACGACGCCCAGCGAGTGACAGCACTCCACCACTCGCACTATCACCTTCGCCATCTCTGCTGCGTCCTTCTCCCTGTGGTGGGCGGGTGGGCGAGCAGAGCGCAACGGAGGTACCACTCGCACTTCCAATTCCTCATCTCAACTCTACCGTATCCACCTCCCTGACAGGTATTCATGGGGAGAGGAAGATGGTCTGGAGCAGGCAGGACGGAAATAGAGAATGTGTTCAGGAGCGTTTCGTGTTTTGAAGGGGTGTTGCGACATGGTACAAAAAGAAACACTACTGCACAGTTAGAATTGCATGCATGGGCTTCCCCTCACAAAAGCTTTCTAATGCATAAATGGAAGGCAAAGGCCCAACCAGACCAGACCCCCATGGCCATGGGTGGGTACTCACGAGTAAGGCACTCCTCTGGCCTCTATCCTCTTTATAATCGTGTCGTAGAGCTCTCCTCCCGTGCACAGCTCCATCACAATGTACACGTGATCCTTGTCCTCATACGCATCCTTGATGTTCACAATGTTGGGTTGATTCTGCATCCCAGGAAGGAGCACAGAATAGCAACAGCAGAAAAGTCATTGAGGTAAAGCCTGACAAAACTCGTTATCACAAAACAACAACACAAGTCTGTCTGACAGACATCAATTCCAGTTCTAAGGTGTTCAAGAATTAACCATTGACGAGCATTCAATTGCAGAAGCAGATGACAGTACAGAAATCCACCCCCACGCACCTGCACGTGGTACAGTATTGCTACTTCTCTTCTGACATCCTCCACGTCTCCCTCCGTCAGCAGCTTGCTCTTGGGAATGCACTTGCACGCGTACGCCTGTCCTGTGGCTCTCTCCACGCACACATAGGTTGTGCCGAACTGCCCCGAGCCCAGCTTCTTCCCCATGTCAAACACATCCGGGAAGGATGCTGCGTGGAGATGGGGGAAATTTAAGGACGGGTTGGGTTGATTGAAGGACGTTGATGGATGGAGGGACCATGAATCCGAAGCAGACGCACAATTGACATGGACGTGCAAGAAAGAACGAGATCTAATCTTCAACCCTAATCAAGCCGTGTGCCTAAGAGGCCATCTGATACGTTGTAAAAGGGCGCGACACAATGCACTGGGATCGACTCCTGGGTTGAGCAAGGACAGCAGGGACTTGGTACCTGGGTTCGTGGTGGAGAGCACCCTTCCAGTGAAATGGCGTCTCCGGCCCTGCCACGACAATAAACGATGGGAAGAACTGAGTTTGCAATGAAAGTAGGTTGGTTCAAAGGGAGCACTACAACAATCTCTCATATGTCATATCTTCCTTCTGTGCCAGTAGGAGAACCACGCAGAGCTACCCTCGCGCCTTTATTCGATAGTAAGAGAGCATTAGGAGCCTATCGAAAGTGAGAAAGGGACGCGATTCAGCTAAAACAATGTCGCGCAAACAAAAGAATAACGAAAAGAAAAGAGAAGAAAATAAACGAAAGGGGCAAAAAAATACAAAATAGACCGAAGGCCATCCAATTTGACACCGTTCAACGAGACTGAGGTTTACCGCATCCATTCGGAGGCCTTGTCAGAACGCTCACAAAGTCGAAGCTGATCAGCTATAGGGAAGTCTTATTGGCACGATTCTGGGAATGCCACAGAATATAAATAGTACGCAGTTGCTAACGCTAGAAAGTGCCGTCCAGCATCAGCTCGAGTAAAAATGAAGGAAACTGCTAACGCGGCTGTAACAGCTGATAAAAAAAGTGTACGACGGAATAGCGATGACTGCAAAGGTGGGGGAAAATACTGAATACGTCCAGGAACCTAGACTAGTCAGCTATTCTGACGACATTTGGGAAATGACCACCTACACATAGTTGCTGTTGGACTAGCTAGCACATCTTTTCTGCCAAGCACTGTGTACTGAGAAAGGTAGGGTTCGTGGCAACTTGAAACACTGATGAAAAATGTGCGGTGAGAAACCTGTAGAGAGGAGATGTTTATTTGTGTTCCATTGGTCAAGGCTCTTTCTGGGAACACATAAACGATCGCCTCTGGTACTTTTGGATTGCGGCGGTGGCCAGATGGCCAAATCGAAAGGAGCCGCATCTATCACTGGACTTGGCATGCCTGGGGTGATTCCCAACTGTAGAAGTGTTACTATTTCGTTAGTGGTAACTGATGTGGTGACACTCAAGGTGCAATCGGTCAAGTGACTGTACTAGGTCTTCGGGTAAAGAGTGTATTGGGGGGTGCTGGAGCCTGCAGAAGGGGAGGGGAACAGGCGGCCGTTCAACAACCGAAAAGGCGAAGCAGCCAAGGAAACAGCAACTGGGTTGGATGAGAGGTGGCGAAAAATGCGGCGGGAAGGGTCTTCTGTGATGGTTGAGGCCTCAATATCAGCGTTTCCATTAGCAATACAGGATTGTGCAATTCAAGACTCTTTGCGAAGCTGATATACTTTAACGAGGTATTCTGGGGCGAGTACATAACAGCTCCACTATTTCTTTGTTGGTTCTGTTCTTGGGTCGTCCTGATCACCCAGCAGCAAAATTCACCTGTTTCACTCTCGCCAGCGCACCAATAATGCTTCAACTTGAATCTATCGCTATTTTTGCGCTCGTTGTTTTGCTTCATGGAAGCTGCATGACAGCGGTTAGTTGACTGCGTTTTCGTGTGTCTAAGTGGGATTCTCTACGTGAAGTAACATAACGAGTGCTTGCAGGCGTACGATGGTCAAATATGTCGCTAACGCTCAACGGTCAGCTGAGTTAAGGGTAAGCATCCTTTCTTTCGGCGTGCTGTTTCACCTGCACAGCTCACCTCGTCGTTCCGCAGGAGCGCTTACTAGATTATTCCCCTCCGGGACGAACGGCTGTAAAAAAATGTGGCAGACGTTTTCATGACCTGATTCATAGGCTACGTGAGTGTTGGTTTTTCCTATCGTTACTACCATGCCATAGGAGAATTCCTCATTTGCCTTTTGCAGCTCCCTACAAGCCGACTGGTTCATTCCTTGTCACCGTTTGCAATGGCGGTCTCAATCAACAGCGAGGAGCTATTGTCAATGCCGTTGTCCTAGCACGCTTTTTGAATCTGACGCTTGTTGTGCCATTCCTGAAAGCCCACCCTGTCTGGGGAGATAGCAGTAAATTCTGCTTAGTCATTCAGGGGGGTCTCGTGACTGTCATCCATGGGTCAATAACAGTTGAATCAACAGCTCGTTTCAGGATCTGTTCAACCTGACGCATTTTGAGTCGGTGCTGAAAGGCTTCGTCAAAGTGGTTACGACCATCCCTGAAGAGGCAAAACAACTACCTATTCATGAATTTAGACCTCCTGAAGATGCTCTGGCAACGTTGGATTGGTACGGAGTAAGATTTGTTGTATGTCTTTCCCAGCATTCGTGTAATTTGTCATGAGCACAGGTACGTGGAGAACGTTAAGCCTTCAGTTCAAAACAGCAGTATTGTTCTACTAAGTCCCTTCGCACGGCGCCTTGGAAGCAATCTTCCAGAACCGTGGCAACTTTTCAGGTGTAAGGTCAACTACGAGGTACGCTTCTTGTTCTGTGCCTTCTATTGGCCTTAAAGAACTACGTGTATAACATACTATCTGAGTCAGGGCCTGAGGTTCGTGCATTCCATTCTTGGACTTGGAAGAAAGGTCATACAGAGAATGAAGAAGATGTCATCCAGCTTCTTGTCATTGCACTGGAGGTTCGAGACTGATGCTGTTGCCTATTCAATGTGCGAATTCGGGGGTGGTGAGAAGGAGAAGCTGGCTCTTGAGGTATGGAACGATTGTCCTATACCATACTCAATGTATCATCTTTCTCCTTGCTAAGACACTTATCCAATGCTGGTACAGGAATACCGAGTAGAACACTGGGACAGAGCAACAAGGAAGCTTCGTGAAGCACTAAATCCTGCTAACCAGCAAGAACTTGGTCAGTGTCCAATGAGTGCCATCGAGACCGGCATTTTTATGCGAGCAATGGGAGTTCGCAAAAGCTCAGCCATCTACGTCGCCACGTTAGAGGGACAGCTTTTTGGTGGTAATTATAGCCCTCAGTCTCTGCGATCCATGTTTCCAAATGTTCTGACCAAACGGGACATTCTGACACGGGTAAGAGTACTAACAATGCACACCACGCCACCAGTGTCCGCGCTACTGCTGTGATCACCTCTAATTGACATTGTACATGCAGGAAGAACTTGGTCCGTGGGAGAGGAGGGCATCTGCACTAGCAGCTATTGATTACATAGTGTCCACAGAAAGTGACATCTTCATTCCAACCGCGACGGGAAATTTTCCTAATTTTGTTATTGGGCACAGGTGATGTGTATGCTAACTCTCTACATCACTGCCTTGTGTTGTGTTGGTCCTTCTGACGTGTGGAAAGCACAGGCTTTACTATGGCCGGAGGAGTGTTCAACCAGACCTGAAAAAACTGGCATCCTTATACTCATGTCACCACATATTCAAGGAGCGTGATTTGCTTGAGCTCGTCAGAGCTGTCCATGAGGACCGCTTTATTTACCACGGGAGGTCAGCAACAAGCAACTTCTTTGCAAACCCAGAAGAGTGCCTATGTCCACCCTGATGTTAAATTATTGATGTTGCCAGCCACACGCTCCATATTGCATGAATCATGTGGAATCTAACTCTTCACTGCTGGAATTATGTGAAAAAAGAAACCTTTTTTGGCAATCATGAATCATGACTGTAGGCTTGCCAGCCCAATCACATCCTTTACAAGCAACTGGGAGTCAATAAAATTGTCATACCCATGGATAGCCACAATTGTCCTTCCCAATGCATTCACAACCTGTCCACCTTCTTTCACTTCAAACGAGTCTTCTGCGCTAAACCGATGCAACACATTCCCCTGCTGTGCATCCTCTATCTTCAAGAAATCTATACCTTCTTTCAAACGCCCTGCATCACATCAGTCAGTCATTGATTAGGTAGGAGCAAGGGGAAATCACAATAAAAAAATAAACGATTGTCACAGCCTGGTTAAAAAGCGCAAGCTGATGCATCAATGCTTTAGACAAGTGCTGCAACACTGCTTACCTGAGCGAACGAGATGGTTCACAACAGCTTCATCACTTCCCTCCAGCGCTATACATTCCTCTGGTAGCCTCTCAAAGTCTTCTACGACCTGTATCAAGAACTCTGGCACCTGGCTCATAGTCCCCGCCACAAAGCCGGATGTGATAATCCGTGAGTTTGCGAGCGAGAATGCCAGGCGGGTGCCGTAACATGTCGCAAGGCGCTTGTGCTCTGGAGGCAGGAAACGGATGCCGTGTGTTGGGTAGGTGGCCGATCCCTGGTAAAGCAACAAAGAGGCACGGAGGGCAAAACGGAGCAAGTAGCATAAAAAATCAGCTGATTACACACAGGTGTACGAGGTAAACAACTAAGCAGCCCTCCCTGACCACTTCCCTTTTCCCAATTCATCAGCCCGCCATGTTTCCAATGAGAAGATGCACCATGCAAAGACGAATATACTTGTCATTGACGAACGTTCTTGAGCACAGCAAACACACATAATACCAGAGCTTACCGTGAAGAGATGAAAAGACATGTCATTCAGTGTGGGAAATGGGTTGGCGAGAAAGAGGACATCTGTAGGGTCAGCGAGGATGACAGTGCCCTCAAAGTCCAGGGAGCGCAGGAAGAGGTGGAAGGCACGATAGCGCAGGTTGGTGGCATGCGCTGCTGCCCACTTGCCTGGAAAGGGTGGGTGGGATAGGTCAAGGGGTTAAGAAAAGGCAACATATGAGTGCACGATAGTGCGGGTTGGTGGCATGCCCTGCTGCCCACTTGCCTGGAAAGGGTGGGAGAGGTAAAAAGGGTTACTAAGAAGCATCATGGGCACGATAGCGCAGGTTGGTAGCGCTGCTGCCCACTTGCCTGGAAAGGGTGGGTGGGATAGGTCAAGGGGTTCCAAAAAAACATTATGAGCTTGATGGTGCAGGTTGATGGCATGTGCTGCTGCCCCACTTGCCTGGAAACGAGTGAGAAAGGTCAAAGGGTTTCAGAAAGGCAGCACGAGCACCATAGCAGCGAAAGACGGAAAGAGTGGGATAGGGATGGGGATACTGAGCTCAGACTAAGCAAGATAATGCAGGCTGGTTGGAGGCATGTGGTGGCAGGTTTTGTCACTCGGGCTGGTAAAAAGAAGCATGCCCACAGTTGCCGGGGAAATGCTTTTGAGCCGACTCAAAAGCTGGTGGCAGGTTTTGTCAACCTGGCAGGTAGAAAGAGTCGTACCCAGAGTTGCCCGAAAAAGGGTTGGTATGATTGGCAAGAATCATGAGGGCATACAAAAGGCATGATATTAAGAGAAGTGGAGGTTGAGGGCGTGGGGGTTGGCAAGACAGGACGGGGGAAGTAGAGACTGGCCGACCTTCTTCCGGTGAGCAGAACGTGTTTGAAGTAGTGTTTTGAGACGTCTCAAAACACTACTTCAAACACGTGGCGTGGGTGGGGGTTGACAAGACAAGAGAGGAAGCAGAGACTGGCCGACCTTCTTCCGGTGAGCAGAACGTTTGCAGTGCAACCCCCGGTTGGTGCTTCCACCCCTGCGGCCACTCCTGCACGAAAAACACCAGCAGAGAACCACTATGCCCCCCCTCACTCCCACTCTCACCCCCACTGTCACTCCCATCCCCTCCTCCACCACCACTGCTAATGCTACTGCCGCTGCTTCCTTCTAGCACGAATTTTCTGAATGACGTGGCGAGTGCTGATAGGTTGGCAGCGGAAAGGCCGAGCGCGAAGGAGAGGACGAGGTTGGCGGGGAGCGTTTTCGGAGTGAGCTTGAAGGGCGTTGGGGAGAGCAGCTTGCGCAGCACAATGTCGTCCTCCGCCACTCCCTCACAGGACCGCACTCTCTCCACTGAGGGGTCTGATGGATTGGGTTGGGGTAAAGAAGGGGAAGAGAATGCGTTCGGAGGGTGGCGGGGCGAGGGAGGAGGGGAGAGCAGCTTGCGCAGCACAATGTCGTCCTCTGCCACTCCCTCACATGATCGTACTCTCTCCACCGAGGGGTCTGACAATTACAGGAAAGGGGAGGAGAGGAAAGGGAGGAGAGGGGTGGAAGGAGACGGGTGAGGGTGGAGGGGAGAGGAGGTTGCGCAGCACAATGTCGTCCTCTGCCACTCCCTCACAGGAGCGAACGCTTTCAACTGTGTTGTCTGGCAACCACAGGCAAGGGGAGGAGTGGAAGGAAGGATGGAAGGAGATAGGAGAGGGCGAGGAGTGGAGAGCAGCTTGCACAGCACAATGTCGTCCTCAGCCACTCCCTCACAGGAACGCACTCTCTCCACTGAGGGGTCTGGTACGCACCAAGGATGGATAGGGGATGGGGAAACGAGAATCGCGAGGGAAACATTATGGGGTGGAAGGAAGGGGGACATATGAGGGAGGAGGGGAGAGGAGCTTGCAGAGCACTATGTCGTCCTCTGAGACGCCCTCGCAGGACCGTACGTACTCTCTCCACTGAGGGGTCTGGTATGGCACGCACGGGCGATGAGAGGAGTGGATGTGTGGAAAGAGACAGGAGAAGGCATCAGCGAGAGGAGCTTGCTCAGCCACTCCCTCACAGGACCGCACTCTCTCCACTGAGGAGTCTGGCACACGCCAAGAGGGAAATGGGAACGGTGTTGGAGGGGGGATGAGCTTGAGGGGCGTCGGGGAGAGGAGATTTCGCAGCACAATGTCATCCTCAGTCACTTTCCCTCAGTCACTTTCCCTCAGTCACTTTCCCTCAGTCACTTTCCCTCAGTCACTCAGCCACCCCCTCACAGGACCGCACTCTCTCCACTGAGGAGTCTCGCAAGTGCGGAAGGTTGGAAAGAGGAGAATGAAACGGGATTGGGGGAAGGTGGGACGAGAGGGGTTGGAGGGTGGAGAGAGGGACGGGGGGAAGAGGGAAGAGGGGAGAGGGAGGAGGGGAGAAGGGAGGGGGAGGTGGGGGGAGGTCGAGTGGGAGGAAAGAAGGGAGAGGATCCTACCTACTCACATATCACGGCAGCTGCACTTTGTGCGTCTGTTGACGATCCCGCTACCAACCAACCCCGTTCCCTATCCCTGCGTGCCATTGGTCGCCTTTTGAGGCGCCTCAGAGCTCAGAAAGTGCGGTGCTTAAACAAATACTCACATTTCACGGCAGCTGCGCCTTGTGATTCCGTTGACGATCCTGCTCCCTGCCCTGGGTGTCGTTTCTCGCCTCTCCTCCCTTCCTCATTCTCCTCCTCCTCATCATCAAACCTAAACACCTTGTCCTCCTCTTTCTCCGCCTCCTCCTCCGCCTTCCTCTTCCTCTCCTCCTCCTCTTTCTTGACCTCTTCTTCTCTCTCCCTCGCACTCTCATTCTCTGAAACATTGAGCCCCTTGTTAATCATAGCCTGCAAATTGTCATCCTCAGCTTTCAGCTCTGCCGTAGCGCCACTTTCTCGGGCCGTTTCTCTCTTGTCCCCTTCCCCTTCACTATTAGCACTACTGTTATGATTGATATTCACAGACGGAGGGGTACCCGACTGACTTTCCCCTGATTGATCCCCATTACTCGTTACTGTACCACTCGTTATTTCACCCTCCGTTTCTGCAATTCCGCCTCCTCCTCCTCTTCCCACTCCGCCCATCCCTATTATTCTCCGCCCGGTTCCCAACCGTACCCTTGCGACATGGCTGTCGTCAAGGGTTTGCAAACCAGGAGACTCGTTAAGATTCATCAGATGCCGATTCGTTACGGGGATAACTACCGTGACCGTGAATAGTAAACCGAGTAGATAAAGCGTCATCAGACGCAGAGGTCGCGGGCGAGACGAAGCTTCGGGGAAGGTAACGCGCACGCTGATGTTGAGGTTGTTCGCAAACGCGCCATCGCCGCGAAACGTGGCTGAATTCGCGGAGATTCTGTCGCTGGTTTCCCGGGCGCGAAACCAACGGCGAATCATTGACCAGACTCGCGACATTCTGGTCCTGCGACGATCGGACGGTTGGATGAATGCGCCTTTTATTCGGCATCAGACCTAGACACGTGGAAAAACAAATAACGAAAGAACTGAACGCCAGACGGTTAAACATAGGTATTATCAGAAACATTTGTACACTGGATGCTAAAATGGTACCGGATCAGTTGCAGGCGGACATTGTCAGAGCCCGTAGGTATTACACGGTATTGTAGGACACAAAGCTTTTTCAGTACGGTGAAAAGCCGTAACCATCGAACCAGGAACGGATGCGGCGAAATCGCGCGCATCGGCGGAAATCGCGTTTCTCTCAAAAGAATCGACCCAAATTGCTCCGACTTCGCCACGTGGGCGTTTTTCTTAATTGAATGGACCGCCTTTCCCCCCGCCCCCCCAACCCGTTTTTCCCGCCCTTCCCCTCCGAAATTCGGGCACCCGCTGGATTTTTGTGGAATCACAAACAGTGACGAATACATCCTCCCCACATCATGCCAAATCCTCCGTGTAGTTGTGACATGCCACATCAGCTTTCGCAATAGACCCTTGATAATTTCGGAGGTTGCTTCTCAATCACTAGAGGCTCTTATGCACGTTGATTGTATCATGGTTTTTTGGATTAGCCCATGCCATTAATGTTGGGCGCAAGAAAACACATGACAAATAACCTATAGTTTTCTACGTTTTCTATCTTTATAGCTTTTTATCTTTTCAAACCATTAAAAATCTAGAGTTAAGTTTTACTAATCTATCATAGTAATCGCTCTAGGGCAAATAAAAATTACTATCTTTGAATTAGGTATATATATTGTTCGATTGTACTGATTTATATTATTTAGACAAGAATTATTACTCTCTAGTTACAAATTCTAAAAACGTATGTTACTGCAGCAGCATATAATTAACAAAATCCATATTACCGCTTAAGATCTTATTAAAATTCATATTTTATTTAATTGTTATGCTCAAGCTATTACTAATTTCAGAATATATCAGATTTTGGTGCGCGAAGAAAATCACCAGTATTCTGTCCAATCAGATATCGCTCGCATATTGAAATCTTGGCGTTACGAAAAAGCATGTATTCATGACTGTTTGTGATTCAACGAAATTCCAGTGGGTGCCCGAATTTCGGAGTTGAAGGGCGGGAAAAACGGGTTGGGGGGGGCGGGGGGAAAGGCGGTCCATTCAATTATGAAAAACGCCCACGTGGCGAAGTCGGAGCAATTTGGGTCGATTCTTTTGAGAGAAACACGATTTCCGCCGATGCGCGCGATTTCGCCAACGGATGCACTCATAGGCTTGAGGCTTTTAGGGCGTGGGCCCAAACGGGTTTGATCGCGACTGATCTGATCGGGGCGGATCTGATCGGGTTGCTTGTGATCGCAATGCCCGAGCCGCCCGATCAGTAATGTTTTTGTTAGAAGATTCTTCTTGGCTGCTCAGCAAGCGGGTTTCAATTACCTGGTATTTTCGTGGCAATCTTAGCGAGACTGGCGACCAGACGGCTTCTGGCGAAACTCTCTGTATCCAAGTAATAGTGTAACTTTCCAGGGTGTTCTGTATAGGCTGGACATCTTCGTGAGGGGTTGACGAATCCCTGTAATACAGTGTAACTTTTCGTCAGTATCGCTGTGGTCCCCGATCACCCACGATCAATTGATCGTGGGTGATCGAAGAGAATCGACTATGATCGGGGGGTAAATTGGGTCTGATCGAGTTGGGGCGATCAGCTGATCGCGATCAGCTGATTGCCCCTGATTGCCTGAATTTGGCCTCCAGGCTTCCTGGAAAGTATTGATCGTGGCTGATCGAGACGATCAAACCCGTTTGGGCCCACGCCCTTAGCGCGATGTTGTGGGGGTGCGGGTGCGGCTGGGGTGCTGCTGGGTGGTTCTCCTTGTCCTCTCGCCTATTCAAGGCGCGCTCAGGGTGCTGCGTGTCAACGAGGAATGTCGCCCTCCGGCTCTAGTGGGGTGTCGCACTGTAAGTGTCAGAGTCCGTAGGTACTACATGGTAATGTAAAGTACAAAGGGTTTTTGTACGATGCAAATGCGGGTACCTATTGGACCTGGAACAAAAGGACTGATGAGGCTTGTCCTGGGGGTGCGGCCGGGGTGCTGGATGGTTCTCGTTGTTCTCTCGTCAGTTCAAGGCGCGCTCGTGCGTGCTACGTGTCAATTAGGAAGTCGCCCTCCAGGTCTAGTGGAACAACCGTGTACTCACACTGAGTGGGAAGGTGGTGAGGGCTTGTTTCTATAGCCGTAAACTCGTTTCTTAACTAAGATCCAAAGTGCATTTGCCTTTCTGCTGCATCGAAACAAATCGCCTCTTTGACGGTCCGACCAACCCGCCCCTGTTGACAATGCACACAATGGGGAAAAGATCATACAGGGGCCGAACAGTGCCAGAGGGGTGATCAACCAGGGGCCGAGAGGCCCGAAAATTACCAAACCACTGCGCGTAGAGGGATTAACACAGGGTCTTTGTTTATTGCACATATTTATGTTACTAGTGGCATGTACCGGCTCGCATTTTCGCTCGCGTGTCGTTTAGCGAGCCGAATCTACCGTGAACTCTGGGGCAGCCAGAAAAAACTAAAAGTCCTAGGGAACCTGGATGCAATTTCGGGACGGATCAACCCTAAAAAAGGGGACCTCCCTGATATTTAGGGTTGATGCCTCCCGAGTCGCATCTGTTTCCAAATGGGTAATATTTTTTTTCTTGTGCATTTTCGATCGGGTAGGTGATATGTATCACCCAGAATATATTATGTTGTTACGTACTCACGATTTGACACCCCGGATTTTAATTCCAGAAGAAGGCGACGCGCGCGTTGTAGTAGACGGCGGTCAAAACCTTCAATAAAACAATGAACACGAAATTCGGTTCTTTTAGCAATTTGCATTCACTCATGGTTCGGCTTGTTCGCCGAATCGTTTGGTCAGCTCCGGGTTGAAATCCTACGGTCGAGATTTACCGGCCCTACTTCGATCACCCCTCTGGCTCTGTTCGGCCCCAATATGATTGTTTCCCCACACAATGTCCTGCACCGCCGCGAGCAGCTCGTGGTCATTGGTCAACCGTCAACTTCCATGCACCGAGCCGAATATTGCCAACCACCACCTTCAGCCACCGAACCGAACTGAAACTTGCCAACTGCCGCCTTGCTCAAGGGTCGTTTTACGCGGTTTATTGCGGTCAGCCTTGTTTGAGAGCGGTTTTCCAATTTCACCGATCTAGACCATCGTGCACCGAAATGAACCTTTCGACGTCGATTGGAAGTTAACGAACGTATATGACACTGAAACTTGCCAGAGCTGCCTAACTGTTGGACGACGACATCGAGGGAGGCGGAGTCCTCCAGCGAACACCCCCGAGTTGTTGTATGTCTAGAAGTGAGCCTTATCGGCGATTCGGGGACAGAAAGTCATGAAGTCCTTGAAGCGGGATGGGAGTTGAGTTGACGTGAACCAAACTCTTGCGGCAAGGACGGAAGGAAAATGCGTCATTAATACACGTTTCGTAATGGTCAACTCTTGAGTCGTCATTCAGGAACACGTTTCGTAATGGTCAACTTTTACCAGTGTGAATGAAACACCATTGTCAGAGACTGAGCGGCAGAGAAACGTTGACTTTGTAGCTCATTTTTCCGACAATCGATGATCGTGTTTCCGTTTAGCCTTTGAGCTAACTACTGAGGCGTCGATTCGGTTTTGCTTCAAGTCTTGCTCATGCTTATCCGGACTTTGACAAGCTGTTTCGCGATCAGTTTTCGTAAATTGGTTACCACATCATGGATGTCTGGAGAAAATGCATTTTAGTGGCAGCGCTGCTCGTCTTTTCCCGAGGCGTCTTGGCTACTCAAGAAGGTTTGCTCATTCTCCACTCTCATTTCCACTCACTATACTTCTGAACACGTCTGCCAGTGGTTTCTCTTTTGCAAACACTCACTTGCAACCTATTTCGCGCTGTTTTTATGTATTCTCGCTGACAAGAACCTTCACTGCACACCAGCATTGCTAAAAGGCTTCGGGGAATCCATGGGGCTTCCGAAAGTGACTCACACGTCACCCCCTTACGTATCCATGAACCCGTGCAATCAATGCATCAGGGCCTTACCTGTACAACTTCGTGCTGCCAGCGTTCAAGAACCTTTATTAGGTTACCGAGAGTGACTCACAAGCCATCCTCTTACGTATCCCCCTCCGTGCAATCCCAATCATGCCTCAGGGCCTTAGTACCTGTACAAATACGTCCTGCCAGCGTTCAAGAACCTATATTATGACAAATAGGTTACCGAGAGTGACTCACAGTTACCCCTTTGTGTATCCATGCTCCCCTGCAATCTCTATGCTATGCGCCAGGGCCTTACCTGTACAACTTCGTGCTGCCAGCGTTTAAGAACCTCGATTATGACAAGTGGAGCATGGACTATTTTGGAGGAGACCCGTGCCTGCTCCCTCCTGTTGCATGCAATGCACAAGGCTACGTGACTCGCCTGTGAGTGGTTTGTTTACGTTATAATCTAAACAGCCGTATTAACAAACCCTCCCTGCAGTGATGCCGTACTTTCCTCGCCTGTGATGCCACACTGACTGACCTCAGTCCTGCGATGACAAACTGACGGTTGATTCTTCCACTGCTACACGACTTTCTTAAGCCACGTAGGTCGACCCGGTTTCAATGCAAAAAACCTAATATTCTTCGCACTTTTGCTCTCGTCTCCAAGCATTTCCCATTCATTTTCCTTCCAGAATCCTGGCCTCGTTCGTCCCGCATATCAACGGCACCTTAAGCCCCTACATCCGCTTCTTCCCATATCTGCAAGAACTGTTAGTGCTACACCCCATCCCCTCTATAGCGCATTCCTTATTGATACCTTCAGTCGAGGCTACTTGCCTGGAATGTTTATCAAACATGAAAAGAAATATCTATGTGTATATTGATTGATTTATGCCGAGGAGTTGGTCGTGCATGCATGACCTCATCGCTTGATTGCATTGCATGTGTTCTTCTGCACTCGTCTTCATCTTGCATATGCTTGGGTGTCCGTGTTAACACGTGTGTGTGTGTGTGTGTGTGTGTGTGTGTGTGCGCGCGCGCGCGCGGGTGTGTGTGCGCGCGCCGAACGCTCATGTGTGTATGTGTATGGTTGTGTGTGTGCATGTCTGTCTGTGTGCTCATGAACTCACATGTGCAGGAGGCTGAACGACAACAATATGACAGGTGAAGTGGTGAGTCTCAGTCACACAATAACAGTACCACCACACAACGACCATATCTCACAGTGATATATCTCACAGTGACTATATCTCACAGTGACTATATCTCACAGTGACTATCTCTCACAGTGACTATCTCTCACAGTGACTATCTCTCACAGTGACTCTCTCACAGTGACTATAATTCGCAGCGACTGTGTCTCACCAACACACGGAACGCACACACGCATGGTTAGCACATCTTTGCTATGTAGTGTTGATTTTGTGGATGTGACTTGCTTTGCTCGGAACATTACTCTCACCAATTACCTGGCCTTATCGTCGGTGCAGCCCAACAAAGGCATTCATCGATCTAAGGGTGCTGATAGACAAAGTTTCGAGGGATCCGACACTTGACTAGCTCACCAATTGCTCACTCATTTACTTGCTTACTCACTCTCTTCCTCCCTCTCCCACTCCCTCTCGCACCCCCACATCCGCTTGCAGCCATGGGACGCACTGGGCGAGCTGAAGAATCTGAGGGTGTTGGATCTGAGCAGCAAGCAACTCGTTCATAGGGAGCGTGAAGGCCGTTGGTAGCTTGCCACGCATTCGCCCTCCCACTCCCTCTCCCACTGACTCACTCTCCCACGCCACCATTCCCATGCCACTCTTGCAGCCATGGGAGGCACTGGGCGAGCTGAAGAATCTGAGGGTGTTGGATCTGAGCAACAACTCGTTCATAGGGGGTGTGAAGGCTGTCGGTAGCCTGCCTCTCGTTGCTGACCTGTAAGCTTCAGTTCAAGCTTGTCCTGTTCAGAAGAGAGTCTGAGGGTGTTGGATCTGAGCAACAACTCGTTCATAGGGGGCGTGAAGGCTGCTGGTAGCCTGCCGCACATTTATGAACTGTAAGCTTGTCTTGAGAGCTGATTCTCGGAAGAGAATCTGTGGGTGTTGGATCTGAGCAACAACTCGTTCACTGGGGGCGTGAAGGCTGTCGGTATCCTGCCTCGCGTTGCTGATGTGTAAGCTTGTCTTGAGAATTCTCAGAAGCGAACCTGAGTGTTGGATTGGATCTGATGTGAGCAACAACGCTGTCTGCCACGTGTTGCTTATGTGTAAGCAGTATTGAGGCGCTTCAACCAAGGGATAAATGAAGGAGTTCATGTTACACAGTGGAGCCTTGTATGTAATTCTTATCGTGTGCAATGCAACAACAGCATCGAATGGATTCCCACAGCCCTCAACCAATTTTTTTAGGCCACGTAGGCCACTTGTGCGCTTCAATCCCTCTCTGTCTGTCCCGCACCTTCCCTCACCTTCCCTCACCTTCCCGCACCTTCCCTCATCTTTCCCCATCTTCCTGCACACCTCTTCTTGCCTGACCATTTGCAGTCGGTTGCAGAACAATCGACTGTCTGGTACGGTGCCTGCTGCATTCAAGGACAAGACATGTGACCCGTAAGTAACACACAGGAGAGGAGACGAGTTTTGAGGTGTCATCTGAGGCTTGAGGCGCTTCAAATGTTGTTTGCAGAACAACCGACTGTCTGGTACCGTACCCGCTGCATTCAAGGACAAGACATGCGACCTGTAAGTGAAGCAGAGAAGCGGAAAGCCCAGTAAGAGAACAACTGTCGGTCAAGGGCCAGTTCCGAGAGGACTCAAATCATCGTAAAAAAAGGGGGATCAGTATCATATCGACCCGTTTAACCTTATCATATCGACCCGTATAACCTTATCATATCGACCCGTTTAACCTTATCATATCGACCCGTTTAACCTTATCATATCGACCAGTATAACCTTATCATATCGATCCGTTTAACCTTATCATATCGACCCGTTTAACCTTATCATATCGACCCGTATAACCTTATCATATCGACCCGTTTAACCTTATCATATCGACCCGTTTAACCTTATCATATCGACCCGTATAACCTTATCATATCGACCCGTTTAACCTTATCATATCGACCCGTTTAACCTTATCATATCGACCCGTTTAACCTTATCATATCGACCCGTTTAACCTTATCATATCGACCCGTTTAACCTTATCATATCGACCCGTATAACCTTATCATATCGACCCGTTTAACCTTATCATATCGACCCGTTTAACCTTATCATATCGACCCGTTTAACCTTATCATATCGACCCGTATAACCTTCTCATCAGGCATCCGCTTAAGTTGTAGTAACCTTTGACTCAGACATCCATTTCGAAACGCCACCATCCCTTGGGTAACTCTCTTGAGCCGACCCGTAAGTCATCTAAGGGGAAAGAGCAATACCATATTCACCCGTCTAACCCTCCCCTTAATCATCCATTCGCTGTGCCATTCCCCCTGCTCATTCTGCCCATGCCATGCCATGCACCTCTGATTGTATACATGTGCAGGTTTTCGGGAAACTCCAATCTTTTCTGCCCACCAGGTGCATGCATGCACGTGCTCTTGTTCGTATAGTGTTTTCTTGCACTAGTTCCTTCCTTTTGAGGCGCCTCAAAAGGCAACCCCAAAGTTTTCTGCCCACCAGGACATGCACGTGCTCTTGTTGGAATAAGAATTGCGCTGGTTCTGTCTATGATCCTGCTTTGTAGCCTCACACGTGCAGATTACTCACTCTTTGGTACCTCTCCTCCACGTCCTCACACTCCCATCCGTGTTTCTCCCGCCTCCTGCTTCCCCTGCTTCTCCCGCTCATCCTGCTTCATCTGCGTCCCCTGCTCCTCCTGCCCCCCCAGCACAGATTTCGCCTCCACAGCGCCAGCCATCCCTGCAACAGTGCCAGAGGCTCCACCTTCCTCCTCCTCCTCCATCTGGCCGCTCATGGTGCTTGCACCCCCATGTATTCCCCTGCACCCCCCGGCACCCTTCTGCACCCCCCTGCTCCTCCTGCCCCCCCAGCGCAGACTTTGCCTCTGCAGCGCCAGCCATCCCTGCAACAGTGCCAGAGGCTCCACCTTCCTCCTCCTCCTCCTCCATCTGGCCGCTCATTGGCGGGATTGTGGCTGGCGTCGTTTGTCTTGTTCTGTTCCTGGCTGTTGCGTGGTGGTGGTGGCGACGGCGGCAGCAGCAGCAGAGGAGTACAGTAGACGAAGAGGGACTGGAGAAGGACGAAATCAACGACCCGTTGCATGGTGAGAAGGGAGAGGGGCTGCGAGGGAGTTTACTTGCTGTGTGGAGAAGCGACCTTCTAGTCGATTCAAAAATCACCACCGGCAGCAGCAGCAGAGGAGTACAGTGGAGTGGACGAAGAGGGACTGGAGAAGGACGAAATCAACGACCCGTTGCATGGTGAGAATTGGGAGAGAGGAAGCACATGAAATCTTAGGCCCACTGGCAGCAGCTGCAGCGGTTTCGACTGGAGATCCTTTTGAATCAGCCTCTTACTACCTCACTCTACGCCTCTCTATCCTTCACGAGCCCTTATTACCCCGCACTACCCCCCACCCTCCCAAACAGAGGAGATGCTGGGTCACTTGCAGCAGCTGCAGCGGTTTCGCCTGGAGGACCTTTTGAGTCGACCCCCACCGTCCCTCACTAACCTTCCCTACTCCTCACTACCCCTCTCTTCCCCTCCCTACCCCTCGCAACCCCTTGCTACCCCTCACTACCCCAAACAGTGGAGATGCTGGGTCACTTGCAGCAGCTGCAGCGGTTTCGCCTGGAGGACCTTCGCAAGGCAACCAACCTGTTACTACCTCCCAGACCCCACGACACTGCTCTCTACCTTTCACAACCCCACTATCCCTCCCTACCCCTCACCACCCCTCACTACTCTGTGCAGAGGAGATTCTGGGCCAACTGCAGCAGCTGCAGCGGTTTCGCATGGAGGACCTTCGCAAGGCAACGAGCGGGTTCAGCAGCACTCTTCTGCTGGGGGAGGGGGGGTACGGGCTGGTGTATAGAGGGAGCCTCAGGGACGGGAAGCAAGTGGCAATCAAACTGCTCAAGGTGAGCTATTGCAGGTGTGAGGATAAACGGGGCGAGCTCTGCAGTGGCATGCCCTGCCTGCGCTAGGCAACGAGCGGGTTCAGCAGCAGTCTGCTGCTGGGGGAGGGGGGGTACGGGCTGGTGTACCGAGGGAGCCTCAGGGATGGCAAGCAAGTGGCGATTAAACTGCTCAAGGTACGGCATTGCTGCTGCTTGATAGTGCTCTCTGGTAAGCTCAGGAGGACCTGCGCAGGGCAACGAGCGGGTTCAGCAGCAGTCTGCTTCTGGGGGAAGGGGGGGTACGGACTGGTGTACCGAGGGAGCCTCAGGGACGGCAAGCAGGTGGCAATAAAACTGCTCAAGGTGAGTCCTTTCTTGCCGTTCAAGTTGTTCACTCAGTGTTGGTATGCTCTGAAAGGTCTTTCGCAGGACAACGAGCGGGTTCAGCAGCAGCCTGCTGCTGGGGAAGGGGGGGTACGGGCTGGTGTACCGAGGGAGCCTCAGGGACGGCAAGCAGGTGGCAATAAAGCTTCTCAAGGTGCGCTGTGCTGCTGCTGTGGTGAGGATGCTGTGTGAGTTTTGGAATCGCCTGCACGAGGCAACGAGTGGGTTCAGCAGCAGCCAGCTGGAGGGTTTCCCCCCTGCTCCTCCCCTCCCCTGCCATGCACAGCAACCTGCTCAAGCTGTGTACATGGTTCCCCTCCCCTGCTCCTCTGCTCCTACCCACCCTCAGAAGGAGAAGCGGGGCAGCGAGGGGGCGTTTATAAACGAGGTCACGGCCATCAGTGGCGCCGTGCACCGCAACCTGCTCAGGCTGGAGTGCTTCTTTGCCCATCTGTCCCACTCCCTCTCCTGCTGCTCTGTCCCTCCCTTGCTGTCTCGCTCGCCCCCTCTTCCCCTCCCCTGCACCCACCAACCAACAGAAAGAGAGGCGCGGCAGCGAGGAGGCGTTTATCAACGAGGTGACTGCTATAAGCGGCGCCGTGCACCGCAACCTGCTGCGGCTGGAGGGCTTCTGCGTGGAGAAGGGCGAGCGGGCGCTGGTGTTTCCCTTCCTGCCACATGGCTCCGTTGCTGACTACCTCAAAGGTGAGGTGTTGAGTGCGGTGCAGGTAGGAGACGCAGTGGTCTAGCGGGGCATGTGGGTGCCTCTAGCAGGTGATGCACGCGGTACAAGGGCCGTGCACCGCAACCTGCTGCGCCTGGAGGGCTTCTGCGTGGAGAAGGGCGAGCGGGCGCTGGTCTTCCCGTTCCTGCCGCATGGTTCCGTTGCTGACTACCTCAAAGGTGAGGAGTTGAGTGCGGTGGGGTAGGGTATGCAGGCAGGGTCTTCCAGGAATAGTAGCTGTGGAGAGGGGCGAGCGCACTTTCGTGTTCCCGTTCTTACCGCACGGTCCCGTTGCTGATTACCTCAAAGGTGAGGATGGAGGGCTTCTGTGAGGGTTGCTGGGTTGGGTGCGGTGGAGTACGGCACGCAGTGGCGCCGTGCACCGCAACCTGCTGCGGCTGGAGGGCTTCTGTGTGGAGAGGGGAGAGCGGGCGCTGGTGTTCCCCTCCCTGCCGCATGGTTCCATTGCGGATTATCTTAAAGGTGAGGGGCTTGGTGGGGTGCGGTGGGGTAGGTAGGGTATGCAGGCAGGGTTCTTCCAGGAATAGTAGCTGTGGAGAGGGGCGAGCGGGCGCTGGTGTTCCCCTTCCCGTTACATGGTTCTGTCACGGTGAGGTAACCCTTCCCATTAAAACCAGCAGTGGTGTGGCAGGGCGTGCAGTGGTGTGGCAGGGCGTGCAGTGGTGTGGCAGGGCGTGCAGTGGTGTGGCAGGGCGTGCAGTGGCGTGGCAGGGCGTGCAGTGGTGTGGCAGGGCGTGCAGTGGTGTGGCAGGGCGTGCAGTGGTGTGGCAGGGCGTGCAGTGGTGTGGCAGGGCGTGCAGTGGTGTGGCAGGGCGTGCAGTGTTGTGGCAGGGCGTGCAGTGGTGTGGCAGGGCGTGCAGTGGCGTGGCAGGGCGTGCAGTGGTGTGGCAGGGCGTGCAGTGGTGTGGCAGGGCGTGCAGTGGTGTGGCAGGGCGTGCAGTGGTGTGGCAGGGCGTGCAGTGGTGTGGCAGGGCGTGCAGTGGTGTGGCAGGGCGTGCAGTGGTGTGGCAGGGCGTGCAGTGGTGTGGCAGGGCGTGCAGTGGTGTGGCAGGGCGTGCAGTGGTGTGGCAGGGCGTGCAGTGGCGTGGCAGGGCGTGCAGTGGTGTGGCAGGGCGTGCAGTGGTGTGGCAGGGCGTGCAGTGGTGTGGCAGGGCGTGCAGTGGCGTGGCAGGGCGTGCAGTGGTGTGGCAGGGCGTGCAGTGGTGTGGCAGGGCGTGCAGTGGCGTGGCAGGGCGTGCAGTGGTGTGGCAGGGCGTGCAGTGGTGTGGCAGGGCGTGCAGTGGCGTGGCAGGGCGTGCAGTGGTGTGGCAGGGCGTGCAGTGGTGTGGCAGGGCGTGCAGTGGTGTGGCAGGGCGTGCAGTGGTGTGGCAGGGCGTGCAGTGGTGTGGCAGGGCGTGCAGTGGCGTGGCAGGGCGTGCAGTGGTGTGGCAGGGCGTGCAGTGGTGTGGCAGGGCGTGAAGTGGCGTGGCAGGGCGTGCAGTGGTGTGGCAGGGCGTGCAGTGGTGTGGCAGGGCGTGCAGTGGTGTGGCAGGGCGTGCAGTGGTGTGGCAGGGCGTGCAGTGGCGTGGCAGGGCGTGCAGTGGTGTGGCAGGGCGTGCAGTGGTGTGGCAGGGCGTGCAGTGGCGTGGCAGGGCGTGCAGTGGTGTGGCAGGGCGTGCAGTGGTGTGGCAGGGCGTGCAGTGGTGTGGCAGGGCGTGCAGTGGTGTGGCAGGGCGTGCAGTGGTGTGGCAGGGCGTGCAGTGGTCAGGCAGGGCGTGCAGTGGTCAGGCGGGGCGTGCAGTGGTCAGGCAGGGCGTGCAGTGGTCAGGCAGGGCGTGCAGTGGTCAGGCAAGGCGTGCAGTGGTCAGGCAGGGCGTGCAGTGGTCAGGCAGGGCGTGCAGTGGTCAGGCAGGGCGTGCAGTGGTCAGGCAGGGCGTGCAGTGGTCAGGCAGGGCGTGCAGTGGTCAGGCGGGGCGTGCAGTGGTCAGGCCGGGCGTGCAGTGGTCAGGCAGGGCGTGCAGTGGTCAGGCAGGGCGTGCAGTGGTCAAGCAGGGCGTGCAGTGGTCAGGCAGGGCGTGCAGTGGTCAGGCAGGGCGTGCAGCGGTCAGGCAGGGCGTGCAGTGGTCAGGCAGGGCGTGCAGTGGTCAGGCAGGGCGTGCAGCGGTCAGGCAGGGCGTGCAGTGGTCAGGCAGGGCGTGCAGTGGTCAGGCAGGGCGTGCAGCGGTCAGGCAGGGCGTGCAGTGGTCCGACTCTGTTCTGGTACTGACTGCAAAGAAGCCCTCGTCAAAATCTTCCTGTTCCCTCTCTTCCCCTCCCCCCGCCCCAACGTGCCGTGCCAATACACACACGCACGCCAGGTGGCAAGATGAGAAGCGATGCAACACCGCTGACGTGGAAGCACAGGAGGAAGATCGTTCTGGGGATAGCTGAGGGGCTGGCATACATGCACACGGACTGCACTCCCAGACTCATTCACTGCGATATGAAGGTGAGTGAGGGAGTGAGTGAGCAGTGAGTGAGTGAGTGAGTGGGTGAGTGAGTGGGTGAGTGAGGCAAGGAAGTGGGGGAGTGAAAGAGGGAGTGTTTGGTCGGTCAGCCCCCCAAGTCACAACTATCACCCACTCACTCACTCACCCACTCACTCACTCACTCACTCATTCACTCACCCACTCACTCCCACACCCACTTACTCACTCACTCGCTCACCCACTCACTCACCCACTCACTCACCCACCCACTCAGTCACTCACTCACTCACTCACCCACTCACTCACCCACCCAGTCACTCACTCACTCACTCACTCACTCACCCACTCACCCACTCACTTCCCCTTCTCTCTCTCCCTCCTCCCCTTTTTCTTTAAAGGCCGAGAATGTGCTTCTAACGGAGGACAACGACCCGGTCATTTGCGACTTTGGCCTGTCAAAGCTGGTGGAAGTTGACGTAATACCCTCAGCTGCCAGGGGAAACAGACCCAGTGCAGCAGTGCGGGGAACCCTAGGCCACCTGGCCCCAGGTAAACACCCCACATCAGCCCCTCGTGCTATTGCTTAGTCAACTGGAAAATTACTCGAGGTAAGCACGGGTCAGAAGTGACATAGATTCACTTCTGAGAAACTAATTATTTAAAAAAAAAAAATAATAAAAAAAAACACACACACTTACATGAGTGAGTCTGACTCAATTTCTAAGGACGTGTTGGGATGACATTGAGAGTGACAGTGGCTCATCACAACCACCTGGGTTCAGGTAAGCACCCGTCGAGATAACATTTGAGCGTGACTTGAGAAGCCACCCTAATCTGGCTCAATTCGGGCTCATTCCGGTCAACGTATGGTTCAGCGTGACTACAGAAGCCACGCTAGGCCACGTCGGTCCAGGTAAGCACCGGCTGGTTGGAACTTGGAAGTGCAGGGGCTGCCTTGCACCAGTGGCCTTGAAGGCATGTGGTAGCAAGCAAGCACGTGACCTGCACATGCGTTGCTTGCTTCTTCTTTTTTTTTTTTTTTTTTTTTCCTCTTCTTCTTCTTCTTCTTCTTCTTTTTTTTCTTCTTTCTGGATGAAGCTTTTTTGTTGTTTCTTTTGTTGGTGTTGTAAAGGTCATGTAGCTCGTCACAGTATTATCATCCCTCGTCCTTTTGTCCATGCGACCCTGTCCTCCTGCTCTACAATACTGGCAAGTGGTCTGAGAAGACTGACGTGTTTGGCTTTGGTCTGCTGCTAGTGGAGCTCGTTGCTGGCTGCACCCTTTCCCTAATTCGCCATTTTCCTCCGCTGTACCCCCACTGTGCCCCCTCTGTACCCCCTCTGTACCCTTTATAGAGCTCTACAACACTGGCAAGTGGTCGGAGAAGACTGACGTGTTTGGCTTCGGCGTTCTGCTAGTGGAGCTCGTTGCTGGCTGCAGCGTTTTCGACCTGCCCATGGGCCACCGTGTGTCTAATCCCAGACGTGAAGTCAGAGACAGAGGGAGGGAGGGAGAAGGAGGGGGAGACAGAGGGGGGAAGGGGAAGGACGAGGACGGAGGAGCGGAGAGGGAAGAGAGAGTAGAGGAGGAGAAGGAGAGGGGAGGCAAGGAGAATGAAGGGCGAGTTGAGGAGGGGGAGAAGGAGAGGGAGACGGAAAGGGAGGAGGGGGGTGAGAAGGAGGAAGGGGAGGAGATGTCGCTGTGGGAGTGGGTGACGGGGGAGATGCAGCAGGGGCATGTAGCCACGCTGGTAGATGTGCAGATCCGATCCCACCCCTCCGATTGCGACCCTCTGGAAGTGCAGGTGAGGATGGGGGTGGGTGAGAGGGTGTGAGAAGAGATTAGCTGGTGAGAGTCGGAGTGGGTGACGGGGGAGATGCAGCAGGGGCATGTGGCGACGCTGGTGGATGTGCATATATGATCCCACCCCTCCGACCGCGAGCCACTGGAAGTGCAGGTGAGTGAGAGGGTGGGTGAGAGGGTGTGTGAGAGGGTGTGTGAGGCTGGGTGAGAGATGGGGCAAGGGAGATGCAGCAGGGGCATGTAGCGACGCTGGTGGACGTGCAGATCCGATCCCATCCCTCTCACTGCGACCCTCTGGAAGTGCAGGTGAGGGGTGAAGGGGGACCCTTGGGTGGGTAGTGACCAGCTGGTAAGAGTCAGAGTGACGGGGGAGATGCAGGTGGCGACGCTGGAAGACGTGCAGATCTGATCGCACCCGGCTGACTGCGACCCCCTGGAAGTGCAGGTGAGGATGGCTTGTCTAACCCCAAAACCTGTCGCTTTCACCACAATATCACCAGCCTCGACCCTGAACTCGTTTGACGTGTTACATTATCACCACCCCCCCCCCCCCCCCCCCCCCCCCCCCCCCTCCCTCAATAGGTCTTCCTGCAGGTGGCACTCCTCTGTCTGCAGCAGTCCCCGTCAGACCGCCCCACCATGAGCGAGTGTGTGACCATGCTGCAGGGCACGGGCCTGGCGTGCCGGTGGCAGCTGTGGCACAACACAGGCCTGGAAGATGGATTGCAGCCTCCCGATATGCCTGTGCCGGACGGCGTTGTTACGGACTCTAGTGAAAGCTACATGCCCCTCGACATTTCAGGACCACGTTAAGCTGATTGATTATGGTTTGATGCTTGTTTGCGTTTGCCTTTTCCTGCTCTATATGGCGCTGAGTGTTGGGAAGAACTCTGAGATCGGATCGGACCAAGATTTCACAGGCAAAGATGGCCTTGAGGGTTATGGGCGCGCTCGCTCACCCTTCATTTAACAAGCCATTTCGGTTAGCAGCTGAGATTTACCAGCACTGACTTTCTTATATTAATAATGATAAGAATACTGTCGTCATTGTTATTATTATTCTCTATGCATATTTCGTATTTTTTTTATCACCTTGTTGACGCTGTGTACATGATTTATTCAAAGATATTCTATGTGTATGATTTAATCAAATCACCGTTTTTATCACACCATGCAGATTTGCCGCACCGCACCGCGCATCGTCCTGGCCGCATCGCGAGCCTTCAAATGCAGCGCCCTGCCTAGCCAATCAACGTCCCACCCACCGATTTGGTTCTTCGTCTGTGTGGGGATTGGGCGGCACTGCTTCGCATGTAACTCATCGGCAACTTCTCCTGAAGCAAAAATGCCTAACCTAGCCACCAATTGGCAAACCAGCTCCCCCAACCAAACATGGAGTTCCCGAGCCTGGAGAGTCTTTCATTTCGCTTTTTGAGCTGGGTTGTTGAATTTTGAAAAGCCTACCCAACGGTCTCAAACCGAGCAACGATGCTTCAGAACGCATTGAGCCTTGTGGAACCGTTTTGATGTTAACTGGTGCGAGGCTCTCAGCTTAGCACCAGCACCAGGGCCCAGCAGAGGCAAAACCAATTACTATGCCTCCAAGTCGTTTAGAGAGTGAACTCCGGAGAAGACGTTGGATTACTAGCGTTAGTACGCTTGGGAATTGACTTCCTGGTCGGGTTACTAGCGGATGACAACATTAGGTTAAATCGATAGCTCCCCCCGCACTTTCAGGCGTCTCACCGCAGTTGAAGAAATATATCACGCCATGCGCGTTGTACGTCCGCCTTTTCACATTTATCGTCCTAGGCACCGACAACATCGGGAATGCCGACACACTTAAGAGCTAGTTCTGTCGATGCAGTAGTAGCAGCGGTAGCAGTAACAGCCAGTCAGCCAACGAGCAGCATGCGGAGGCGATTGCATCCGCGAATACATGGGCGATCATCAATGCGAATACTACAATGGCAATCACTCACGCGAATACAGTGCCGATTACTCGTCGCCACTCTATCACTTACGCTGCTCGCGCTTCGCTCCGCAAACGCCAAGGTAACTCCTCGATCATCTACGCGCTGCTGTCTCATTGGGGACCCCCGCGTTCAGCCGATACTGTTACGTAGCTGTCACTTATGCCCATTCGAGGCCCTTACAGAAATTTCAAATGCAAGTCCTCGCTACTTCTCAATTCTCCCGTCTAAATCACACCGTTTTTGTTTCGGTCTAATCCACACGTTATTCTCCCGTCTATTTTGCACGTTTCATACGATTCAGCCTGTAGCGAATCAGTCGCCACGAGCGGGCGAGTCTCCAGCGCAAGCCGAGCTTAAAGCCTTGATCCCCAGGAGGCGTCTGGGGTTCTAATTATTCGCAGAAACCGGGCGGGATAAAGTTTTGGGTGATTTCCTTGTAAAAGGCAGCCAAACCGCAGACACAATCATTGCAGCTGGTGCAGGAGCAGGGAAAGCAGCAGCCGGAACAATGGCAGCTGCATCAGGAAAAGCAGCAGCAGAAGCAGCAGAAGAAGCAGCAGCAGCTGCAGCAACGGCAAGATCAGCAGCAATTGCAAGGCAACGAACAAGGTGTGGAGAAGGTAGCGAATCAGGGGCAAAGAGTAGGACAGGTGTGGGCTGACGAGCATGCGTTGGCCCAGGCGTTGGGATCAGGGGAGGATGTAGCGCAACCGCCACCGCAGAAAGGGCCAATGCCGCCGCTGCAGCAAGCGCAACCGCCGCCGGGGCAAGCGGCGGGTGAGACGGAGGTGCAAGCAGCACAGCAGAAGCAGAAAGGCTCGGGCAGGGAAAGTCCACAGGAAAAGGCCGGTCAGCTGGAGGAATACTCGAAGAAGGTAGAGGGTCAGAAGGAAGAGGAGGCTGCAAAGGGAGAGGAAATGGAGGAGGGTAGTGGAAAAGAGCGAGAGAGGAAACAGGGGGAGCAAGGTAAGGGTGGGGAGCACTGGGAGAGGGGGGACTGGGAGGTCATACCAGGTGTGACCTCCCAGGGAAAGGCGGAGGGAAAGGCACAAGGAAAGGCGGAGGGAAAGGCGGAGGGAAAGGCGGAGCGAAGCGCAGAGGGGAAAGAGGATGGTGGTGGGAGGCCGAGCTATAGACAGGGATCGAGATTCGACAGGGGGGCTGCGATGGATGCTATGAGGCGGAGGAGGGAGGGCGAGTGCTGGAGCAAGGAGGAGCGGCTCCTGTACCACACGGTGCGTGCTTTTGTGAATGCGTGCATGTGTGAGTGCTTGAGTAAATGAGGACGGTGGTGGGAGGCCGAGTTACAGGCAGGGATCGAGGTTCGACAGGGCGGCAGCGAGGGATGCTATGCGGCGGAGGAGGGAGGGCGAGTGCTGGAGCAAGGAGGAGCGGCTCCTGTACCACACGGTATGCACGCAACCCTTCCTCACAGCAGTGCTCACAGCAACGCGGGCGGGTGCGTGAGGCGATGCAGAGAAAGTGCATGTTCATTACATGTGAATGGAATCTTGACCCTTGCTTGTGATATCTTTCCTCAAAGCCTCCTCTTCCCCTCGCCCTCCCCACTCCCCCACCCCCTCAACCCCCTCCCTCTACCCCCTCTCCCATACACCTCTGCTCCCACCATCTCACACACAGGCGAACCCAGACCCCCCGTCAGCAGCCTTCAAGGCAGCAGTCCGGGCGCATGAGGCGATGCAGAGGGAGTGCATGGGGAGTGGGAAAACGGAGGAGTGGGAATGGGTGCGGAGTGGCGACTGGTGAGTGATTTCCGGGGAAAAGAGAGGGATGGAGGAGGAGCGAGAGAGGGGGTGGGGGGGAGTGTGTAGTTGTGCGTCTGTCCTGCAACCACGCACCCATAAAAACCCACAATCTTCCATCCATGCAACCATACACTCATCCATCCATCCATCCATCCATCCATCCATCCATCCATCCATCCATCCATCCATCCATCCATCCATCCATCCATCCATCCATCCATCCATCCATCCATCCATCCATCCATCCATCCATCCATCCATCCATCCATCCATCCATCCATCCATCCACCCATCCATGCACGAACGCACCCTTGCAACTGCTCACACCAACAGGGACAAGGACAGACCAAGATACAGAGCCAACAGGAAGCTCTTTGACTTACATGATTATAAAAAGCACCCATGCACTCATCCATCCAGCCATGCACTCATCCATCCAGCCATGCACTCATCCATCCACCCATGCACTCATGCACCTGCTCACGTCAACAGGGACAAGGACAGGCCACGATACGGACCAGACAGGAAGCCATGCCAGTACATCTACGTTCCTCCCTTCCCCCGAGGTGGGTACCTCTCTCCCCTTCTCATGCACCCCCCCTTCCCCTTACCCCCACTCACCTCCCCCTTTCCTTCCCCACTCGCCCCGCTTCTATCTTCCCCCACCCCGCTTCTTTAAAAAGGCGAAAGAACCGGCTTGGAGCAGGCAAGGAAACATGCCTCTCTCTATTGTACGCTTTTATGGTTTCTTTCTGCATGTCCTGTACCCTGTACCTGGTAATGTATGCTCTGACCTTGTTCAGGGGTACAGGTGCTCTGACCTCCCACACCTCCCAATCCCCTACCAACCCTTACACGCCCTCTCACTCCCATTCTCCACTCCCCCCCCCCCCCTCCACCTTCCTCATTTCCCAATCAGGCTTGGGAAACCGCTTGGTGAACCATGTCAACGCGTTCATGCTAGCGCTCGTAACCCATCGGGCCATCATCACCACGCACTGGTCCTTCCTCTCCAATGTCTTCCCTATCTCCCCCTTCTCTTCTCCTCCCTCCTCTCGTCTCTCCCAACCCCATCAGGTCTGTGCAACCGATTTTTGAGTCGACTCAAAAAATCAACTTCCCCCCTCCACCTTCCTCATTTCCCAATCAGGCTTGGGAAACCGCTTGGTGAACCATGTCAACGCGTTCATGCTAGCGCTCGTAACCCATCGGGCCATCATCACCACAGCACACCACACCACACCACACCATACCACACCACACCACACCACACCACACCACGGCCCTCCCTCTGTTCTCTCTTCCCTCTCTCCCCCTTCTTGTCTCCTTTCCACAACCCCACCCACCCCCATATCAGGTCTGGGCAACCGGCTAGTGAACCACGTGAATGCGCTCACCACACAGCGGGCCATCATCACCACGCCTTGGTCCTTCTGCTCCCCTCTCTTTTGAGGCGCCTCAAAAGTCCTTCTGCTCCCCTCTCATCTCCTCTCCCTTTGCCTCTCCCCCATATCAGGTCTGGGCAACCGGCTAGTGAACCACGTGAATGCGCTCACCACACAGCGGGCCATCATCACCACGCCTTGGTCCTTCTGCTCCCCTCTCTTTTGAGGCGCCTCAAAAGTCCTTCTGCTCCCCTCTCATCTCCTCTCCCTTTGCCTCTCCCCCATATCAGGTCTGGGCAACCGGCTAGTGAACCACGTGAATGCGCTCACCACACAGCGGGCCATCATCACCACGCCTTGGTCCTTCTGCTCCCCTCTCTTTTGAGGCGCCTCAAAAGTCCTTCTGCTCCCCTCTCATCTCCTCTCCCTTTGCCCCTCTCCTATCAGGTCTGGGCAACCGGCTAGTGAACCATGTGAATGCGTTCGTGCTAGCTCTCATAACCCACTGAGCCATCATCACCACGCCCTGCTGTCCGATGCCGTCTCCTCACTCCTCTTCCCTCACCTGCCTCTCCCCCATATCAGGTCTGGGCAACCGGCTAGTGAACCATGTGAATGCGTTCATATTGGCGCTCATCACCCATCGGGCCATCATCACCACGCCCTGGTCGTTTGTGGTTCGCCGCTTCTGCAACCCCTTCGGCGGCTCCACCTCCTGGTCGCTGCCCCTGCCTGTGCACAGGTGAGGTTTTCAGTACAAGCAGCACCACGTTTCATAACTTCTCTCACTCAAGAGTCAACGCGATTCTGCAACCCCTTCGGCAACTCCACCTCCTGGGCGCTGCCCTGGGCCGCTCACAGGTAAGCTTTGCCCTCTCGACGTTCACATTCACATCACCACGCCCTGGTCCTTCGTGGTTTGCCGATTCTGCAACCCCTTCGGCAACTCCACCTCCTGGGCGCTGCCCCTGCCTGTGCACAGGTGAGGTTTTCAGTACAAGCAGCACCACGTTTCATAACTTCTCTCACTCAAGAGTCAACGCGATTCTGCAACCCCTTTGACAACTCCACCTCCTGGTCGCTGCCCCTGCCTGTGCACAGGTGCGCGTTTCAATATAAGCACACTGGCACACTGGTTAGTAACCGATCTCACCCAAGAGCCAAACTGATTCTGCAACCCCTTCGACAACTCACCCTCATGGTCGCTGCCCCTGCCTGTGCACAGGTGCGCGTTTCAATATAAGCACACTGGCACACTGGTTAGTAACCGATCTCACCCAAGAGCCAAACTGATTCTGCAACCCCTTCAACAACTCACCCTCATGGTCGCTGCCCCTGCCTGTGCACAGGTGAGGCAAATAGTCAATGCCGATGAGACGCTCCCAATGAGGTGACTTTTGAGTCGACTCAAAAGTCACCTCTGTGCACAGGTGAGGTGAGGCAAGTAGTCAATGCCGATGAGACGCTCCCATCCCAATGTGAGCCCTTACTCTCAAAGCGAGCCATCATCGTTTTTAAGACGTCTCAAAAACACCCTCTCTACACGTCGCTGCCCTGGGCCGCTCACAGGTGAGGCAAGTAGTCAATGCCGATGAGACGCCCCCATCCCAATGTGAGCCCTTACTCTCAAAGCGAGCCATCATGATTCATCACCAAGCCCTGGTCCTTTGTGGTCGCTGCCCTTGCTTGTGCACAGGTGAGGCTTCTCCTCCACGTACCAGAATTTCTCGATATAAGCAAGCGTACTGGTAAGTGTGTGTCAGGGCGATTCTGCAACCCCTTCAACAACTCACCCTCATGGTCGTCGCTGCCCGGGCCCTCTCACAGGTGCTTTTTGCCCCAGGCATTCCCCTATAAAGGGATTGCACCCCTATAAAGCAGCCTGCTTAGAAATTTACCTCAGCCAAGCTTCTGCACTCCCTTCACTTCGTTTTGAGACGTCTCAAAAGAGTAGCCACGTCGCAAAACAAATCTTCATACACGTGGCCCCAGGCATTCCCCTATAAAGCAGCCTGCTTATAAATTCACCTCAGCCAAGCTTCTGCAATCCCTTCACTTCGTTTTGAGACGTCTCAAAAGAGTAGCCACGTCGCAAAACAAATCTTCATACACGTGGCCCCAGGCATTCCCCTATAAAGCAGCCTGCTTATAAATTTACCTCAGCCAAGCTTCTGCAATCCCTTCAGCACCAACCCTCCACCTCCTAGTCGCTCCCCTGGCCCGCTCGTGGGTGCTGTTTGCCCCAGACATCCCCGTTATAGGCAGACTTTCTCTGGACTTCCTCACGACTCCCTTTTTCCTTCCTCCCTCTTCTCTCTGCTGTGCAGCTCGTTCATCGGAGTGGTTAAGACCGACCGCTGGAGTTCAAAGACTTGGTTTAAGTACCACACGGGGGGATAGTGGAATTATGAAGGGCCTAACGAATCAGTCCCAAATTCCTTCCTCCACTGCTGTGCAGCTCGTTCATTGGAGTGGTTAAGAACCGAACGCTGGATTTCAGAGACTTGGTTAAGTACCTGTGTTCTTCATTGGTGTCGGCACCCGGGGCTAGCGGAAAACTGAGGAGCCTAACGAATCAACTCCTTGTTTCCCTCCTCTCCTGCTGTGCAGCTCGTTCATTGGCGTGGTTAAGAACCGAACGCTGGAGTTTAAAGAAGTGGTTAAATACCATGCAGAGCAAGGAGCAGCAGCAGGAGGAGGGGCGGCAGCAACAGGAGGGGTAGCAGCAACAGGAGGAGGGGTAGCAGCAACAGGAGGAGGGGAAGCAGCAACAGGAGGAGCAGCAGCAGGAGCAGCAGGAGCAGCAGGAGCGGCAGGAGCAGCAGGAGCAGCAGGAGCGGCAGGAGCAGCAGGAGCAGCAGGAGCGGCAGGAGCAGCAGGAGCAGCAGGAGCAGCTGGATTGTTGGAGCTGTCAAGGGAAGAGGTGGCTGCGTTGATTCAAAACCACACTGTGAACATTCATCTGGCTGGCAGGTGAAATGGGAGATGAGGGGGGTGGGTTGGGGTGGGGCGGGGCTGTGGGGAGAAAGAAAGGACCGGTGGGGCGGTAGTGCTGTCAAGGAATGAGTTACATGGGGCATGGGCATTGGTTCGCATGGTGTGTGGGTTGAGGTGCCTCAACAACAGCTGAGAGATGTGTGCCGGTGTGTCTGTGCTTCTCCCTCCGATTCGTAAGAATCATATGCGGAAGATCTTATTCGCTCTCTTTCATGTATACGGCTTTTGAGGTCCTCGCTTCAAGAGTCCGCTCCTTTATGTGCAGACATTAGCGAGAGAATCACGCCCGTCTCTCTTTTGTTTGGAAAATAAAATGTTAAAAAGGTGAAGAAAACAACAACACAACAACAACAACAACAATCTCCGTTATCTCGTTTATTTTTCTTCTCTCTCTGTGTATCTCTCTCAGGGTTCAAAGAAAAGACCGTTATTTTGAAAATTTGCTGTAAAAAACGACCGTTTAAAACGGTTTTAAACGGTTCCAGGAGGTGTTTTTAGTTTAATTAACAAATCGGCCACTTTTTGGCACCAAATTGAACCCGAGTTTGTTCTGGTTCCATGTTTTGACGTCGTGGTTTAGGGGGCCACTTTTGGGGACCAAATTGAACCCGAGTTTCAGCAGGATGAAGCGGTCGGGCCCCTTCTTGCATGTGTGCGCTTGTTGGCATGATAGTAAATGAGTTTGACCTTGTTTTTCCCTTTTGCTTTCTTGGTGACCAGAGTTCTCTAACAAAAAAGCGGCCGTTTTTACGAAAACCGTATATCTGAACCTTGATCTCTCTTGTCCGTGTGTTTGCAACCAGAGGAGCGCACACTTTCTGCACAGATGCATGGGAGGGCATCAACACAGCTGTCTTCTGGAGCATGGCAATCAACGTCTACCTCTTTATCCGTACCCCTCCCCTTGCTGTGTGTGTTTTTCCCTTGTCCTGGTGTTTACACTCAGAGGCGCACACACTTTCTGCACAGATGCATGGGAGGGCATCAACACAGCTGTCTTCTGGAGCATGGCTATTGACGTCTATTTCGTGCCCAGCCTCTACTACCTCCCCACATACGCTGTAAGCCTCTACTTCTGCATGTTCATGTAAATGTACCCTTCTTGTGAGTTAGTTCGCCTCTTTTTTTTTTTTTTTTTTTTTTTTTTTTTTTTTCCCCTGGGGTTTTGAGCGACCCCAGGAGGAAATTCTGCCTTCCTGCTCCACCTCCCCACTCTCCATGCAGCTCTCAACTGCATATTCCACCTCTCACCCTCCTTACCCACCCACCAGGCGGCTCTGAATAATTTATTCCCCGACCATCGCGTGTTGACGCACACTGCTCGGTTTCTTCTGCACCCTGACAACCGGCTCTGGGCGGCGATCACTCGTCTTTTCCACGCCAACCTGGCGCACCACTCCCACCGGGTCGGCATTCAGGTACTGCAGCGAGGTGCACTGAGGTGGGATGCGGTGAAGTGGGGTGCAGCGAGGTGCAAGCAGGTGCCCGCTGTGCTTGAGCTTACTAGCACGATTCCAGTCGCAGTCTATTGCAGAGTGGTGCAAAGAGGTCCAGAGAGGCGCAGTAAGGTCCAGCTGGCATACTAAGGTGATTGTGATGTGATGGCCATCCATCACTCGTTTCCAGCACGCCAGCCAACCATTCTTATCGAGTTTGCATTCAAAAGGGAAAGCTGTATTCACATTCAGTGAGGTGCAGCCAGGTGCAGTGAGGTGCAGCTAGGTGCAGCCAGGTGCAACCAGAGGCAGTGATATCCCGCTTCTCCCCTCCTCTCTTCCCCTCTCCCCCTTTCCTCCCCCCTCCTCTCTCTCCCTCCATGTGTGCACTCATCTCAGATCCGGTCAGCACTCGGAATCAATCTCCCATTGGCTGACCGTGTCCTCTCATGTGCTGCTGACGTGGCACGGTACCTCCCTACCATTGGCTCCTCCAACCAGGTCAACTTTCTCTCTCGCTCGGCCCAAATGTGTTTTTAGCGAGTCCTTGAATCGTATTTTAGGGCAAGTTTTGTCCCTGCATAGCAAGACTGGATCATAAGGTGCCCCCAAAAAAATTGTCCTTGCATAGCAAGCATAGATTGTCCCTGGAAAACCATCATCGGTCTCAAAATTTGAGACTCAAATGAGTAGTTTTATTTTTCTGTTATTGAATATTCCCAACCCGACCACCAGAGGTGTTTTGCATGCCCCTTCTCTCTTCACCTTCCTCCCTCTCCTATCCAATGGCCCCCTTCCAGACACAGCCAGCCAACAGCACCGGTCAAGAAGGAGTGGTGGGTGAGGGCGAGGGAGGGACGGTGGGGGTGGTGGTGGCATCTCTGAGCGCGCAGCACTGGATGGACATGCAAGGCCGATACGCCCTGCACGGCGCACACGACTCCCTTACCTCATCCTCCCTCCCTCCCTCCCTTCGTACCTGCCCAATCTGATTGCCCCCATCCAGACACTGCCAGCCAACAGCACAGGGCAAGAAGGAGCGGTGGGACAGGGAGAGACGGTGGGAAAGGAAGGGACGGTGGGGGAAGGAGGATCGGATGGAGAAGGGGGCACGGTGGGGGTGGTGGTGGCATCTCTGAGCGCGCAGCACTGGATGGACATGCAAGGCCGATACGCCCTGCACGGCGCACACGACTCCCCTTCCCTCCTCATCCTTCTTCCCTTCCCTATCCGATTCCAGACACAGCCAGCCAACAGCACCGGCCAAGGAGCGGTGGTAGAGGGAGGGGCGGCTGGAAAGGAAGGGACGGCAGGAGAAGGAGAAGGAGAGGGAGAGGGGGGGACGGTGGGGGTGGTGGTGGCATCTCTGAGTGCGCAGCATTGGATGGACATGCAAGGCCGATACGCCCTGCACGGCGCACATGACAGCACCCTCCTCAGCTTCTGCACGTGAGTACACTTGCTTAACAGAATAACTGAACGCGTATAAATATGTCTATGCTCTGTAAATCATTGAAATTGTTTGCATGATGAAGATCGCATTCATTATGCACAGCTCATGCACGTGTGCACTTCTGCTCTTGTGTGGATATTTGTGTGTGTGTTTCCTTCGCCTGCTACCTGTCAGGTTGAACGATCAGTGGGCGGAGAAATGGACCAACACCAGATAATGTGACTTCTGTTGTGTTTGCCTCTCTGCCTCTCTGCCTCTCTGCCTCTCTGCCTCTCTGCCTCTCTGCCTCTCTGCCACTCCGTCACTCTCCCACCTGTCAGGTTAAGCGATCAGAGGGCGGAGAAGTGGACCGACACACAATTCGAGTTTGCAGTCATGGAGATGTGGCTCCTCAGCTTCTCGTGCGCTCCTCTTTTTTGCACGCTCAATTTCTTTTTATTAGGCTGCTAAGAATAGTTGGAGTTTGCAGTCTTGGAGGTGTGGCTCCTCAGCTTCTCGTGCATTCCTTTTGTCCACTCTCTTTCCTTGCCCTCACTTCGTTTATTTTTGTTTTAGTTGTTCCTTCACTTCGAGAAAGATATGTTGTAACGATCAGACGTTTGGCTCGGCTCGGTCTTTGCCTATGTCTGTCCGCATGCCTACTCTTACATCAGCTTTCCACTCGTCTTTGCAGACCTTCCTTTATGCAATTCACTCTGCTTTTGGTTGTGTCTTCGGCACCCTTCTTGTGCGTTCCCAACCCAGCTCCCCAAAATTTCTTCCTTCCCCTCCTAACAGGGATCGGATTCTCATTTCAGACTTTTCGTCCTTCGGCTGGGTGGCCCTAGGCCTTGCCGGTATTGACGGGTATTCAATGGCGGTGGCTGTAATACACGCCTTTGAGATCGACTGGCGCAAGGAGAATCGCCCCGTGTGCGTTCCAATCTCACCAGAGCCTTGTGATGTGCTTGGTGCCTCTGCTTCACTGGTAAGCTCACTTCATGTACATGCATGCTTTATTGGATATGCCCCGTTACAAGATAACGCGCTCATTAATTGTTTTGTTTGTTTTTTACCAGTCTATGTGCAAGGGAAACCACACCGTGGAGGGCGTGGAGCTGGAGGGAGACCAATTGCGTGATTATTCTACATGCCCTGGATCGTATTTGGGTATACGAGATATGAGAGCCTTTTGATCTGATTGAGTTTGCTTGTGTTGTGACATATCGGTGAAAATCTAACCGAATTGCATACAGCAGTTTTTCCACTATATCGCGTACATGTGACGGATTGCGGCGGAACGGGGTGCCTGCCAAGCTGGGAAACAAGGGGAACTGGTCGTGGTTCCAGTAGGCGGTGGCCATCCAGTTTCAAGCTCTGTACAACTGGAGGGTCAGCCTCCGAAGAGCAAACATTTCTTTTCGAAAAAACCGTAGTGGTGGGAGAAACCGGAATTACAACTGCAGATGTTTCAGTGTGCCATTCTGCACGCTCTTCGTTCATATTCATTCTCTCTGCTTCTCAAGTAAAAGTCACAGGTCAGTAACGTATGGATAATGCACACAGCAAAGTACGGCGAATTTTCTGAGCCTTTATGCTTTGCGGTGCGCCCTTTACATTGTGCCGTGTGGTTTTCCCCAGAGGCAACACCATCATTTAGCAGTGTTGCCCAGCGCATACGCTTCTATTGTCCCTCCACACTTGTGAGATGTTTCAGCGTTTCCAAAACTTTTCTCCTAACCGATTCCGCGCTCACCCCAAGCTGCACGCGTGCTGTCTGTTGCCCATCGTCCCCATCGTGACTTTGTCGGTTGGTGGAGGAGACATTTGTCCCCCAGCTCACCACTCCATTTTGAGCGCGTTTGAGAAAATTACGCTTCGGCGAAACGCGGAAGACAGCTGTACGTTCTGTTCTGGTTCCATGTTTTGACGTCGTGTTTTAGTGAGGTTGAGTGAGGTGATGCATATACATCAGTCGTCAACGATGCAACATTGTCAACCGACAGGCCCTTCCTCCCCCCGCCCCCCACCCCACCTCCCCCCCCCCTCCCCTCCCCTTCACCCCCCACCCTCCTCACCAACTCACTGCAGCTGGCAGACCACACAACACTCGCGCCCCGCATAATATCCGTCGTGGGTGCCGATAGTTTTCTGACGTTTACTCTCGGTTCTGCACGTTACAATGATTTCAAGTACGGCAGAGTTTTCAAGCTTGTCATTGTACTGTAGTTTCAGAAAAACATATTTTGAGTTGACTTGGCTGCTCAAAGCGTTCAGTCTCTCCTGAAGGCCATTCTTCGCAGTATCTTATCAGCCATACTTTCAAGCCTCGACCTATCTTATCTTTCCGAAGCACACAGTGTGTTCATGATCCACACATAATGTCTCCCCCCCATGAGCCCTCTGATTATTTGTCAGACGCTGCCATCACGTCGCCTAGTTAGCTCAGCCTTCGCTGATTTCGAGCGAGGCGTAACGCAGTTGAGAACTCAAAGACAGTGCAGAAAAAAAGGTTCCCAAGAGGTCATCCTTCGTCGTAATGCCGCACGCAGTAAGCGACTGTGAGTCGGATAAACTACAAACACTTCACAAGTTCGTTAAACCTGCACTGATGCTTGTTTCAGGAGCCGTTTCACTCAACCGCGATTGCGCAGACCGCGAAAGTGAAGGAGCCGAGAACAGGATTTCGCTTAGTGACGGTTTACACGGAGACGTAACGGCAGTGACTGTCACGGGATCATGCGCGGAGGCGATGGAGCACGACGACGACCCCGGTAGCGATCGCAGCAGTCGTCGCAGCAGTCGTCGCAGCAGTCGTCGCAGCAGTCGTTCCAACAGTCGTCGCAGCAGTCGTTCCAACAGTCCCGACGATTTCGACTTCGCGAGGGCCTTCAGAGGGATCCCGCGACTCTCGTTTCAAGACGACGACGCTTGGTCGGACTTCTTCTCGGGAAGCACGGCCGCAACAGCGTCGGTCGACTCTCCGGCGTTTCGGACCCACGGCAGCAACTCCCTCGGGCTTTTCCGCAACGGCTTTCGCGGGGAGCTGTGTTTTGAGTCGACTCGAAACACGACAGCGTCGGTCGACTCTCCTGCGCTTCGGGCTCACAACTGTTCCCTCAGGCTTTCCCGCAGCGGCTTTCGCGGGGAGTTTCGCGGCGGCGCTGCTGACGGCGAGGTTTGCCCAGGCCTCGACAGCGGACGAGACGGAGAGAGCGAGCCAGTGAAACCGCCGCCTGTTGAGTGCTCTTCGAGGCGCCTCGGGAATCAAGTACGACGTGGAGACGAAGAAGGAGTGGAAGTACCGTTGAAGGAGCGTGCATTGGCTCGCTTTCAGCCTCAGGGTGCACTGGAAGCGCCTCTTCACTATGAACTTAGATCTTTTCAAGCGCCGGAATGTTCGGATCGGCCCGTTCAAGAATGTTCGACTGTGTCGTTTGCAAAGGCCGCGCCCGAGTCAATGGCCGCGCTGGCTCTGGGCCAGGATGGTGTGACGCGTGGTGCGTCTACGGCATGTGATAATAATACGACACGTGATGCTCGCGGTGGCGCCGCGGGAGGTCGTGTCGAATGGGCTCCGTTAGAAGCTGACGCGAAGCAGCCGCTAGTGGCTCCCCAGCGGAGCCTGTGGAGAATGTTCCGCGCATCGCCGCAGTCTACGGCGACGGATGCGACGGAAACGCGACCCGCTGCGCCAACTGCGACGGATGCGACGGGTGCGACGACAAATGCGAGGGTTGCGACAACTGCGAGAGTTGCGGCGGTCGCGACGGCTGCGACGGGTGCGACGGTTGTGAGAGTTGCGACGGATGCGACGGTTGTGGCGGATCCGAGGGTTGACGTAAAACGTGCGACCTCATCGTCCATTTCGCCGTGTCTTGGCTCGACTTCCGAGGATGCGCCACGTCAGCAGCTGCGGCAGTGGGACGAAGGTTATAGCCAAGCCGATTTCTTCAAAAGTGTCGCTGACACGTCATCAGCCTTCTCGAAGGAGATAGCCGACGAGGCTGCTGGCCTGGTGGAGCGTTGGAGCCAATTGCGTCGCGACACGTGTACGACAGAGGGTTGGAGCCGAAGCAGTTCTACTAACACCAACCCTGAACTGCAGGAAGAGGGCGACATTTCGCAAAAGTTCGTTTCTGTTGGCGAAGCGAAGAAGGGGAACGCGAACCGAGTGGGGGAGGTTCGGATACAAGGCAGGTTGATTCGGACCACTTTATGGATGGATTTTTGGCAACGAAAGCATGAACATCAACCGCAGCAGCCGCTGCAGGAGCAGAGAGAGCAGGAGCAGGAAGCGGAGGCAGACGATAAAGTGACAGTTAGGACTGCAAGCGTTGTGCCAGACCGGTTGTCTGGCAGCAAGGGTTTCGCTCGTGCCGAGCCCGAGGCCCTGCTTTGGGAGCAGTACCAGACCCGGAAAAAGGGGGAGGTGGATGAGAGGCAGCTGGAGCAGCAAGAACAGGAGCAGGAAGCGGAAGCAGAAAATGAAGTGGCAGTTAGGACCAAGAATTTCGTCCCTGCCAAGCCCCAGGCCTTGCTGTGGGAGCAGTATCAGACCCGGAAAAAGGAAAAGGTAGCTGAAAGGCAGCAGCAGGAGGAGGAGGAGCAGCAGCATCAGCAGCCATGGCAGGAACAGGAGCAGCAGCAGAGTAAGGGAGGGGAAGAAGACTCATTTCCCTTCAAACTTTCCGATGGGGCAGAATCAAAGATTTTGAAAGCTGGGAATCTCTCGGAGAATCACGCTCGAAGTCCATTGGAGGGCCCGCCTGACAAGCCACCTACGTGCCCGATTGGCTGTCCAGGAAAGAAAATTCAAAGGACTTGCTGACCGGATCGTCGCATCCATCTTCCCCGCACAGTTGCAATCGCCGGAGGAGTCTGGACGGTAGTCTTCTCGACTCGACACAAAAGTCTCCCCCGAATTGGCTGGCTGAACCTGTCCCGCATGCTTGCAACCGTCGATCGAGTTTGAACGATGTTCCTCCTCAGCCGAACCTCGTGTCGACCCTCGACTCGCTGGAGTCGACCCTTCTTGAATCGACCCTTGAGTCGCTCGAGCCGAATCTGAGTTTGAATCAGAGGCGTCCGGGTTGCGTCAGTGTTGCGACTCGGAATTGCTTCAACTGCTGCCTCTCCAAGTGCGGCTGCGGAAACTGCAATAGTGAGAATCTGAAGGAACGCTGTAGCTGCAGTAAATCGCATAGCTACAGTGAAATGGATGGCTACAGTTGCAGGGCTCTGCATAGCGCGGAATCAGCTCTGGTAAGGCAAGTGCAGAGTTGTATAGGGGAGGATGAGCTGCAGAGGAGGGTGTGCCTGCAGCAGTTATCCCAAGTGAAGCAGGAGCAAGCGCAGTGGCAGCAATGGCAGCAGCAGCAGCAGCAGCAGCAGCAGCAGCAGCAGCAGCAGCAGCAGCAGCAGCAGCAGCAGCAGCAGCAGCAGCAGCAGCAGCAGCAGCAGCAGCAGCAGCAGCAGCAGCAGCAGGGGAAGAAGGAAATGCTGGTTGGGTGTTTGCGGCATAAGTGGGCTGTGCATGGCAGTGGGATAGAGAGGCCGAGACGGCGCCGACACATGCGTGAGGAGCAGCTGATGATGGCACACAGAGCGATGAGCATGCCGTGCAATTGACATGAGCACCCCATGCAATTGACACGAGCACCCCATGCCATGCGGCTGAGATGATCATGCCCATGCCATGAGACTGCCGTGAGCATGGCATGCCATCTAGCTGGCTGACCATGCCGCGCAATTGGCATCAGCCCCCTCTACTTGGGTGCATGTGACATCAGCATGCCATGCAATTGACATGAGCATCCAGTGCGACTGACTGACATCAACAGAGACGGTGCTACAATATGAAGTTGACCCACAGTTGACCCACAGATTGACCAGTGTTGACCCCCATGCAGCAGACACATTTACCTGGGAGGTGGGAGCAGATTAGCTGACATACAGCATGGGTTTTCCCATGAGCATTCAAACTCTGACTCAACTCACTGTTTTCTCTTTGTATTCTGATGTAACATTAACTATTTCTGATACCTATTTCACCTGTAAGGTTCTGGATATTCTAGCCGAGGCCGTTGATAGCTCGTTTTCTGATAAACTAGCAAAGCAAAGTCTGAACCAGCCAGGCTCGCTACACCCACATGCAGCCCCAGGTGTGATATTCACCCTCCCATCTTTCAGCAGCCGCAGAAACAATTCCTCCTCTCCCTGGAAGCTGTTTTTAGGTGTTATGAACTCCCGAAAGTCGCACCATAGAAACACTCCTGCGTTGCTTCCAGTCAAGCACGGCACACCCATTTGCAACATAGCTTCTTGTGCTGTAGACGAGGCATTTCTGAGCCTGCGCTGGTTCTCTAAGAGGTAGGCTTGTGTGAATGACGAGTCGCTCAATAGAGGGGCAAGGAGAGCTTGGATGTGGCGAGAGGGGGAGCAGAAGCGGGCAAGTTTGGTGACTGCTGATTGGACGGTGGGGTTGAGGGAGTAGCACCAATGCGGAACCCAGGAATACCCAAGTCCTGCAGGAATGAGAGTGGAAATAGATAGATTTGGAACATCTTGATTATTCACGCAAGGAACAACGATTTGAAGGGGTTCAGACATCTTGAAATTTTGTCAAATCGTTACGTTGCTCAACTAAAAAATGCCACCCACCTTGGAAGGCCCATAAACGATGTGCAGAAAGGGATAATCGGGAGGCTCAGCAAGGTGCAGAAGTGATGTGAACCCATCCCCGTTATAGACGGACCCAGCATAGATCTCGTCAGAAATCAGATGGATGCGGTTTTTCCTGCATTTGGCAGCTCAAGAGGGACAGAGGAGCGACGGAATGGGAACACTCTGTATTCTCAGGTTAACAAGCACGTACAACAGAATCAATATATATCATCAGGGTCAATCATCGGCAACTCAAACTTACCTGCAAAACTGCAGTACTCTGAGAAGAGTGGCATCGGAAAAGGTACGCCCCAGAGGGTTAGAAAGAGACGATAAGAACACACCACAAACCTTCCCCCTCTCCTCCTCTCCCCTTCCACTCTGCCCCCTTACCTGCAAAACTGCAGTACTGTGAGAAGAGTGGCATCGGAAAAGGTACGGCCCAGAGGGTTGGAAGGAGATGACAGTAGCACACCACGCACCTCCCCTCTCCTCCTCTCCTTCCTCCCTCCCCTCTCCTTGCTCCCTCCCTTCTCCTTCCTCACTCCCATTTCCTGCCTCCTCTCTGCCCTCTCATCCGCCTCCCCCGCTCCTCCCCCCAGACTCGGCTCCTCATCACCTCCCTCCCGCTGAGACTCCCTGAGAGCAGCTTCTAAGGAGGATGTGCTAATATCGAATCCAGTGTCGCTACAGGTGGCAGCAGGGATGATAGTCACACCCGCCTGTCGCTCGAGATCCACTGTGAAACTGTGAAATGAGAGGGGAAGAAAAGGGGCTGGTTGTGGGGGGGGGATCAAGTTTTGAGACATCTTAGATTGTGAAGTGACACCAGCCTGCCGCTCAAGATCCACTGTGAAACTGAAATAAGAGGGGAAGGGAGAGGGGTGGTTGTTGGGAGGATCAAGCTTTGAGACATCTTAGATTGCGAAGTGACACCGGCATGTCGTTCAAGATCCACTGTGAAACTGAAATACGAGGGGAAGGAAAGGGGGTGGTTGTCGTGGGCGGTTTTGAGTTGGCTAAGAAAAAAAACACTCGCGGTGGCAGCAGGGATGATAGTCACGCCGGCCTGTCACTCGAGATCCACTGTGAAACTGTCGAAGAGAAAGGAAAGGGGATGGTTGTGGTGAGTGGTCGGGTGAGGGGAAAGAGCGTCGGTAGGCAGAAACAGAGATTGGGGATGAGGGTGAGAGGGGAGAAGGAGAGTGAGTAAGAATGAGTAAGAATGAAGTCGGAGTGAGTGAGTGATTGAGTGAGTGAGAGGGAGTGGTGAGAGCGAGTGGAAGTAAGTGGTAAACGTTTGCCTTACTCGGTGGGGGACACAGCATAAAATGGAGTACAAGCAAGCCCGACCAACCAAGGGTAGTACCGTCATTAACCCTGGGGTAGAAACACGACTAACCTGGGGTAAACACACAAATAGCCCTAAGTAGAATCAAGGCTTACCCCGGGTAGAAAGGCGTTGGAACAATGAACGAATCGCCTGCGTCGGCCAACACATGGGTCAGCAATCCAACGGCTGCAGTGACTCCTGATGTGATCACCAGACGGTCAGGATCGATCTTGATTGGCTCGTGCAGATTGTGTGAGGAGGAGGGACCGTAGGAGAGATTGAGAGCATGTCTCATAAAAGTGGCCATTGCCTGAAATAAGACCACGGCAGTGTTGGGAAGTTGGAAGGGGAGAATGGAGGAGACAAAAAAGGAGAGCATGACGGACGATAGAGGAGAAGAAGGAGAAGAATGAGATTTTGTGTTAAGAAAAGCCGGCGACAGATGTTGATGCTGATGGCAGCGGCAATGGGAAACGAAAAGGAAAGAAAAAGACGAGGACAGAACAAACCAAAAACACAAACAAACAAACTCAGTGAAGTTGCCTGGCTGCTTATCTCCATGAAGGTGATTAATTACCTCACGGAAAGGGTTGTCTCCATGGAACTCCCCATAGGCTGACGTGGCATCAATGGCTGGCATCTCGCGCTGGAGGCGATCTGAGATGAGATCAAGCGAGTGCTGATTGGGCGAAACGGGAAGGATTTGGGGGAAGGGGTAATAATTGGTGGGGGGTTGGGAGAGGGAGGAGAGGGGAGGGAAGTGATGAAGTGAGGAAATTCTGAGGAGGGGATTACAGGACGAACCCTGAGAGGCGGATTGTCAGGCGGTTACCAGAGACAGATAGCGGCGAAATCTTGCGTTCAGATGCCACTCACTTTTTCACCGGCAAGACCAAGCTGAATGACACCGACGGTTCGCGGGTCACTGGTTACCACTCAAATGTTACCACTCGAATGTTACCACTCGCATGTTACCACTCGCATGTTACCACTCGCATGCTATCGCATTTTACTACTCACTTTGTTATCGGCAAGACCAAGTTGAATGACACCGTCGGGTCGCGTCCTCGCGTCAAACGGGTTTTCCCGTGCAAATGCCAGCCCTTGATAATACAGCGACGGCTCTTCAGCAGCTAGTTGCGCGCCGCGGCTGGAGAGCCTGTCTGTCTCATTACAATCACCCTCCGACATTGCTGCGAATCGGACGGATATATCTCCAGCAGCTACGTGCTTCTCGTGCCTAAACCGGCATGGAAACGAGGTTACAGGAGCCCTGCGAAATTTCGTGTTGAAGTGTTCTACTTTGGTATTGATACTCAGAAATTTCCTGCTTCCATTGGGTTCGCGGAATGCGGAACGGTAAGTTGCTCGCGCGAATATTAGGGCTGACATGTGACTAGTTTCGAGGTGACTAGGCTTCTCAAGAAAATTTTGGCGCGCTTTGTTCCAACGCATTCGTCAAGGCACGGCTTGGTAGGAGAACTCAACCTCGCCAAAAGCCTCTTAGATTACATTCCAAAACCTGCCGTATAAAACTTCAAAACCTACACAGCCTATCTAGGATAACTGGGTTATAAATACTCGGATAAACAGCGAGCTTTGGCACCGCAACTTATTCATAATATAATTAATATGGAACAAAATATTAATTTGTAATGTATTGAGTCAACCTACTTCTGAATGATGTCACCTATTGGTTCTTACATAAATATACGTTTCCAGGATTCATCTTTCATTTTTGTTAGGAATGAGCATATTCAGTCTGGTATGTTCAACTACCGAATTTCCCCTTCGGTAGTAGAATGTCAGAATCTAGTCTTGTAGCGCATATTCGCTGAATGTGCTCAAATGCGACTCGAATTGGGAATATTTGGGTCAGTGATTCGTTGTACAGTCAAGAAAGTGAACATTCGTTGGGTTTGCCTACGTGGAATGCCTTTCGCGATCTCTGGAAAAGTCCCAGCGGTTTTGTCGGCGCAAAACATCCTGTACGTCAGCAAAGTCACGTGGCATTGATCCAGACCAGAAGCTTGAGTTGTGGCGCGAACGACTTGGGCAATCTGAACCAGTAGTCGCATCGCATCTTGTTCCCTAAGGCCAGGAATCGTCGGCTTGGATCTTCACTCACGATGCCCTTCGACGACGGTGTTACCACGAGTTAACGACTTCACGATTCTCGTCACGTCGCTCCCCGATCTGCTGTCGGTTATTCCAACAGGGCCTTGGCTGCCATGATCTATGCCAAGAGGTTCAAAGATACCTAATCCTGGGGGTTCAAGAGGATCAACCTTTATTCCAGGTTGCGTTTCCCTCCGTTTCCCTGCGTTTTTCCGCGCTTTCCCCATAGCCTTCGTTAGAATCCTACGCCATCAGGTTTCGTTGAAAGCGACACCAGGCCCAGGTTTTCGCAAGTGTGCTTTTCCTCCACTGTGTCTGAGTATTCCTTTCTCAGTTCCACACCATTGATGCCATGATCGTCCTCGCAATGACCGATCTGGGTGCTGCTAGAGGAGCGGGGAACGCGGACTGGGAGCTCGAGGAGTTTCTCCGTCGAAGGGAGATCGACGGTACGCTGGCGGTGCTGCGCAGGCACGGTTGCGATCTTGCAGCGAAACGGCGCCGCCGGGGAGCACACGAAACGAAGTCAGCGGCGTTTGAGTCAAGTCGAACGCCAGATGCGGGGGAAATGGAGGTGATTTCAGAGAAGGGCTCTGCGACGCAGATCGCAGAGCTCAAAGAGTCGCCGTCAGCATCGTCGCTGTCGCCCAGCGACAGACTGTCAGGGTTGGAAGACGACGAATGGGACGATCGATGGACAGACACGGAGGACGGGTCCTCCAGTACCTTCTCTGACGGAATTGACGATGACGGATTCCGTCTGGAAGACTTGCCAGACGTCCAACCTCTGTCAGTTTGTTTCTCGAGCAGCACTGGGTGTCAAGGACTAAACAACAACTTCATCTTGCCTGGGCTTGAAACAGACGGCGCCATCGCAAAATCGCCACAATTCGCCACCCCGCCAGACCGCCTGACGAGTAGATCTGACAGGGAGCCTCCGACAGGAACGGATCTGTTGCCATGGCCACTCACTGCAGATCAGGCGGCGGCTGCTTGTATTGACATTGCTGATATAGGTACCAGGAGCACTGATCATAGAGGTCCGCTTCGGGAAGTTGACGTCGCATCGTGCGATATTTTCGACGACGGAAATGTCGCTGACGGTTCGTCTGTGACGGCCGCCGATCTCCAGGCGTTCCTCGAGCGGCTGCGAATTCCGGAAGCCGCCTTAGAGTCGCACGGCTGGCAGCATTTGATAACGCGTGCGACGCCTACGATGCAGTACTCGTCGCATGCCCGCGAATGTGCGATCGAGGGTTACCCGAAGAGCACGTGCTACCGCGGTCGCATGGTGGTCAACGGCGTGACGTTGGAAGCAGTGAGGGACTTTCTTCTCGACGACGAGTTCCGCGGGGAGTGGGACGAGAATCGGCTCGAATCGACGGTTCTGGAAGATTGGAACGAATCTGGGGTGTCCGTCGTTCGCTGGGTTCGCCGTCTCCCGTTTTTCCTCCGCAATCGCGAATACGTTGTTTCTCGGCGCGTCTGGTCCCTCGCTCCTCAATCCTCCCCTCAAACGTTCTTCTGTATTAACCGACACACGTCACACCCATCAGCTGTCTCTCGGCCTTCCCTGCTGCGCGTGCCGTACTTTTACTCCTCGTGGCAAATCCGGTATGTTTCGAGCGAAGAGCAAAGAGAGAAGCTGACGGGGCGAAAAGGCGGGCTGGAAGGAGAGTGGGGAGAGGCGGCGGGAAAGGAGGGCAAGGCGGAGAGGCAAAGGGGTAGGGCGGAGGGGCACGGGGGCGTGGCGGATGAGAATGGGCGGAAGCTGGGAGTGGAGATTGTGACGTACCACCAGGAGGAATCAGGGCTGCCGCGGGAACTGGCCAGGGTTGCTGTGGTGAGGGGCATGTGGGGTCACATGCTGAGAATTGAAGCTGCTCTGAGGAGTTACTGCCAGGCTCAGCGCAGTGTCAGGCAGACGTTGCCTCCGTACATGCTGACCATGAATGATCTATGAGGTTATAAAAAATTCGGGCTGGTCCAAGAATTAGGCGACAGACTGGCTCCTTGTCTGGAGGATTGATGACAGACAGTGACCTGCGTCCAAGCGGAAATGTGCACCCTGATTATAGATGGCTATCCGAGATTTGGAGTTACGGTAAATTGAGGGCGTTAGTTAGCTCCTAGTGACTAACATTTGGAATGAGCGCCTGGTGATTAGTACATGTACATATATCTAACATTCATATCTTGACACACCTCTTGTGTTGGCAAGAAATGTGTCCTCCACTTTGAGCGTTCCAGATGCCTCCAAATAAAAGCCAGCTGCGCATTTGAAACAATTCCACATTCGCTCTGGATCCACTCTTTTCAAATCAAACTTCAATTACTGCCGTCTTGGCCTTCCGTTTCCTGCTCCAGAATGCTAGCTTCAGAATGCTATGCAGATTACGGAAAGGGAAAAACAGGGAGGAGAAAAGGGGAGGACGACTGTAAACGCTAGTTTAGGATGTGTGGAGAGCGATTCAAAGAGATTTGTTAACGTTTAAAAAGTCCACTTCTCTTGGTGGTTTCACCTTTGAGTGACGTCATTTGTTGGGATCGTTTTGTACGCGGTACAGTAGTTGCCACTACAAGAAACGCCAACCAAAATGTGGAAAGTCCTTCTGCCAGAGTTTCCACCTTGAAAACGCCGTGCTGAGATTATCCCGGCACTTCCAAGGTGCTGCTTTGCCGAAGCAGTCTGGTTGGTCGGCATAACGGCGCTCGACGCTCATCATCCATGTGATGATGTGCATGAGTGAATCTTGAAATTGGTCAGTACCCAATAACGAAAATGCCCGGCATAAGTTTGGGCTCGTCAAGCCCGCGTGTGGCGCTTCCGCTGATCCTGGTCTTACTTTGTGTTGCTGGCGGAAGAACCACGTCGGAGGAGCATAACAGAAGGAGCTTAGGTGGTGTAGGGCTCGAGCATGCCATGTCACTCTATCGAGTAAGCTACACGCACTTGCAGTAACGCGAATGTGTAGTAACCTATGTCGACACGCGTACTTTCATAACTCTCCGCGTTGCGTCGTTTCCTTCCAAGGAGGTGGCGACGAACCCTCCCAGCGTCTTTATCCCCAAGAATTATCTAAATCCGTTCCTTGCGTCAACCTTGATATTCGTCCCTTACCTAAACTACAAACATGTCGCAAATTCCTCCTTTTGACTCCGAAAAGGTAACTGTTTCTTCTCACCGTTCTTCTGGCGTAACTCACTCCTCAGATTTTCCTAGTCTTCGGTTCTCACCTTTCTTCGTCTCTCACCTTTTTCCCCACTACCTCTCCTCCCACCGACCTTCCACCCGCTAATCCGCCAGAGCTGGGAGAAGGCGTACGGACTCGACCCCGACTCCGTCTCCCCTCCGGAAAAGTTTGAGCTGCCCGCGAATCTCCCGCCAGCTCCGCACCTGGAGGACTGCTCCGCGCGCACAGCCTTCCGCCTCTCCGCGGAGCAGAGGGGACCGGACGGGTCTGCGCCTAACTGGACCCGCCCCTCCAACTGCTGCAGCTGCAACCCGCAACCCCCCTGGGTATGTTCATGAATGGATTATTGAATGAACTCGGAAGTCTCAAGTCATCTTTTGCCTCTCCGCGGAACAAAGGAGGTTTGATGGGTCTGCGCCTAACTGGACCCGCCCCTCCAACTGCTGGATTCTTGAATGAACTCAGACGTTTCAAGCCACCTTCCCCCCTGGGTATGTTCGTGGATGGATTCTTGAATGAACTCGGAAGTCTCAAGTCATCTTCCTCCTTTTCACACCGCAATTGGGGACCTGGCCTGGCTGGTCTGTGCCTGACTGCATTGCACCGCCCCCCCAACTGCTGCAGCTGCAACCCGCAACCAACGCGATGCGACCCTCTGCCCTTTCACAGAGCAGATTCGGGACTGGATGATTTCGTGTATGAAGAGGTGTTTTGAGACGTCTCAAAACAATGAAATGCGACCCTCTGCCCTTTCACAGATATGTTGGGGATTCGGGAGTCGGGACTTGGGACTGGATGATTATAATCCTCCATTCGCCCAAAACGCAAGTCTGGGCACACCCATGCATTTTCCACAATCCCCTTCAGTACCCTCAAACTCCCCTCCTCCCCCCCCCCCCACCATTTCCTCCCGTGTCACTCCCGATTTCCCCCCTTTTTCCCTTGTATTCCCTCCCCCTATTCACAGGTCCGTGGGGACGATCTGGCCAATCTCGCGCTGACACGTGTCGTGCAGAGAGACATGTGGGAGAGCCAGTTCCCTGCCACGTGTAAGGGCAGGCGAATCCTGCTGGCGGAATGGGTGGATGGACCGATACCAGGTTCAACCCAGGCACCAGCAGCAGGAGGAGGAGCAGCAGCGGGAGCAGCGGATTCTGGGGCATTTGGCATGGGCACGCAGATTCAAGTCATGTCCGCGTTTCTGAGCATTGCTGTGCGGCATAACCGCACACTGGTGGTGGCGCCAGGCAGTTACTCAAGAGCCAACAACTCCGCATGTCAAGGTATACGCGTGCTGGGAAATCATACTGTGGTGGTGGTGTCTTGTCTCCCATTTTTAGCGTTGCTGTGCGGCATAACCGCACGCTGGTGGTGGCGCCAGGGACGTATTCCAGAGCCAACAACTCGGCGTGCCAAGGTATGCACTTGCTGCATACTCTGGTAGTGGTGATGCTGGGGAGTTCAACGAGTGCCTGTCTTGGCTCACCTTCTGAGCATTGCTGTGCGGCATAACCGCACGCTCGTGGTGGCGCCAGGGACTTATTCAAGAGCCAACAACTCGGCGTGCCAAGGTATGCGCGTGAGGCATGATCATAGCCTGGTGGTAATGGTGCTGGAGCCTGGAACGTATTTCAAGTGCCAGTCTTGTCTGCGTTTCTCAGCATCGCTGTGATGTGAGGCATAGCCGTATACTAATCCGTCTGTTGTAGCAGCTGTAGCGAAAGCGCCGCAAACCCCATACCCTCTTTGCCCCAATTTCCTCGCTCTTACTTTCAGCCACGGGTCAAATGGGCGCCTGGGAATGCTACTTCTGCCCGATTTCCTCCCAGGAGGGTGTGGACGAGGCTGTCGCAGCTGTAGCATCTGTGGATTGGGCGTACCAGTCAATATTCTTGCCTCTTCCATGTCCCCCCTCACCTTCTTTTCAGCCACAGGTCACATGGGCGCCTGGGAGTGTTACTTCTTCCCAATCTCCTCACAGGAGTGTGTCGACAAGGCTGTCGCACCTGTGCTAAAGGCGCCTCAATTGAAATAACTACCTTCGTCTTACCCGATCCCCGTCCCCTCATACTTTCAGCCACAGGTCACATGGGCGCCTGGGAATGCTGCTTCTTCCCAATCTCCTCCCAAGAGTGTGTCGACAAGGCTGTAGCAGCTGTGGTTGAAGTCACTCAGCCGAAACCCCATACCCACCACTTCCTCCCCATTCCCTCGCTCTTATTATCAGCCGCAGGTCACATGGGCGCCTGGGAGTGTTACTGCTTCCCAATCTCCTCCCAGGAGTGTGTGGACGCGGCCATAGCAGCGGTGGTTGAATTGCCTCTACTGAATTCTGTACCCTCCCGTCGCACCTGATCCTCCTCCCACATTATTATCAGCCGCAGGTCACATGGGCGCCTGGGAGTGTTACTTCTTCCCAATCTCCTCCCAGGAGTGTGTGGACGATTCTGTAGCAGCTGTAGCAGCCAACCAAGCTGCTTCGGCTAACGGACCTGACATGGAGGCTCGGCTGGCCTCGTCGGACCTGGTCGTCAGGTTCGCCGATGCAAGGCATTTTGAAGACATGGATGGGGCCAAGTAAGTAAGCCCTCTGTTGTGGTGTACAACTGTTTTTCCTGTTCTAAGGTCCCTCCCCCTCCTCTCCCCCCCTTCCCCCCCCCGCCCTCCTCTCTTTTTTATTTTTATACACAAAAGTTATTTTCAAAATGGACCAATTGTCGTACCAAAGCGTTCATCAGGCACACAATAAAAGATTGGCAGTGATGGGGCACACCGCGGAGGGACCGATCATCAACCATGGAGGTGCAGTGCAGGGGATTCTGGAAGAATTACCCGTGGCTTGCATACTGTGTGTGTGCGAAGAGCTTTGTGTTAATGCTCTTCCATTCCCCCACTCGTCACTCCGCACTCTCCCTCCTCATGCGGTGGGGCACGCCGTGGAGGGACCGACCATCCACCGTGGAGGTGCAGGGGGTGCTGGAAGTGTGTGGCTTGCATGCTACGTGTGAGTTACTTTGCGTCGTCGTATGCTCTTCCACTCTCCCTGTCTTTGTTCTTCACTCTCCCTCCCCCCTCAGGCGATGGGGCACGCCGTGGAGGGACCGACCCTCCACAGTGGAGGTGCAGGGGTTGCTGGAAGAGGCGGATGAGAAGTCCATGCAGGTGAGCCTAGTATGATGAAGTGCAGAAAGTAGCACCATGCTCATTACCGTGGAGGTGCAGTGCAGGGGATGCTGGAAGAGACGGATGAGAGGACGATGCAGGTGAGGCAGTTGATAGATGTGTTGATTCTAGGGTGCGGCCCAATCCAGAGTGGGTGTAATGTAAGCCACTAAAACTGCAGCTCATTACACCAATGCCCACATTAGCACCAGCAGCATCCACAGTGGAGGTGCAGGGGGTGCTGGAAGAGGCGGATGAGAGGACCTTGCAGGTGAGACACATGAAGTGATGGTAGAAGAGTATAGGTCACTGCATTCACGCACTTACCATGTTGAACACTCGGCCTTACCTTACCCTTTCAAACTGCCCCTCCAATTTCTTCCTCTTCCCCTTCCCATCCCCGACCTCCTCCTTTCTCCCTCCTTGATTTCATCCACTTTGCTGACTCAGCATCGGTGGTGGCACGCCCAGTCAGCACGCTTCCTCCTCCGCTGGCCATCCGCACACCTCTGCCACGTCATCAACCGCATCCGCCACGTCAGCTATGGCCTGCGAGTGGCCGTGCACATATCTGACATCAGCACAGAAGAATCTTCCATTGTCCAATCCCTAGAAAAGGGCACCAGCCTATCAGGGAAGGGCATTCCAGATTTCAACATGACCAAAGAAGCAGAGTTTCTTAAGGGTATCAACTTTGCTCCGCCGAACCTGGAGACTGACGTCTGGCCCGGGGAAGGCTTTGCAGGGTGTTTGGTTCGGGACACGGACGACGAAAAGCCGGCCACTCTAGACAAAACCTATAAAGGCGTCGGCGGGGAGGTGTTTATTTTCCGACCAATCGTGAGCGTGCATGTGGCGCATGGAGATGCTGTGTTGGAGGGAGGGGGGGCCCAGGGAGGAAGTTTCCTGGGAGGGGGGTCTCGAGTAAAGCTGTCTCTAGGAGTGTACATGTATTTCGCGTATCAGCTGCAGCTACATGTTCCGACCATCAACCATGCTTGGTTAAGCACAGATGCACAGGTGAGAGGCCTGATCTTCTGGTCTCTCTCAATGCTTCCTTGCTTTGTACGTCACTTGCTTTTTGTTTTGTTTCGCTTTGGTTTGTGTTGATCTCATACCGCCCCCCATTTTCCTCATCGTCATGTGCATTTCTCAACTTTGTGTTACATTACCGTGTGTTGTGTTGCGTCCAGTCGACACTAGAGGAGGCTAAGCAACTGCGTGACTGGAGCTTCTTATTTTCAGAGCACCCATCACAGCAGGCAGCGCAGGCTGGTGGTGTGGCAGCTGAAAATGGTGATGGGATCGGTGACCTTTCAGCAAATGATAAGACGGTTGCAGCAAAATTCGCAAATCTGCTTATCGCAGCTGAGTGCGACTATTTTGTAGGAATGCTTGGTTCGAATTGGAACCGGCTTATTGATGGTTTGCGCAGCACAAATGGCAGGCTTTTCTCAGGATATATGGCCTTAAGCTTATGAATGCTACAAGTTATTGCACCATTTTCTTTTGTATCCCTTTGAGATGCTTCAAAGCAAAAGAACTGGAGATTGCTTAGTGCAAATAAAACGATAATGCATATTTGACGGCCATTTTGTGAGATGTGGATGCTGACTATGTCCGGAGGTCGTAGAGGGAGCTCATATCGAGAATTTCGTCAATCACCCAGCCACCGAGTCACCACCGACCTCTAATGCGGTTCCCTCAAGTTTCCCGTTTGGCGGTTCCCAAAATTTGACGGCCAAGCGACTCGCGGCAAGTAACGACAAGTTTCCGGTCGCACGACAATGACTTCCGCCAGCCCCTTTCCTGGACCGACCCGACACCTTTCACCCCCTCCATCCCAAAACTCAGTGGGCGGGGCAGTGGCTCCTTCCCGCCAAGCCAGCTCTCTCCCCGCGCCGAGACACCTCCGCGACACCTCTTCCGCCAACGCGTGCCCTTCCCCCGATCCACCCAAACCAAATTCGTACGTCACATCCCTAACCAAACCCAACCTCTTCCAATCTGACTTGCTCACCGAATAAACAATCATTCAACCATTTTTTAAACTATCAAACCCTCCTATTTCACCCTTTGACTTCAACTTGAAACTGAACTGTTCTTCGGGCACACCGCGCTCCAGTAACCTCGTGACGGCAATTTCGAGGCAGCGGAACTTCCACCATCACCACGGGGGGAATCTGATGCTTTGACTGGAGCACAAGCAGTTGTAGAGGAAACTAGCAGAACGTGAGGGAGGGTATGCATGCTTGCTGTGCCTGAAACCGTGTTCTCGATTTCAACAGTTTCGTTTCGAATCCCTCAAAGGTCCATGGCGATGGATTAGCAGAGCGACCCTGGCATTGCAGTGCATTTCTAGGTTTTAGTCCGCCAGCTGAGCTTCAATCTTCAGTTTCCGTATTTTTGTCCGCTGTCAGCTGCCATTTCGTGAGAGTCGCTGAATTGATATCACCTAGTAATGCTCAATCGGTCAAACTACTATTAGTGTCTTCAAGTCGTCAAACGCCAAGCAACTGAGCTTTAAAGCTGCTCTTTATTCGCAGTATCTTGCCTTTGTCTGTTGTAATTCTCAACAAAGCGCACATATTTCTTTCGACATCCGCGATAGATTCGAACCGCCCCCATGACCTCGAGCTCGTTGCGTCATTACACAGGAAGATGACAGCACAGATGAGCTGCTCCTTGGAGTGGCGAATGCGCAAGCAGCAGAGCAAGCTAGGGTTGCCGGTAGACGAGCCGGAGCAGCAGCAGGAGAAGTTAGGCTGGCCGTTAGATAAGCCGGAGCAGCAGCACAGGAAGTTAGGGTGGCCGGTAGATAAGCCGGAGCAGGAGCAGGGGGTGTTAGGGTGGTCTGTAGATAAGTGGGTGGAGGAACAGGGACAACGGCGCCCACAGCATCGTCACAATATTTATAACAATAGGAATGCGCATTTTGATGAGAGAGAAACGGGTATTAATGACAGGCAGGGGGGGCATGATACTGATGCTGGGGAATCAGGTATTTATGAAAGGCAGGAGGAGCCTGCGACGACGAGGATGCGACGACAGCCGTCGCACGCTGCACATAAAACGCCGTCGCAACTGGAATCGCCGTCGTCATGTCGCATGCCATGGCGACATTCTTCGAAGTCACGATTTGATGTGGCGCATGCAGCAAGGTCAATTTCCCTACCGAAGCTTTGGTCAACCTCCGTTAAAAGAACGTCAGTTTTCGTCCTTCTCCGTTTCCTTCTGATTATCTTTACGTTCCAGTCTTCTCTCGCTTCGACAGATGCGGCTGACGCAAGCAGCAGCTTCTTCCACGTAGGCAGCACCGCAAATCTAGTCAGCAACGGCGTCATCCGTGTAGATAGCAGCCGAGTAGAGGGCCACGTGGAATTAGCAGGAGACGAGAGAGCAGCAGCGAAGGAGGATGGAGCGGAATTAGAACGAGCAGCGGCGGTCAGATGGCGGGCGGAGAGGCAGTTGATGATTGCGTCGAGAGCAGCGGCAGCAGGGGGGTGGGTGGGGGCACTGGAAAGGCCGAGAGCTGTAGGGAACGCGAGTGTCTCAGGTTCGGCTCAACAGTCGCTAGGACAACCGAGAATAGCAGGGAACGTGGGTGCCAACGTGGCAGGGAACGTGGCCGGGAACGTGCGTGCTGCTGCGTTGAGGAGCAGGAAGCTGGCGGCCGCAAAGTTGCCGTCACAGAAAGGTCAGCAGAAAGGGTGGAGTGGCGCGTTTGTTTCTCTAGACATTCAAGAAAAAAGAAAAAGGAAAAAAACACCCTGCAGTGTCAGCAGAAATGGTGGAGTGAGTGATGCGACGTTGTAGCTTGATGACTTTAGAGTGTCAGGATTGGTCTCTGAGAGGGTTATTTTCTGCGAGTCGACTCAAAAAGAACGTGGGCCCTGTTGTTTTGAGGAGCAGGAGGTTGGCAGCCGCACAGCTGCCGCCGCCACAGAAATGTCAGCAAAAAGGACTGGCGCGACGGTACTGCCACAGCCTGGTTGGGGTTTGTTTCTCTGTCCTGAAACAGCAAGAGTTGATGGAAATAAGGCCTCCGCAGCCCACCTGTTCACTTTCGACAGCTGCCGCACAGCTGCCGCCGCCACAGAAATGTCAGCAAAAAGGACTGGCGCGACCCACAGCGGTACCGCCACCCACAGCCCCTCTCACTCTAACCGTATTTGCTTACCTCCATCCCACCCGCACCAGGCTTCGTGAGCATAGACTGCGGCTACATGGGTTCCGCTGGCGCCAGCAATCTCGGTCTCAAGTGGTTACCAGACACGGCAGCGCCGGGCGGCAGTGTGGCGGTGATCACCCGCGTGCCGGACAGCCTGGTGGGGGTGGTCACGGTGGAGCAGACGCTGAGGGTGTTTGACGATGGGAAGCCCTCCAACTGCTACCAGATTCCCCTGGTTGCCCCAGGTGAGCTTATTGGTAACCAGAGTGCACAAACGAATGAGCAGGATCAGGTAAGCACATATGAGTGTGACAGTGACAACCTGGCAGGGGTGGTGACGGTGGAGCAGAAGCTGAGGGTGTTTGACGATGGGAAGCCGTCCAACTGCTACCGCATCCCTTTGGTCGCTCCAGGTAAGCTGGTTGCCCCAGGTAAGCTGAGTGCAGGAGGTGAAGCAAACAAGCGAGGCGAGAGAGTGAGCACATGTGAGTGGGTGGGACGGACCACCTGGTGGGACGCGTGCCGGACAACCAGGTGGGGGTGGTGACGGTGGAGTGGAGCAGACGCTGAGAGTGTTTGACGATGGGAAGCCGTCCAACTGCTACCGCATCCCTTTGGTTACCCCAGGTAAGCTGACTGACTGCCGGTACCTGGTGCCCCTCACGTTCTGATGCCCCCCACTCACTCACTTATGCCCCTCCCTCCCCCCTCCACGCATGCAGGCCGCTACCTGGTGCGTCTCACCTTCTGGTACGGCAACTACGATGGCAAGAACATGCCGCCCATTTTCAACGTCACAGTCGGCACTGCATCCCTGTAAGCTACCCCTCCTCTCACTCCCCCCTCCCCCTCCTCCCTCTTCCCTGCCTCGTGCGCGTGCTGGCCCATCCCATCATCAACGCCACTGAAGTCCGCCCCCTCCCCCTCCCTCTCTCCCTGCTCCTGACCTGCTGCTGCTGAACCCTCCCTTCTTCTTCTGCCCTCTACTCCGTTTCTTTCTTCTCCTCCGGGGCCCCCCCACCCACCCCTCCAACTCCCCTCCCCCCTCTTCCCTTCCTCCCCTCCCCCACCCTACAGAGGCCAGTACACGCCCTCTAACGACCAGATTCTTGTACTGGAGGTGATAGTAACGGTGCCAGTGCGCACCATGGCCATCTGCCTCGCTTCCACCGCCCCCCCCGCCCCCAACACCCCCCACCCCTCCCCCCCACCCAACAGAGGCCAATACACGCCGTCTAACGACCAGATTCTTGTACTGGAGGTGATAGTAACGGTGCCAGCGCGCACCATGGCCACCTGCCTCGTGCACGTGTCGGCTGACCCCATCATCAACGCCATCGAAGTCCGCCCGCTCCCTGCCCCCCTCCCTCCCTGCTACCAGCTGCCTTTTGAGTTGACTCAAAAGTCAACTGACCCCATCATCAACGCCCCCTTCCTCCCCTCCCGCCCCCCTCCCTCCCATCCCTCCCCACCCCTCAGGGGCCAGTACACACCGTCTAACGACCAGATTCTTGTGCTGGAGGTGATAGTAACGGTGCCAGCGCGCACCATGGCCACCTGCCTCGTGCACGTGTGGGCTGACCCCATCATCAACGCCATCGAAGTCCGCCGCTCCCTGCCCCCCTCCCTCCCTGCTACCAGCTGCCTTTTGAGTTGACTCAAAAGTCAACTGACCCCATCATCAACGCCCCCTTCCTCCCCTCCCGCCTCCCTCCCTCCCATCCCTCCCCACCCCTCAGGGGCCAGTACACGCCGTCTAACGACCAGATTCTTGTACTGGAGGTGATAGTAACGGTGCCAGCGCGCACCATGCCCATCTGCCTCGTGCGCGTCTCGGCCGACCCCATCATCAACGCCATTGAAGTCCGCCCGCTCCCCGCCGGTGCTTACAACGGGAGTGACTATAGCGAGCAGGTGCTGCTCAACTACTGGAGGCTGTCCTGTGCTGGCGACTCGTGGCTTGTCGGTTCCTACCGGTAAGGCTTGGTGCGTTAGGGCTGATATGACTACCATTCCGTGCCGCTCTGTGCCGGTAAGACTCGTGTTGGTACCACTGAATGCTGGCATGAATCAGTGAATGCCAGTGTGGTGCTGCTGTGGCATGCAGGCAGGCATGCCTTTCTCCTCCCCTCCCCGCCCTTTCCACAGCATGCCACACTGGCACGACCCATCAGTACTTTTGAGACGTCTCAAAACTCCCCTCCCCACAGGCACGCCTTTCTCCTCCCCTCCCCGCCCTTTCCACAGCATGCCGCACTGGCACGACTCTTTCCATCAAGACCTGGCATGCAACCAACCTTTGAGACGTCTCAAAAGACTTTTTTTGAGACGTCTCAAAAGACTTTTTTTGAGACGTCTCAAAAGTCCACAGCATGCCACACTGGCACGACTCTTTCCATCAACACCTGGCATGCAACCAACCAACCTACACCACACCTGCATTCCCTTCCATACCCACCCACCCCTCCCCCACCCTTTTGACACTCCCCCAGGCCCAGCTACCCTGGTGATCTCTTGTAGCATAGAAAAGCAGGGTGGGGGAGGGGTCGGCCGGTGGCCCACGTGAGGTGAGGGTGTTTTTGAGACGTCTCAAAAACACCCTCACCTCAGGTGGGGGAGGGGTCGGCCGGTGGCCCACCCCTCCCCCACCCTTTTGACACTCCCCCAGGCCCAGCTACCCTGGTGATCCTTTCGACCCTTCTGATACGCCGACACGCCTCTCTTTGGCAGGCGGCCCTGCTCCCCGCATCTACACCTACATCCACTCAATCCTCTCCCTTCCCTCACCACCCTCACCACCCTCGCCACCCTCGCCACCCTCGCCACCCTCCCCGTTTTCACATTCTCAGCTACCCAGATGACCCTTTGGAACGCGTGTCGTAGGTACGCAGACATGCCTCTATTTGGCGACCCTGCTCCCGGCACCTACACCTACACCCCCTCAGCCATCTTACCAAACCTTTCCTCCCCTCCCCCCCACCCCACCCGTTTTTCCCCCTTCCCTTCCCAGGTACCCTGATGACCCGTTGGATCGCGTGTGGTACGCAGACATGCCTCTCTTTGGCGACCCTGCTCCCGGCACCTACACCTACATAGCCGCCTTACCAAACCAATCCTCCTCCTCCCCCCTCTCCTCCCCCCCTTTCTCCCCCTCCGCTTCTCGGCCTCTCACACTCCCAGGTATCCAGATGACCCGTTGGATCGCGTGTGGTACGCAGACATGCCTCTCTTTGGCGACCCTGCTCCCGGCACCTACACCTACATCCCCTCAGCCGCCTCGGTTGCTGTTACCAGCAGCAATGTGGCCATCCCTGCCAGCATGAGCAGCAACCCTCTTTTCCATCCCCCTCCCCTCTCCCCTTTCCCCCTCTTCTCCCCTCCCCCCCCTCCTTCTCCCCCTTCCCTTCTCTCTGTCCCTCACTCCCAGGTATCCCGACGATCCGTTGGATCGAGTCTGGTACGCGGACATGCCTCTCTTTGGCGACCCCGCGCCCGGCACCTACACCTACATCCCCTCAGCCGCCTCTGTGGCCGTCACCAGTAGCAATGTGGCCATCCCTGGCAGCATGAGCAGCAATGCCGTGCCTCAGTTTGTGGTGCAGAAGGCCAGGACGACTAAGGGCCCTCAGGGGCTGACTTACCGCTTCTATGGGCTGGCTCCGGGGAAATACCAGGTGGGTCTTGGTGGGTGTTTTGAGACGTCTCAAAACATCTCTGTTTACACGGGGCTGACTTACCGCTTCTATGGGCTGGCCCCCTGAAAGTACCAGGTGGGTCTTGGTGGGTGCACTGTTTCAGTGGTTCTGAGTGATTCTGAGTGGTTCTGAGTGATTTGGGCTCGCCTCTCCTCCGCAACGCCCCCACCCTGCCCTCCACTTCCAACTGGCAGTGAAATATCAACACCACCAGCAGCTCTGTGATAAAAGTTGGGTTCTGAGACGTCTCAAAACCCAACTTTTATCAACTGACAATGGAATATCAACACCCCCAGCAACTCTTTTTGGGGATTCTCAAAATTCGCTTAATGGCTCGCGCCTCTCCTCTGCAACGCCCCCACCCTGCCCTCCCCTTCCAACGGGCAGTGGAATATCAACACCGCCAGCAGCTCTTTTTGAGAATTCTAAAAAATCGCTCATTGGCTCGCCTCTCCTCTGCAGCGTCCCCACCCTCCACTCCACTTCCTACTGACAGTGGAGTACCAACATCGCCAGCAGTTCAGGTGTTCATTCTCGTATTTCTTTCCCCTCCTCTCTTTCTCTCCCCGCCACCCACCTGCTCCCCTTACCAGTTCAGGCCTACCTCTATTTTACCGACATCATTGCTCCGACTGACGCCACTAGCACCAGCATTCCATCAGCCGACCTCCTCCTGGCCATCCTGATCAACGGCGCGCCTCTCCTGCGCAACGCCCCCGCCCTGCCCTCCACTCCCAACGGGCAGTGGAATATTAACACCGCCTGCAGCTTAAACGTTCATACTCGTATTTCTTTCCCCTACTCTCTTTCCCTCCCACCCGCCCACTTGCTCCCCCCACCCACCACGTCAGGCATACCTCTATTTCACTGACATAATTCCGCCTACAGCCAATGTCAACACCACCGCCAACACCACTAGCACCCCATCAGCAGACCTCCTCCTGGCCATCCTGATCAACGGCGCGCCTCTCCTGCGCAACGCCCCCGCCCTGCCCTCTGCCGCTAACCGCCAGTGGAACAAAAACACTGCCGGGCAGCTCAGCTTCGCTTTCGACGTCGTTGGGGCAGCTGGAGGGGCAGGTGGAAACGCGACGGCGAAAGCGCAAGGGGCCGGGCAAGGGAACGGGCAGCAGCAGGCGCCGCAGGGAACGGTGGCGGAAACGAGCATACAGCTAAAGGCAGAGGAAGGGAGTAGGGTGAAGGAGGTGGGGTTGGCTGGGCTCGAGCTGTATACTGTGGTGGAGCCAAAGGCTGCTGTGCCGAAAGAGCAAGGTGAGGTGCTCACTACTGCGGGTTTAGGTGATAATCCTTGTGTTGTGTGCGGTGTCTTTTGAGGAAGTGAAGGAGGTGGGGTTGGCTGGGCTCGAGCTGTACACCGTGGTGGAGCCAAAGGCTGCTGTGGTGAAAGAGCAAGGTGCGCTGTGTTTTTGTGAAAACATTAGACTTTATGGAAGTGACGCAACAAGTATAGGGCGTGTTCGCGCTGTGTCTGTTGAAGATCCACCCAAGTATAGGACGTGACACAACAAGTATAGGACGTGTTCGCGCTGTGTCTGTTGAAGATCCACCCAACAAGTATAGGACGTGACACAACCAGTATAGGACGTGTTCGCGCTGTGTCTGTTGAAGATCCACCCAACAAGTATAGGACGTGACACAACCAGTATAGGACGTGTTCGCGCTGTGTCTGTTGAAGATCCACCCAACAAGTATAGGACGTGACGCAACAAGTATAGGACGTGTTCGCGCTGTGTCTGTTGAAGATCCACCCAACAAGTATAGGACGTGACGCAACAAGTATAGGACGTGTTCACGCTGTGTCTGTTGAAGATCCACCCAACAAGTATAGGACGTGACACAACCAGTATAGGACGTGTTCGCGCTGTGTCTGTTGAAGATCCACCCAACAAGTATAGGACGTGACACAACCAGTATAGGACGTGTTCGCGCTGTGTCTGTTGAAGATCCACCCAACAAGTATAGGACGTGACACAACCAGTATAGGACGTGTTCGCGCTGTGTCTGTTGAAGATCCACCCAACAAGTATAGGACGTGACGCAACAAGTATAGGACGTGTTCGCGCTGTGTCTGTTGAAGATCCATATTGTTCGCTTGCTTGTGTCGTGCTACTGACTGATCCGCTGAGTCATGTTGTTGATGTGGTGAGTCAATCGTGATGTTGATGTGTTGAGTTGTGTTGTTGCCAAGTCAAGGTGACATGCGGAACAATTGATGCTTGGTTTGTGCCGCGCTCTGAGTCATGCTGTTGATGTGCTGAGTCATGCTGCTGACGTGCTGAGTCATGCTGTTGACATTCCGAGTCATGCTGTTGACGTACTGAGTCATGCTGTTGATTTGCTGAATCATGAAGTTCACCTGCTGGTTCATACAGTTGACCTGCTGTGAAGCTTCACCTGCATCAGTCAGTAGATCAACAATATGAATCAACAGGTCAACAGAATGGTTTAGCTAGCAGATCCACATCATACCTCAGCACGTCAACAGCACGTCCCAGTTCCAAATTCTAGCTACAATTGTTTTTTCAATCGACTCTGTTTTTGAGTCGCCTTAAAAGCTGAACCACAACATGCCTCAGCACATCAACAGCACAATCCCACTTCCCAATTCCAGCTACAGTTGCATGCTGTAGTGCTATAACCATTTCCCTTCCCACTTCCCTCTTCTCATTTCTTCTCCTCTCTCTACCACTCTCTACCCGTTTTCACTCCACCCCTCTCAGTTAGCGCCCTGGCGTGCATCAAAGCACAGATGGGCGTGGCAGCAGCGTTGGATGGCTGGACTGGCGACCCCTGCTACCCCATTGTGTGGCCGGGGGTCACTTGCAAGACCTCCCGCCTGCACTCTTCCGTCATCGGCCTGTGAGTGGTTAGATCTTCATTGTCAAAGCTGGTCGTTAACGGTTTTCATGGTTCTAATCTGGTGCATGCATGCGTGTGTGCCGTTGCTTTTTGCTTTCCTTCTCTCTCCTTCTCTCTTTAATCTCACTGTCTCTCTTCTGTGTGCCACCTGTCCTCTCCTCCATGCGCCATGTGTCACTCCACCTACCAGAAACCTTACCCACCTCAACATCTCCGGTCCTTTCTCAGCCTGCATTTCAGAGCTCGCCACACTCCAGACTCTGTAAGCTTCTCACCTTTCAACCTTCCATCCTCCTCGCCCACTCCCCTCGCCCCTTCCCCCCATCCCTTCCCCCCGTTTGGTCGCCCCTCTTTATTCCCCCCTCTTTATCGGCCTCTCAGTATCATCCTCGAGGCTCCATTCCCTGCCTCCTCCCGTTTTTCCTCAGTCCCTCTGTTCCTCCCCCCCATTCTCTCCCTTGGTCCCCCTTTTCCTTCCCCCTCTCTCCCGCCCTCTCTCCACATGTCAACCGGATGGATCAAGGCTCCATCCCCTCGTCTATTGGAAACCTCACCTCGTTCCCCCCCCCTCTCCCCCTCCTCCTCCCCCCTTCCTCCCTTCTTCGCCACGTGGCAGCTGGATGGATCACAACCAGCTTCAAGGCTCCATCCCCTCGTCTATTGGAAACCTCACCCAGCTACGATCCATGTACGTTTCAAGAAGCGAACATAGAGCTATTCTAACTTCTAAGTATTGAGGTGACTCAACAATCCATCCTCCCGTCGACTGGAAACCCCACCCAGCTACGATCCAGTTATAGAGCATAGCATGTACGTCCTATAGAGCATTCCAATTATAGAGCATAGCAGTGTGGGCTATGTATGTCTTTCTCTCCCATCACCTTTCTCCCCTCCTCGCCCCGCCGCCCTCTTCCCCCACCCCTTGTGTCAACCAGCAAGCTCAACAACAATAAGCTATCAACCGCCTCGCTTGGTGTTCTGCATTTGACGCCCCTCTCCCTTCACTGCTTTTCCTCCCTCCCCCCACCCCACCCGCCTCCCCCTGCAATGCTGTGCCAACCAGCAAGCTGAACAACAACAAGCTATCAGGGCCTGTCCCCGCCTCGCTTGCTTCTCTGCCCAACCTGCAGTACCTGTGAGTGCCCTCCTGCTCTCTTGCTCTCGCGCTCTCACTCTCTCGCTCCCTATATCGAGGCGCCTCAAAAACAATCCCCACCTCCCTTGCTGCTCTGCCCAACCTGCAGTACCTGTGAGTGCTCCCGTGCTCTCTTGCTCCCTTGCTCTCCTGCCCTCTTGCCCCATCCCACTGGCCCATCCTTCCATTACCCTCCCAGCAAACCCTTTCGCTCGTCTGTTTTCGGCCCCCACCCACCCACCTATTTTCTCCAACAATCCCTCACTATGTCTCTGTTTCTGCACCATCTGATGTGTTTCCGTGCCTCGCGCCCCCGTTTCTCCCCATTCAACTGCAGCGACCTGAGCTCCAACAATCTCTCCGGTCCCTTTCCCTTCAACATCTCAAGCAACGTGGAGATCAGGTTTGTCTTTAACACACTCCAACCAAGTCACTGCCCAACCACACAACCCGAAGGCCTGTTCGGTTCGTCCGAACATGTTCGTGACCACACCGAACATGTTTGGTGTTCGCCCGGTGAACATGTCTAACACACTCCAACCAAGTCACTGCCCAACCACACAATCCCCAGTGCTCCTCTGCTCCCCAAACTCGTCGTCCTTCAACCTCCCTCAAAAATCCCCCCCTCCTTCCTCCGCACAACATCCCCAAACCCTCTGTCTTCTCGTCCCCTCCCTGCTTCCGTTTCTGCCCCTTGCAACTTCTCCCACAGTATCTCCGGAAACATTAATCTCTGCTCCCCAAACTCCTCCTTCGGCCTCCCTCCCCTCCTCTCCCCCCTCACAACATCCTCAACCCGCTGTTTCCTTCACTGCTTCTCATATCCCTCTACCCCCTTCCCCCTTCCACTGCAGTATCTCCGGCAACCTCAATCTCTGCTCCCCAAACTCCTCCTTCGGCCTCCCTCCCCTCCTCTCCCCCCTCACAACATCCTCAACCCGCTGTTTCCTTCACTGCTTCCCATATCCCTCTACCCCCTTCCCCCTTCCACTGCAGTATCTCCGGCAACCTCAATCTCTGCTCCCCAGACTCCTCCTTCGGCCTCCCTCCCTGCAACAACACCATCCCAACCGCCCCCTCCTCCTCCCCATCTGACACGTCAGCACAAGCTGCCACGTCACCAGCGGCCATGAGCACAGCTGTCCTCATGGCGCTCATCCTAGGTGTCATCATCGGCGTGCTATTGGTGCTCCTCGCCAGCTGGCTGCTGCTGAGGTGGCAGCAGCGGGCGGCAGAGAGAGGAGGCATGGGGGGAAGGAGCGGTGCTGGTGGTGGTGGCGGTGGTGGTGTGGGGGGAGATGGCTTGGGGCAGCAGCCGCCTGTGGTGGTGTATGTGCATGGGGACACAGGAGCTGTGACTGTGCAAGCAGCAGGTATGGACACGCACTCACCCTCCCTCTTTCCCTCTCTTCCTCTCTCCCACTTCCTCTCTCCTTTTTCTAATGAACTTAGTCGCGTAAAGAATGCTGTCAGCTCAGTCAACTGTAAGACTGGGTTGGGGCAGCAGCCGCCTGTGGTGGTGTATGTGCATGGGGACACGGGCGCAGTCACAGTGCAAGCAGCAGGTATGGTCCAGATACACACGCACTCTCTCTCTTTCTCTCGGTGAATTTTATGTCGGCTCAACGGTTGGGTCGGTTTTCAAGTCGAGTGTAAGATTGGGTGGGTTGGGGCAGCAGCCGCCTGTGGTGGTGTATGTGCATGGGGACACGGGGGCGGTCACAGTGCAAGCAGCAGGTATAGATACACATACCCTCTCTTTTCTCCCTCTCTAGGGCAGCAGCCGCCTGTGGTGGTGTATGTGCATGGGGACACGGGGGCGGTCACAGTGCAAGCAGCAGGTATGGACACACTCCGCTCTTGTGTTCCCACTCGTACTGAATTCTGAGCTGGCTCAAAGATTGCTAGCGAAATTCGCAGCGATACAGGCAAACTTATCGCTCCATAACCCCACCTCCCCTTGTCCCCCTCCCCCCGTCAGACTCTGCTGGAGCGACTCTCTACACACAGAGCAACCAAGTCCTCCTCTCGCCCAAGGCTGCTGCAGGCTTGCCTCGAGCCACAGTAACGGCAGCAATAAAAGCAACCCTGTCCCTCCTTCTCCCTCCCTGAATCTCCCCATGACCCGCTTCAGACTCGGCCGGAGCGACTCTCTACACACATAGCAACCAGGTGCTCCTCTCGCCCAAGCAGGCTGCTGCAGGCCTGACCCCTGCAGCAGTCACAGCAGCAGCAGCGAAAACAGCAGCAATAGAGGCAACTGAGCCACCAGCGTTCAAAGCCGGTGGACTCTCAGCGTTATCTGCCAGCCAAGAGGAGACTCCCCTGCTGGCTCCTGCTCCGGAGAAGGCATCAGCAGCAGCAGGAGGAGCAGCGACAGCAGGAGTAGCAACAGTGTCAGCAGCAACAGTAGTGCCAGCAGCAGCAGCGACAGTGCCAGCAGCAGATGCAGTGCCAGCAGCAGCACCGACAGAGGGGATGGCTGTTCCAGCTGCAGGGGGTGCAGCAGTACCAGCAGCAGCAACTGCTGCAGGAGCAGCAAGTGCAGGCCAGCTGGCTGCTACAGCTGCTACAGGTGCTGCTGCTTCTGCTGCTGCTTCCGCTACAGATGCTACCGATTCTAGTGGTGCTGGTGCTACTCCTGCTACAGCCACTGTCGCTACAGCCGCTGCTGCTGCTGCACCCGCTGCTGCTGCTGCTACAACCGCCGATCATTCCATGGCATACATAGTCGCACCAGGCTCCTCCGCCCGCCGCTTCGCCCTCGCAACCCTCTCCACCGCAACCAACCACTTCTCACCGTCCGAAATCATCGGTTCAGGGGGCTTCGGGCCCGTATACAGGGGAGTGTTACCCGACGGTCGTATGGTAGCAGTGAAACGGAGGGATGATGATTCACTCCAGGGAGACAGGGAGTTTGTGAATGAAGTGGATTTGCTCTCCCGAGCTTGCCACCCGAACCTGGTGGAGCTGGTTGGGTACTGTAGAGAGGCTCGGCAGCACCTGCTGGTGTATGAGTTCATGCCGAACGGGACGGTGAGGGAGCATCTGTACGACCAGATGGGGCAGCCTCTTGGCCGGTTGCGATGGCTCACTAGGATCCAAATCGCCCTGGGGGCAGCCAGAGGTGAGTCCGTGGCTCAGTGTAGGTCCTTATGAGGACTGCTGTAGGTTGCTCCTATTTGGGCCTGCGAACGGGACGGTGAGGGAGCATCTGTACGACCAGATGGGGCAGCCGCTGGGGAGACTGCGATGGCTCACAATCATGCTGGATTGTCGTGCGCATGCTCTTATAGGAAAAAAGGCCGATGAATGAAAAAAAAAAAAAAAGTCATGGTTATACCTTTTTTCCTAGCCTTACAAAGCAACCCACCCGCTAAACCTAGCTGAAAAGTTTTTTACGAGGACCACAAGGCTTGCTGCGGTTCGAATCCTTCTTTACTCTTATTCCTCTCGCTCTTCAATGTCTCTTCCCCCCTTGCACACACACATGCACTGCCCACACAGCCATCCAGTACCTGCACACGTGCCTCCAGCCGCCCATCATTCACCACGACATCAAGTGAAGCAACATCTTGCAGGATGGCCGGCTGAGTTGAACTCATGGTTGATTGAATTCCCACCGCCTCTCCCTCTCCTCTCTTCTTCTCCATCCACACACACTGCCCCCAACAGCTATCCAGTACCTGCACACGTGCCTCCAGCCGCCCATCATTCATCGCGACATCAAGACGAGCAACATCCTGCTGGACGGCCGGCTGAATGCGCGGGTGGCAGATTTTGGACTGTCCCGGGTGGGCCCGCAGGACAACAGGAGCCACGTGTCTACCGTTGTGAAGGGCACGGCAGGATACCTGGATCCTGAGTAAGTGCTGTTATATATGTGGTGCTTACTTAAGTGGGCTTTAAGTGGTGCTTCAGTGGTGCCCGGGTGGGCCCGCAGGACAACAGGAGCCACGTGTCTACTGTTGTTAAGGGCACGGCAAGATACCTGGACCCAGAGTAAGTGCTGCCCATCCTGTGCTGCTGCACTGCACTGGATACGCCCTCCCCTCACTCATCACTCTCCCACTCTCCCACCCTCTCTCTCCCCACTCTCTCCCGCAGGTACTTCACCATTCAGCAGCTGACGGATCGCAGCGACGTGTTCAGCTTCGGAGTGGTGCTGCTGGAGCTGATGGGGCGATGTAGCAGCTCTTGAGCCCTGTGCCGTTCGTGTGTGCAACTGAATCCACCTCCCTGCCTTCTTCTGCCACTCCCTCCCTCCTCTTTCCTGCAGGTACTTCACCATCCAGCAACTCACTGACCGCAGTGACGTGTTCAGCTTCGGGGTGGTGCTGCTGGAGCTGATCTCAGGCCAGCAGCCCATCGACCTCAACCGCCCGCAGCAGCACTGGAGCATTATCGACTGGGTGAGCAGGGTTGACTGATCATTGAGTGGGTGAGCAGCATTGAGTGGGTAGGCTTGTCGTTCCCCGTGTGTGACGTGTTCAGCTTCGGGGTGGTGCTGCTGGAGCTGATCTCAGGCCAGCAGCCCATCGACCTCAACCGTCCCCAGCAGCACTGGAGCATTATCGACTGGGTGAGCAGCGCTGGCTGAGTAGGCTCGTTACTCATTGTTAGCTGGTGTTGTTATTGAGGTGCCATGGTGTTTTTCGAGCCCAAGACCCTCAACCGGCCCCCCTCCCCCCCTCTGTTTCCCCTCCTCCCATTGTGTCCCCTTCTGTCCTTCCTCGTGATCCCTGCATTTCCCTGCTCTTCCTCCCATCCCCTACCCCAGGCGCGAGACCACTTGCAGCAGGGCAACATCCGGGCAGTGGCAGACCCAACTCTACTCCCGCACGAGTGGGACGAAGAAGCCATGTGGCGGGTGGCAGAGGTCGGCATGGTGTGTGTCGAGCCCAAGAGCCTCAACCGCCCTCCGATCACCGAGGTGGTGGTTGAGTTAGAGCATGTGCTGGCATTAGAAGTCAGCAACGCTGCTAATGCCGCTGCCGCTGCCGCTGCCGCTGCCAATGCTGCTGCTGCCGCGGCCGCTAACGCTGCTGCTGGTGCCCTGAGCTCTGCAGCAGCACGAGCAGCAGCAGGAGCTGGTTCTGGTGCTCCTGGTGCTGCTTTTGCAGCTCCGGCTGCTGGATTAGGGCTAGGAAATCCGCAGCAGCAGCGGCAGCAGGCACAGCTGCAGCAGCTGCTGCTGGGGCAGGCTCAGGCGAATTCAGACCTCCTCATGTCGGGCAGTAGAACCAGTGGAACAAGTGGTGGGGGGATTGGGAGTGGGGGTGCCAGTGGAGTTAATGAAGGGAGTATTGGATATGGAGGGGGCAGGGTGAGCACGTTCTCGGGAAGGTACAGCTCTGGCAGGTTCCGAAGTAGCTCTGCTGTCGGGTCCACTGCAGTTCCTGGTCCGGGTGCTGCCGCTGCTGCTGCTCCGGGTGCTGCTGGTGCTGCTGCCACAGCTGCTGCTTCTCCTGGTGCTGTTAATGAAGCGACTTCTGCTGCTGCTGCCGACGCCACACCTGCAGACCAAACAACGGGCAGCACTGATCCAAACAGTCTCAACTGGTGAGGCTGGAAGCAGCCTTGTCCGAAGTGACGTTATGAAAGCAGCTCAGACGATTGAAGTCGCAAGCAGACGATTGAAGTCGCAAGCAGACGATCTGTGTCTCGGCCAGGAAATACAGTTTTTATTAACCAGTAGCACTGTATCACAGCTGATATAGCAAGAACACGGGTTATAAGAAGCTGCTTTAAGAGTTACTCTTATTGAAGGTCATAGCAAACTATTCAGTTCATTTACCGTATGTAATTTTCCATGTCCATAACTACACTAAAATTTGAGAATTGCTTTCTTAGCGAGTTCATCGTTTGCACAGGCGAGGGCGGTTAGGCGAGAATGTTCGTGATTGCAAATTTGCGAAATCTCACGAACTCGCTCCAACCTTGAATATCTGTAACGTGGAAATCTGAGGAGTACAGTATGAAGTACCTCGATACTATCCAGGCTCTTCATCGCAGTCGTCCGTACATATCTCACTTCGGCTCTGCTTTTGCAAGGTCGGACATTTGTCATTGCCTTCAGAGTTACGCTATACTGGAGGTTCTCGAGAACGGTTTGACCTTGCTCGCTTTCGCGTTACCGACTTGGTCTGTCTTTGGCAATCCATTTTAGATGTCGCAGAGTCGTTTCTAACGATCCAGCCGTTCCTTCTGCGCGACTTACGAAATTGTCAGTCACTCAGCAGAACACCAGAATAGTGTGATTACCATTGCTGTCGTTTCAGCAGCAGCTGCTGTAGAAAGGGACTTTTCTAAGGAATGAAGCGGGAGATTGATGGAGCTGGGCAAGGATTATCCGAGTTGCCTGTTAGAGAGGTGCGCATGAGATGGCCGAGAGACCTTTTCCCATTCTTCCGTTTGTAGCACGGAACACGTGGATTTACACGTTCTTGTTTGATTCTGCCTTCAGGGACCAAATAAGCATCCGAAGACAACAGGAAGCCTTTTGAGACCTGGTCAGTGTGAGTTACACCGGCCTCATTGCCGTGGTCGTCGCGAAGATCACTGCTAATCTCATTACCAGGCGAGACTCCGGTTTGGACACACTATTTATAACACGGACCTGTTTTGTCTTTCTTTTTTTTTCTTTCTAATCACATGCAGAAGTCACGAAGATCCTCTGTGATTTTTTAGAGGTCGCAATAAACCATCTGCTCTACCTGCGCTCCATATATCCTCCAGGTAATGCACCTCGTTGTGCATCGGTCCTTATAGTCAGCCTCCTCAGCACATCAAACAGCCATTGTAGGAACGCCGGTTGCAATCAGTCATTTATTTATTAGATTCGTTATTATTTAGACTTTGAGTTGATTTCTTCTTTGACTTCCACAATCTTGGTTTCAGAGATATTCCATCGCAGCCGCTTTGCATCGGTGCCTGTGTACTCCAGCAGGCATCCGGGCCTCCGCTGCTACATACGAGATGCCATCAATGACCTTTCTCCGTACATTGACAAGGTATAAGCACTTGTTTACAGTCTCCTCCTGCCAGCATCTGCCCTCTGCCCTTCAACCCTATGTCTATCTCTTTTCTTCTCCTCTCCTCATCCACTTTCCTGCATCCTGTTTCGTCTCTTTCCTTTCTTCCTTTCTCTATTCTGTGTGCTTTCCAGGGGGTGGTTGAACGAATTGACCTTGCCGTTTTCTCAACAGACGGAAGAAAAGTCCATGAGAGAATAGTGTTTGACTTCTCCATTTTCCAGCCAGCGCCATCCGGCAGTGTAGCAGCTCAGCAGGACAGCTTGGAATCCATTGAATATTGTCTGCGCTCGTTTCTCGTCAAAGCATCTGTTTCAGAGTGCCTCCAACGACCCCTCCCTAAAGGTGACTGGGTGCATGTACTTTTTAATCCCTTTCGTCCGTGCAGCAGCGTTGGCCATAAACGACATGTCTTTATAAATATTTATTCAAATCATTCTCCCACTTCTTCTGCGAAGTGCTTTTTCCTTTTGCATTATGTTCCTTTTTGTGTGTGTGTTTTTTCCGGTTTCCTTTTCAGAATGTGCATGGGAGTTGGTAGCTCACTCTAAGAACCTCCCTTCGTGCAGAAGCTCCAGCGGCCAGTTCTGGATCCCAGCTGATTCTTCCTCAGAAGGCCGTGTGCCTGATCAAAGAACGTGCATGAATGACTCTCGTGCTGAAATTCGCTCAGCTGGTGGTGTTGAGCCTCAGGATTTGAGTGCAGGTCTCAATGGTGCACACCGTAGTGGGCCATCTGGCAATGTGCCTAGGTTATTTCCGATTAAGTCCATGAACACTGGAATACTGTCACTGCAGCTCTATATTGAGCGTTCCTGATCTCCCTTTTTTTATATTAGGTGCATATCTGTGTAATATTGTTTAATAGTCTGTAGTGGTCTATTGTAATCTGCGAGTGTTTTACATATTGGATAATTGATTTGCTTTGCTTTTTCCGACCAATTCCCGAACCTGGACCTAATCTCGCGTACAGACTATTGATACACTAGTGCGACATTCCCTGAGCCAAAAGTCAGAGTGGTTCTAGAATCTAGGGTCTTCGCAATGAGTGTTCTGTGTACATAAATTCGCGGTTCGTTTGCCGAGCCGTCCACTCTCCTCGCGATTTCCGACCCCAGATCACAATTAGGTCCCAGACGTTCCCACTGCCTTTCCTTCTGCAAACAGCTTGTTTTCGAAACGCATCGCGGATTTCCCAGGGATCTTTTCATCTCCACGAGCACGCGCGTCCCATGGCCGACGCGAAAGATATATTGGGATTGCCGAAGAAAGGGCTACCAGGCACGCCTGGCGGAGCGGGACTGGGAGGGGGCGCTGGAGTGCCGGGGAGTGCGGGGAAGGGGAAGAAGCGGGAGCGGGATGGCGGGGGCCGGGCAATTCCCGAGGGGATCAGCAGAGAGGTAGGGAACGGAAAGGGGGAGGGCGAGAAGGGGTCGCACGGAGGATGAACATGGAAGAGGAAGGTCAAAGGAACGAGAGAGGGCGGTGGGAAGGGTCGGATGGAGGATTTAGAAGGGAAAAGTGAGCTAATAGCGGGTGGCAATTGAGGAAGAATTTCCTGTAGTCAACGTGCTGTAAAAATGGACATTCATGTGGGTTTCGAGTCAATTTGACCATTGCTTGCTCCTCTATCTACTGAAGTGCGATTGGAGTGTGAGAGTTTCCTTTCTTCTATCCACCCCATGGCTGCTCCTCCCCCACCAGGTCTATGCGCTCACGGGTGGTTTACCCCCAATAATGCCAACTTTCGACCCTATGCTTCTGCTCAAGAAAAGAACCACCCCCTCACAAAAGGTTTGGCAGCCACTGATTGGTCTAATGTACCTCCCAAAGAATGTACAACATATCTTATGTACTGTGCTAGTGTATTTCTCCTACATACTGAATCATAGTGGGATCTTTATTTCTCCTCCATAGGTTCTTCATTCTTTCTCACCCCGTCTGAAAATTCACCGCTCCCCGTTCTCTCCCTGCCCAACCCTCTTACCTGTTTCTGTCAGGTGACGTGGCAGTGGAAGCCCATTGTTTCATCTGCCCGGCCTGACGACTTGAAAATCTACCACTGGGTATGCTGAAATGTTTTCTTGCAAAACTAGAGGTAAGAAATAAACGGAAAGTAAAGAGAAGAAATACAGAAGACTGGCTACGCTAGTGCGGGCATGTGTGAAGCTTAAGCTTCTGAGTGACGGGCAGTGTAGCTGACACTTGTGTGCTTTCAGGTTATGCATGTGCGTGTCTCTGTGTGTGTGTGTGCATGCATGTGCGTGCCGTTGTGCGTGCATGTGTTCGCCTCTGTGTATCTGCTGCTTTGGCATGTTTTCTTGCGTTCGCTCTCTTCTGTGTTGGAGGGTGGCACCACCGGGTTCAAATCAAAGTGCACCGTTGAAATTTTTGAGTCGACTCAAAAGTCAACTTGCTTTGGCATGTTGTCTTGCGTTCGCTCTCTTCTGTGTTGGAGGGTGGCACCACCAGGTTCAAATCAAAGTGCACGGTTGAAATACTGCTGTCCAGTATTTCAACCAGGTTGAAATACTGGACAGCAGGGTTCAAAGTGCACGTATGAAACTTTACTCTCATGTTTCCTTCGCTTGCCACGTGAAATGAGGGTGTTTTGGAGATGTCTCAAAAACACCATGAGGTTGAAGTAGTGGACTGGACAGCAAGGTTCAAAGTGCACGTATGACTTTTCATTCTCGTGTTTCCTTTGCTTGTGTCGGTGCCTTCTCAATACATTGGCGGGGCGGACCCAACAGGTTAAAGCGGTCGACGGCAAGGTTCAAAGTGCACTGTGCACGTATGAATTTCTCTTCTCATGTTTCCTTTGCTTGTGTCGGTGCCTTCTCATTACATTGGCGGGGCGGAACCAACAGGTTAAAGCGGTCGACGGCAAGGTTCCGGAGGAGGACTATTCGTTTGCCAAGTACAACAAGGTAAGTCACGTACAAGAACTAAAGAAAAAAAGAAAAAAAGCAGCACCAGCCTGGCATGCGCTGATTGGCAACTTGCATAGTGCTCTCTTTTTCTTAACACATGTACCTTCAGCTCAACGGTCAACCCCACCCACCTCCCACCCACTCCCTCAATACCCCACTCAATTCACTCCCTCCCTCCCATTCCCACTTCAATTTCTACTCTCATTCCTTTCCTCTTTATCCCTCCTCCCAGTCAATCAACTCGTCCTATCTTCTGGTTTCTCCATTGTCGACCCACTCCCCCTACTCCCTGCAGCCACCTCAAGTGCTACGGTACGCGGACGAGGAATACAAGAGCCTGCTCTACCACCCTGTTATCTCCTA